TGATTAGTTCTTAACATACTCCTTTTGCCTTATTCAGCTAATTATTGAAACATAGGATTGTAAGTGTACAGAAAATTTTATTAAAATAGTTAATAGTAAATTTATGTAGTAAAACTATAAAACAACATATTGGCTACAATAGACATCTCCAATAGAGCTATTGTCCTATGATCGTTCGTAGATGATGTTACTATTTATTTCCTTATATTTTGGACCACGATAAATACAGCGAATATTATACAAGTGTTAAATTTAGAAAGATTAACTAGAAATTTCTGGTAGTTGCAATTTACTTAATCGCAAAGGATAAGATACGGGGAATGATAGCTGATATGAATGTTATTTCTAGTACGCAATTAATTTGAGAACACTGTGAGGAAGATGACAATAAACAAGAATTCATGCAGTATCCATTTGTATTCAAAGCTACCTTTGAGTGTTTCTAATAATCGCTTCACGAAATAATATAACTCATTCGATTGATTAATTATCAATCAAGTATATGCCATAATAATTATAAGTCTCCTTTGCTGTTAACTTCTCTATTCCCTTTTCGATTACTATGATGTTTTAAAAATAAAGTTTTATTTCAGGGAAGAAAACTGCTGTTACCAAGATATGTAGCCACTTCTAGACTTGACTATTAGTAATTTTTATTATTTTAAATATTCAAAATAAATACATTTAGAAATTATACAGCGCCGTGCCATATTCTAGTTGCTATAGACTCAGCTTTATTGTGAAGAAGAGACAAGATGAAAAAGATCTATTCAATATTTTGCAAAGAATAATTTAAAGCCTTAATAATACCTATTTCAGTCCCACAAGATTTCATTTAATATTAAACCGAATTTTAAACTCAACTATCTCATTTAAAGTTCGTATTTCGAAATAATTACACGTCTTAGCAGAACAATATGGCTTTTACAATAACTCAGCATCCCAGAAGCTGGTCGTAGAAGACCGTCTACATCGATAAATAATTCTAATTTACCTGCTGTGGCACATTATATCAAAAATGGCTGAATAGATTCTTTTTCATCTATCATTCTACCATTCTTCTAACATTTTTGCCTCTATTTAGTATAAAATTGTGAATGCAATTAGATATTATATTGCTAAATGCAAACCTTATTTTCGATAAATTTTTTATCGTATAAATATGGCAATTATAAATGATCTAAATTTACAATAATCTCTTAGAATCGGAATTTAATAAATCGTGGTAACATGCAAGTAGAATGTCTCAATGCTAGTTTCAAAAAGATAGTGAACCATTCCAAGCAATCAATAACATCGTCAACAAATAGCACAATCAATTACGGTTTATAATTTACCGGATTATAAAAGAACGAGAATTTAGTCTGCCAGATGTAAACAGTCATTGGCCTCCAGCTAATTTCTCCTTATTGAAATTAACCCGTTTTTCCAAGAGAAAATAATAATAAATTGTATTATCTAGACAGCCATTCTTCTGTTCTCTCAACTGGTGGTCGCATCAATTATTTCTATTTTATCTCATAGTTGGCTGTAACCACTTAAAAAAGAAACCGTTACTATATGATTGCTAAAATCTAATTAAGATAAAACGTAAAATTCCCAAAATTCCTGCGTATTTTCATGACTTCTTACTGTACGACAGCCTTAAATAATTACGAATAGCTATCGGGCCAAATCATATGATGTAAAGAAACAAAATAGAACTCTCAATAATTTGCTATAAATATTATTTTTATGATTTAGGTATAAACAGTTCTACTGAGCTAGTCAAATATAGTTAATAATGACGCATATCAATACTTAGTATAGCAGCAATTTTTATTCATATGTGAAGCAGTATGTTCAGAATACATTTATAGCAGTTGCAAAGTAAATAACGATAACATTATAATATTATACCTGCAGTTTATTGGAGTATTGAAAGCGTATATTAGAATCCTACTGAAAATTATAATACAATTTTTAGGATAATTAAAGTCATAAAGAATTTCATTCTAGTCTTCTAGACTGATTGTCCACTTCATGGGCTAGAAAGTTTAAGTTTTATCTTACGGGATTGATTTTAAGTATCCTAAATGTCGAGTAAAGAAAACAGTAGAATTTGCAGCTATCATCTACATTTAGTTACTAGAATATAAAATTACGGTAATGATTACTACGCCTTGCGAATTAAATTCTAATAAACTTATAATTGAAGTCTCACTACTAAAGCATATAATAATTCAGAATTGCTTCTCGATTACAAACTAAGTAAAGGAAAGCAACCACCAAGTAAAACTCTCTTAAGTGAAAGTTTAAAATACTGGAACTTAATAAGGAATTTAGATATTAGATACGTCAAATCCGGCTATGAGTACGATGGACTAAGAACATGATCCGAAATTAATTTAACGATTGACAACAATGTAAGCTTTGGTAAACCAGAGTATGAGTACAATTAAATATGAATGTGCCTTCCAAACTTACTTAATGATTGGTAGCAATATGAGTAATCTTATCATATATTGTGATTGAGTAAAGTAAATTTACATAGCACAAGGATGGAAGTATTATGAAGTAATCGTAATCGTCACGCTTACGAAAGCATGCTGTTACGGTGTTACATTATCGTTAGGGATAGTTTAATAGCACAGTAATAGCTAATAAATAGTCTTACTATCTACTCATTTCAAGCAGAAGTCATAAGTTGACAAGATGGGATTAACTTAGTAATGATCTAATTTTTTCAATAATAGTGATTAATAAACTGAGAGTTGTAGGTAGATTAAGCGTAAGTACGAGTTTCAATATTTATATTATGATGTTTGTGGCTGTTATAATCACGATATCATAATAAAGGACAAGTATCACAAAATGTGAATTGAAGTAATAGCTTACTTTAAGAATTGGCTAAGTACCGCATTTTTTTAGAGAATCGTTATTTGTCCCCTTTCAAGTATATTGAAAGGATAAATTATAGAGCACTCGAACTGATTAGATACCGTATTGCATTATCTGATGCAGTCTTGCTATGATTTTTACTATTAGCAAACTGTTATTTAATTAATGGCAGTAAAAATAGATGAGGTAACTATCCCAATTTTAAAAAGTCTAGTTCTGTAATAGGATGCTTATTTAGTATTTTCGAAGCTTTTAATCTACATACGAATTAAAATCTAGCTCATCTGTGACTATATGTGGTTCAGTGGTATATGCAAACCTTTTATAGGAGTATCGAAACTGAAATATCTATTATTATGAATCGATAATTCCAACTCTCAGAACTCATCACCATCGCTTTGTATTACAAGTAAGTGAAATAATTTTGACTGACGTTCATTTAAAAATCCTCTAGTGCAAGTCTAACTTTAAAAGTAAGCCTTAAAGTAATGTAAATTTTTGTTTAGTTGGCGACGGAAGTGATTACATTAGTACACGGCGACTTTATTGCATATGTATAGTAGTTACAATTTTATAACGTATTTTGTAATATTTAGCTTTTTATCATACCCTTAAATAAATTATATATCCTGTAATAATCACATCATCATTTATATCAATATAATCTTCTGATAGACAGTATTATACATTTAACGATATTGATAATTACAATTAATCGTATTATAGCTGATATTTGATGCTGAATAACAATATACAACGTTGTAATACATTTACAGTGTCAGATTTCTTAGTATTAGCCTATTAGGCCGTGTACGAGATTAAAATAGCAATACAAGCTCATTATACATTATTGGAAGATCTTATTTAACATATATGATACTCAGAATTGAAATGATTACATGATAGGATGTTATTAAGCTATCATTATACAGTGCTTAATATTTTATGATCATAGGATTCCTAGAAACTCTGTTTAAGAAGGGTCTAGGGCAATTTGACGCAGACAATTTACCTCTGTGCAATGTAGTAATTTAGGATGAAAACAATATCAATGTAGGTTTGATATTACCAGGGTGAATTAAACACTTTGCAGTGTTTAATCCTATACGGCGTAAAATTAATCTAATACAGTAAAGCATCTGTTTTGATATTACGAGGATAGATTTAATATTTTGCAGCGTTCAATCCCATACAGCGTCAATTTAATTTCATGCGGTAAATTGTCCGCAGTCAATTATCCGGTATCGATTCAAGAATAAGTATGCAGAACTGCACATAGCACGCAGTATTATACCGATCTCCTCTATCCTACCATTTCAAAACTCCATATTCTCGTTAATTTAAGCGATTGAGATCAATGTTGGTTAATAAGTGTAGAGTGTCTACTTCTACGATGCTGGCAAAAGTTGCATCATTATTTTCATGGTATGAATAATTATACTGTACTGTAGATCGAGAAATTTTGCGTAAGAAAGCAGAAGAGACTTACAGTATCAAAGTTTCAATTTCATTGTACTTTAAAGCTTAATGTACATTAGTGCTTCGTATTTCTAAGTTGACTAATGGAAGTTAAGGTAAGTTGTCATTTAGTTCATCAATTTTGAATGAAATCTCAACATTAATAAAGTAGAGTGGAGGCTGTAATATTGTTGATGTATTAATAACGCTCTAAACATGCGTACACTCCTTACAGTACACTACCGTACAACTCGGACTGCAGTACCAGTTCATGGTTGTCGTAACTACAGTACAGTACTACTGTACAGTACAGTACTGTAGGTGAAAACTAATACTGTACTGTACACAGTGCAAAGTACGTACAGTACTGTAGACTGTACAAGTGTCAAACTGCGCGTGCGTTAAATCCTGCACACTATGTGCACTGCGCACTGCGCATTTCCATAGAAAATCCACAAAGACAGCTTCGGATTACGGTACTGTAGAATGTGTATATTGCAGTACTGTACAGTACTGTACTGTACACTGTACTGTAAGTTTGACTCTTCAACCTGCAAGTACGACTGCTCAGTGCACACTGCACACCTTTGCACATACCCTCTCGCCATCGCACGTTACCTAGGACATCTTTTTGATCAACCTTGTTATTCTCATGTAACAACATGGCAAAGTTTTACTCCAGTTCCAACGTTTACAAGTAAGTTCAATGCCAATCAATGATTCTATTGAAATCATGTTGCTGTTATTACATAGTCCATGATTGATTTTACTCATTGAATAGTACAATTATTGAAATTTTAACTTAATAAAAAGCCAATATGCTTGCATCAACCATACTGTCCTTGATGGCGCACGCGTTGATTTGTATTTGCCGAGCGTGCTGTCGTTAACGCCAATTATTATGATATTTTGGCCGCTAATCAGATGTAAGACGGTGCTACGTTATGCCATGGTAATGAATTCATCTTTGCCAATTGCAATTATTCCTTACTTGATAATGTACTTTATCATCATTCATCGACCAGGAACGGCCATGTCAGTATAACAACAGTACTTTCTGATACAGTATTGTCGATCGGATTAGATAGTAGGTTACTTTATTCTACGCAATTTTCCTGCTAGGATTACCCAAACGATTTCTATTGCGAATTTGCTAGTCTAAAAAGGATAATGCACGTTACAATTTTGTATGTTACATCCGAAGCCACAAATAGGGTAGCCAGTATGAGTTTAAAATATCCACACTATACTAGTATATTACAGGTATTAGCTGTTATGCGGACAAGTGGCTTTTTACTCATCGGCCATCGGTATAATTCTTCTCCGTCTCACATGTTCCTACAGTAGATACGTCAGGGACTTCTGAATTTCCTCTTTCTAAGTCCCTGCTGATGCACATAGGCAATATCGTAATCCTACCGTACAAGTAGACCCTTGTCAACGTTACGTTTACGCCATAATAGAATTAAATGTTGTGAGTACAGTAGCTATATGATCTGTGCCCACTAAGTGTGAATTATTATTGGATCCGATGTCCTTAGCTTCGATTGGGATCAAGTATCTGCTATTTACTGGAAGAAATATCCAAACCCTTACAGTCCACACGTATTAACCGAGGACGTTATTGAAAGGTCAGTTGGTCAATTAATATTGAATACCTTTTGTAAGTTTGAAAGAATAAGTATATAAACAATACTGCTCTATCCCACTGCATATCATAGGAAAGTTGTGGATCGTAAGTTAATAACTACTCGCTTATTAAAGAAAACGAACAAACTCCCGAGATGGGGAGAAAAGGTATCGTTGTTATTTCTACTACATTTATAATCTCTAACATACAATATCTACAGTGTATGCAATAACCATAATAGATCTCTCTGAAGTGTGATAATGCTAGAAATTATTGCATAGAACTGCTATTAATAACTTACACGTCATTCTGCTTTATATGGTAGCTACTACCTTTAAACAGCTCGGCCTATATTGTAGAAGAATCCATTGTTGATCCAGTCAATAAAAAACTAACCACTTATACTCGAAATATTACTTTAACTAAATGGTTATTATTGGAAGAAAAGTGCGAATATTACCCATGTTCACAAAATTCGAATTGGTACGGTATAAGGCGCTATGCAATGAGTAAATGTTCTGGCACAAATATACGTATATATCTTATTGGTACATCACTACTGAATTGTATTTGTGTGTCTTCGTTCATAAAAACGTATAGATTTTACGTTATTGAATTACTGTTGTCAAGTTATTAATTAATTTCAGTGTTGTAACTGAAACTTTAGTATAAAATTATAATGTTGTATTTTTATGCTTATTTGACGTTAATTTATCACAATTATCTGAATGATTTTCGCAGGACGATTTGTAAGCGCTATGCATGGATTAGTTCATCAATGTTTGGCCTAGCGCCTGCCTTGAAAGCATTTGGCTACGAAAGATTTAAATCGAATGCTTCAAAGGTAAAGATTGTATTAACTAATATATATAATTGATTTACGATTGGTCAAAATTTAATTTGTATATTTAATTTTTTTGTTATGTAATGAAACTTGTAGTAAAGTATGGTAGTTTTGATACTGTCATTGTCATTTATTGACTTGGCAGTATCTGGTAACTGGTGCTAATTATAAATTCTTACTAAAAATATCGCATTCTACTTAATACAACGTAAATATTCTTTCTGTCTGTTAATGTCTTCTTGGTAATGGATTCTGCATAATTAATGCTTCAGTTGTTCTTCGTTTAATTAATTACTACAGGCAATTAAAGGATTATCTTATGCCCTAAAAAAATCCTCTGAAAGCGACAATTCTCAATATCAGTATATTATGGCTCATGGCTCCAATAATCAACCAATATTCGATCCTCCGAAAGCTACCTGCACGTGAATCTCAAGCACTTTTAGATCCCAGGAGCTTTCAACCCGTGAAACCAATAATGCCATTGTCGATATAAAATTCGCTGCATTATTACACTTACAGATATAAGTCGCAGACACAGCGAGCAATACACGTAAACTTTATTTATAAAATAAATTTTTGAGATGTATTGTTTTACTTGAAGGATAATAATGTTTATGTAGATTAATTAATTATTGACGAAATTTACCTTTTATATGCACGCATACAGTATAATTGCCGAAAGTGAACCGATGTGCTATTTATGACTCAGCAACGTAATCGTAAACTTTCAATTATTATTTTAAAACTAGGCATCCTTTTAATCTTTTCCTCGAACTAATTACTATTGTTAGGTACTATTTAATGATATCGGTGATAATTGCAGCGTACCTCTTGCAGTAATGGATAAAATGCTACAAAATTGAGGCATGTTTGCATGCTTTAAATTAAATTTACTATGCCATGAAATGTATTTGATTCGTGCAGATTTGTCATACAGCGCGTTAACTGGATATAGTAGATGCAAAGATACAAAGGAAAAGAATATTAGATAGGTTGTTTTATAACTACCATAACTAATAATTTACTACTATATTGCTGAAATTACAAAATTTTGTGATAATTTTTAAATTAGGTTGCTAAAAATATATTATAAAATTGTTTAAAATAAATCTAAGATAATCTAAAAATCTTTTTACAATTTAGATCAACCTGTACGTGACTTGATTTTATACTTTGTCTAAAATACTGACTAGTTACATTTGCATAGTTATGATATCGATAACTTAATGTTGACAATGTTAGGAAAACGAACCATACGACTACATAGTTATTTCAAAGGTACTGATTAATACACAGGCTATCAACTCTAGTACGAGGCGGAATAATTCTAGAATATGAGTAGGCTGCATCATTGGAAAATCATACAGCGTCTACAATATTTTAAAATTTTTAATAATGATTACTATCTAGGAATATTTATTATAATTATTAATGTAGTCTTATAATCTCAATCCATGAAACTGTGGCATTTAAATCGAAAGCTTTAAAACGATTAGATGACTTCAGTTTTATTTTAAAAAAGTTGTATCATTTGAATATCGCTTCAGGTACAAGCGCAAGAAAAGTAATAAATATATATTTGCACAAGCATTCATAAATCTATAATATCATCAGGTAGTTAATTCTGGTACGTAATATATGCCCTATATATCATCATAAAAACAGTTATTGAACACTTCAAATCGAAATAAAATTAACAGGGTTATTAAAATATGTAATCCGTTTATCGTCTTGATACCAAATGCTCAACGTAATCATATAATCATGATTATACACTAAGAAAAAAGGATTATATTAATAAATTTACGTAATTGCTTTACCACAATCTGACAATAAAGAATCACTCCATAATATTGAGGAATGCTTATGCTGATCAAGACTCCATCAAGATTCTCATGCAAGTAACGGCACGATCAAAATTTTACACTAATTTGACTATCATAATCCATCCGCAAACGAAAGATAAAATTAGAATTATATGTACTATTATCAATCATATATACGCGTACTTAATATGACTTTTTAAATATATTGTAGCATTACAAATCATGCTGTCTCATTGTCCATGCATAATTATAATTAGTTCAAAGATGGTTTGAGTACATTATTAAAGTAGTTTTATCTTTATACAAGCAATAATAAAATCAAAGATGAAAAGTGTTTACTTCCTGTAGGCTGATCAATGTGCTCGAGCATATCCATCACCTATATTACCGCTTATCAAGTAACAAGAAGTCTACTTTAAGATCTGTTTACCCAGTTTCTTACTTTATATGATTAAAACAAATTTTTGGAATGCCACTGTGGATATTAAATTCTTTCAAACGGTATATAAAATGCTATAACTTCGCAAAAATCACTTGAAAACCTTCTAATCATCTCTGTTAAATCATCCATCATATGAGTTTCACGTAGCTGTATGATCACTATTGCCGGTATTATCGATTGCAGTTGGAAAGACAGCAGCGACAGAAGTGCATAACATGTTCAAGTAACTACTGCTATCCTCCAATTCTTGAGAAGATTTAATATTCTCTGGTGATGCCATCTCTATTAAATTGTGATCAAAATGAGAATGTCCGTTACTCAAAGTAGTCATTATAAAAGATTAATTATCAAATTGGATCTCTTAATTCGTGCACTAAAATTATTGACATATTCGGAAATTTTATTTTATAACAAAATCAAACCTATTGCCTTTAGAACATCTTTCTCTTGAAGCTTCAAAGCTCTCAATTCTTCCTGCTTCTTGAACAGTTTTTGCTATAATTGAAGTGATAATTTGATAAGAAGTATAACTAGTTTTATTTTACGATGAAAAAATATCGTGTAAGATAAAGATGTATAAGAAATGCTTCTGAAATTGTAATAGGAATAAACTTACCAACTTTTTATTACATTTCATATGTAATTCAACATATCGTAAACCATCAACGAAAGCAACTTTAACAGTACACATGTTAGAACTACAAGAGGAAAAGAATAGAATTTTAATGGAATACCCATGAATTAAACCCTACTAAGATATTAATAATAATTATTTACCTAAATTTATCGAATTATAGCTGTACGTAGAAAATTTTGAATACGGTGTGTACCTTGTTGCAATTTTCGAATATTTTACTTGCTTGATAATTTCATAATGATTGATTTCATCAGTATCTACTCCATTTATCGCTAGAATTTCATCACCTGTAATTTTTCAATTATCAAAGTTAGCATGTAAAAAGCCTTGTTACCTACACATGCTTAGTACTATAATCTATTATTAGTTTTTGGCAATATAGTTTAATCAGTACTATCTACTTTAAGTATTTTATTGCAAAGTCATAAAAACAAGAAATGATGCAGATTCCATAGTTCATTATTAATAATCATAAGGTCTGGTACTGATATTGGTTGTAAGTGTTTATTTTTTACCTGGAAATAACCCACATCGCTTTGCAGGTCCAAGTGAGTCAACATCGGTAACAAACGTTCGATGCCTCATATTGCCATCTTTATCTCGTAGTCCAATTGTCTGTATACAATGACAGTAACAGCTATAGTTACGATTCTAATAGCTATAAACTTTAATATTTACAAAATTTTGCTATAAATAATACGAAAATATTGTCCCAAATCCTTTTCTAACCGTAATAGAAAACCCAAAACCTTGATCACTGTCTTTAGAAATTCTCACAAGTCGAAGCATTTTCTTTTGCCTTTGGTTTAAGCTGCAATCGCTGTCATAGCTAAAAAATATTTGAAATTCGTAAGAACGATTAATAACTACACTAATGACATCAAACCTGATTTGCTCTTATCGAGCATTTTGTATTTAGATATCGATATTATATTGCACCACAAACTGTTTGCATAACATGTTAAGTATTAAAGTAAACACTCTACTATATTTAATTTATAAAATGAGTACTTATAACAAATCAAGAAAATACTACCTTCTATGTTAAAATCTTCGATTACATACACAATTAATAGCATACGTATATTGTTATTGCTATTGATGACATGAATGCTATTCAAAATAATGCACTAATCTCGATTAAATATATAGAGCAAATCGAACAGTCATTTATGCAAACGGCACAAATGTAAGCTGCTTTCTATTGCAAATTATATCAACTGGATATGAAGTCATTGCAGTAATTCTCTTTAATACATTAGTACAAGGGTAAGCCCATTAATATTACTATCTATCACGATTAAATTACACGGTGCAAATCTTATGAGACTGTGGCATGACATTATTATTATAATTAATGTATGTCTACTTGATTAAATTTTTACCCTATTCATGCAACGATGTGTACAGTTTCAGAGTATAGTTACATTATACCTTAATTGGTGTTACAGATACCCTACACTACAGCGTATGATACTCCAGTAGGCTAAAATATAGACCAAATGCCTGTCATGAAAATATGGCTTGTAGGCTACTATGAATTACTGCTATTAACTCGTAAATTAAATTAATTGAATTGCACTTGAAGATGTAAATATACACTAAAATTAAAAAAAAACAATGTAAAAATGGCTAAATTTTACAAATTCCACAATTCATAAGTACAAAATACGGATTCTCCTGGAAGATCAATTACCTCATTGATATTTGATTGCTTAATCTACACTAATTTTACGTTATGGTACACTTTTAAATTCGAACTAATTACCATTTATGTTAGTATAGGCGAAGAAATATTTAATTTATTATCAGTTTAAACTACTGCATCGATCTTGTAAAATAGTAATATTCGTTAAATTACTCTACGTATACTGCCCTCAAATAAAATGATATCATACCTAGGACTAAAGCTAATACTATCAGCCCTTCTGCGCATTGGCTCAGTCAGAGTCAATTTTATACTACTTCGGTGATTCTTGAATTTGGATTTTGGACTTAGTTGCCGTGATATCCTCCTATACGTGAGTAGGATTAATAAAATGTTGTAAGCATTGATGCCTGAACTCAATACTCTGTAAGATTGACTTTTAAAAATCCATGCATGTAAGCAGGTGTAACTTTAGTTTAGAAAATATCCAATATTACTTCCTCTACTATCCTCACTTACAGGGTTTCTAGGTCAGACTTGGTACTAAATGATCAAAGAAAGATTACATGGTTACGTATCGTTTAGTTGTCTTAAGTAAATTGTCTAATTAGCAGTTGGATAGTAACTTGAAATATGGAGATTTACGAGAGTTGCAATTTTTTTATCCCAATATTTCTCTCCACTTACCACGTATCGAAACCGGTTTTACTCCTTCGCGTACACCTTATAGTAGTCTAATTTTTAAAGTAAATATTACTTCAGATAAATATACTGAAAGACATTTTGCGAAATTAAAAGCAAAGCCATTTACCTCCTCAAATGAATTTGATCGAAGATACTCTGGACTTTTAGGAAACCCTAATACGGAAAGAAACCGGTAAAAATCTTCAGTATTTTAGCGAAATCTAGAGAAACAGAATTTCATACATGCTGCTGAATCATTTATTACTTATTCTCAAATTCTAATAGCATAATGCCGAAAGCATTTCAAGCTTTACCTAAATTATATGTTGCGGAACTAGTGGAATCAGATAAGTTGGTATTAGATAAAGGACTTGGTATCTATGAAATAAGTCAGTGTTTAATTCTCATTGTGTTTAAATATCATCACAAAATATATTATGCAAATACATTTCTATAGAGCTTCATCGTAATGAAGTACATATGAACATACTTATAACGTGAGCTAGAGTTAATGGAGTAAATATGTAGTTTCGGAAAATAATTAGGTAGTAAGTATGAGTAACCAATAATATTACCTACACAATAGTTTATACATAAAGAAGTACTGCAACAACTCATTCACTAATGATGAAGTAAATACCATGAACAAGCAACATATTAGTCAACACCTTTGAGGTAGTGCAATAACAATGAAACTATCAAAGAACATTATAGTAAACATCAATCGAATATTTTGAAGCTTAAAAGATATCGTTAATTGAAGTGAAAAGCTTCTAGACTTTCACTAAGGCCAATAAAAGACATGATAAGTATTAATTATATTTATAACTATTTACCTGCAAATTATTCGAAGATACCGTCGAAGATGATGATATTCTATCACGGTTTACTAAAGGAGATGCGAGCGAGGACATTGAGGAATAAGCACTATCTGCACACGATACTTGCACAAGATGTCGATTATCTGTTGTTAATCCTTTCTGCCTATGAAATACATATCGAGTAGATTTCAAACAATTATTGATCTAAAATCAAGGTACCATAAAGAACATTTAACCAATGGTAATTTGTATTCCTAATTATAAATATATTCATCTCCTGTAACATGATAGCATTTTAAAGCCTATAAACAGCCTCGCTAAATAAAGGGATCTCAATTAATTATAATTTTCTCACTTTTTTAAATTATTAAAACTAATTTTTAGCAAGCATAGCAACTAGATTAAAGTTAATACCGCTTGTCATTGTCAGGTTTATTGCCATCATTTTTATCTGTAACTATCGGATTGGCTGCAGGAGAACCTTTAGAAGACGGCCGTAACGTGCCTAATAATAAGACATTTTCGAAAATTCACTTAAGGTCATCTTCTTGCATCTAAATATTTAACGCTTATAACGATGTTCATTTAAAAAATCACAGCTAAGATAGCCTTGATCACATCAAAGAAATGAAAAAGAAGTTTTTATCGAAATCTATGGCAATGCAGCCATTAATACCAATACATGCACGTATAGATGTATCTGTATTCTCTACTATCCTTAAATCACTTAGGCAAGTTACTATACCTTCCGATTTGTGCTTTTTGCCAAGTTTACTCCCCTTCGAGACAGTTAGAGTATCATTAAATTGCACAGTCTTTTTAGCTGTTTTAGGAGTTACCGTAAGAGTATCCATAGCTGCTCCCTATAAAAAAATGTTAGCAAAGGAATAAACTCTAATATCAGTAAGAAATTTTTTAAAAACCAGCAATTAAAGAGTAAAAGACATCGTAAAAACAAATTGTGCACTTGCTAGACTGTAAAATAAGTGATCACTAGAACTATTCATACAGGAAGAAATAATGAAGAAAGAATAACAAAGTACACTTTCAAATGTACAATCTTACGTCTTTAAATGTCATAAATATACTATATTATATGCTATCATTTATGCGGTGTAGCTTTCTCACATCTTTATTCTCAAATATGTAGTAGGGTTTACATTGAGAAGATGTATGGGAAATGATTTTTAAACGACAAAATGATATATTTCAAATTAATTTAAATAATAAGATTAACAAAGAACTATTTGCTTCTGTAGATCAAATAAAACAGAATCAGCAAACAGCAGGAGCCAAAGAAATTTTAATAAAGATAGCAAGAATGAACTTAATTCGAAGATTAGAAATGAGAGTAACATACGTAGGTAGGTTTTACTAATAATTATAAACGAATAGTAGCTTGTTCTATCAACGAATAAATAACGCAAAGCAATATCAACAATATTTTTTACGACGCATTTAATATGGCCGATAGACTATAATTCGAAAAACCATACGATGCCTAAAGTAAAGAAAAATTGAATATTAAAAGTAAATTTAAAATACTAAAATCTGAGCAACTAAATATTTGTACCAGAGATGTAAATATTTCTAGGGAATAAACTCTAATTCTGTTCTACAGTAAAACGATATTATGCTATTTTTCCCTGATAAGGCCGCGAAATTAAACAGGAAAGTTGATAATAGGTTGATGATGCTGGTAATTTTAGAAATAACTTTCATACATTGTTTTTTATGAATTTTACTCTCGAAGAAATCGCACAAAAGTATTTATAATTGTCGTATATGTATTTTTATATCTGATTCCACTAAAACAGTTTTTGTTCCATATACAGGCAGTAGTTAGAGGTAGCAGTTGGTGCTAAATTTAATCAATTATGAATATATGCGTATTACTGACAGAGTAGCAGAAAAGTTACTCTATACCGCTATTTATATTATGACGCGTTATAATAAATAGGAGGCAGATGCAACAAAATACTAATCGATTTTTATACTACAATGCAAAAGTTAGAAATATAGTTTTAACAAATCTGATCTACAATGAAGTGTTTTAGAAACCTAAGCAACCCAAATGACAAATATTTATTAATAGTAAAGCTAACTACAATAAATTCAAAATTTGGCAACGATATAAATTGAAGCTTCCAAATAGAAAGTACGATGTGATTGTAAACTATGAACCATAATTAAAACTGCTACTTTCTATACCCAGCAGATATTAGATTAATATTGTAACCTTAGGTGATGTAGAATATTTCATTCTACTGCGAAAGTTTGATGCCATTTTTACTAAATTTGTACTTGCTCAAGAAAGCATAATTCGTCTTCAATAAAAATATTTGTATATAGTTATGACTATGCGATAAATATAATCAACACGCCGCTTTTATCAAGCGATGAACTTTCATTATGTAAAACATTACTTTCCATTGAATAATACTGTACACTAGAATAAAGCATTAGTGTTCCTAATATTGAAAGTATAAATCAATAATCCTGACAATTACTACAATATTTTGACTTTAACTTTGTTCACAAAAACGTGTATTTAATTATTCTATAATATTTTTCAGCAATGTAAATTTGAAAGCAAATCTCATAAATAATTTAAACTGTAGGAAAACAGATTGTGACGTTGGAAGCTATTTTCTTATTCAATGCATAATCATCATAATAAATGAGAAAAATAACGGACGTTATTTTTCAATTATTATTAATTCATATCCAACTTTCTATCATAAACAATCTTGGATACAGTAGTCGAAGTTCCAATAGATAACATTGAAACTGAAAATTATTTTGAAGTCATACCCCAATAATGACTGTAAAAGCATGAGAACCTCCAACTGAAACTCATGTTGAAGATTTGAGACATAATAATTCTACTCTATTTTGCCTTAGATTAACTTGTAATCATAGATTACTTTATAGAGATAATCGTGTTCTGAATCTCTTCAAATTAATCGATAAAGAATATAATATATATTAACTAAAGTAGATTCTTTATGATGTTCTAAATTAGTGAAATTCAGCTATGAAGACGTCGAAACTAAATACAACAACAAAAAGCTAGTACACATATTATTTGCCATCGATAAAGTTAAGAATAAGTAGTGTGTTGTATAGAAATAAACAGAAGAGTAAAACTAAAAAAATTGAATGATATCAATGTTGAATGATTAAATATGGTCTAACGCAATAAATAGAAGCAAAGAACTTATTTTCATTCACCTAGAAACATATAGAGGCGACAAAAGTACCACAGAAGTGTTCATATCAAGTGAAAGAGAATCACAAGCGATTATATTAAAACTATTTACTAATCAGTATGCTAGTAGACGTTGATAGCGTTAAATTGATTGTCTTGATTGACTGTTAGTAATGAAATCGCCTAGAAGGTTGATCTTAGTCATCAATTATAAATTGTAGACAAACCTACGTAAACTAAAGCAGACTTTTAGTAATAAAAATTGCCTAGAAGGTTGATCTTACTAATCAATTATAAACCGTAGGCAAATCTACGTAAACTAAAGCAAATATTAATTAGCCCCTCGATTAAAGAAAATCACTTTCAGTAAATAAGACTTTAAAAAAATAACTTCAAAATGTGATCCAATAAATATTAACAAAAAGGCCATAAAAACAGATGTCATTTCGGGAAAACGATACGACTTAAAAAAGCGAAAATCAACAAAAATTGAAAGTCCAGAAGGTATAAAAATTCTTCAGCAGGGGTATCTCACAAATAGATAATCAATACATGTAGAAGGATTTGTATCAGAAATTTCACTTAATCTGCAAGTCACAAAGACATTTCTGTCATGTACGCGTACAGTATTCCTACAAATCAAGACGCCATCTTTAAATTGATGTAGACTAAAAGCAGACTGTTGATCTGTTAAGTGATCATATAATATTTTAAATATGTAAATTACGCAAAAGTGTAAAGGTTAGTGCCTACTTGTAAATGATCGGACAGGCAAGAATAATATGGTATTAAAATAAAGGAATTGTTAAGTTTCTTGATTTGGCCAACTAAGTGTAAAATCGATATCAAAGACTGATGTTAAAGTGATCAATGACTTTATGTATGACTGAGTATAGTTATCCAGTTGAACATCAATCGGCTTAACGATCTAAATATGGTACTTTAGCCTATCATACTTTTCTTTTTGATGTCATCATGGCTGTTTTACCATATACTGTATATATTAGTGTACTGTATACACATTGGCAATTCGTAGGCAGTATTTATTTTCGAGAAATAATGCTGTCAAGATGGATGATATGCAACAATAAGATGGAGTGTCAAACGATGATTTACTCCCCTGGTTAATAAGCCGGAAGAAGAAGCTACAACATTTTATTTGTTTCTTTCTTACTCCCTATTCTGAAAATAACTATTAATCTAGTAAAAACCTATTCCAAACACTGAATACCTCCATGTAAACATATTTGGCTGCATTCAAGTAAAAGCATACAAAGTAACCCCTAACTTTAGCAATGATCACTTTAATTATGAATGAACACTAATTAACCAAGAAAATATTCAACTGAGATTATAGAGAGACCGCTAACTCAGACAAATACGGTTATTTCATTCCATCTACATTTAGAAATTGTGGGGGCAAGAATACAATAATAGAATTTGCAGTATTCACTTAATTCCTGAACTAATATTAAAGGAAACTATCAACACATTTTTTATTACATCAAATGATCAATATAGTTCGTCAGGGATTGAAATATTTTTAATTTTAGGTGCTTTGTTCTTAAAATGCACTATATACGACATCCCTTTTAAGCCATCATTGAGTTCTGGTTTATTTTTCTCGTTATGGATATATTCATATTACCAATTCAATGGAAAATATATTGTCATTGCTGAGTAAAATTGAATAGTTAAAGCCAAATCTATTCAATATCAATTGTTAACTACTTCCAGGAATCCTATTAGAATACTGTTTGAACTGAAATATCACATGATGATCGTAGACATAATTAGTTTTAGGTCAGCAGTCACAAAAATGTCTATACCATTACTAGAAACCTTTCTACCATTTATATTTTCAAATGTATCCAGACTTCATAATAAAATATGCGAGTAATCCCTTATTCTAAATGAAATCATGCGACAATAAAAACCTATTTATTTACACGTAGATGATATATAGTTTTAATGAAATGAAATTAATGATCCTCTAGCCGATCTCTCACTCGTAAGACTGGTGGCCTACACTTGTACTACTTACTTTATATATAACATGTACTGGAAAGTTCATGTCACGCATGCACAGACAAAATCTATTATATTAAATTTTGTCAGAGTTAAGCAATTATAGCCAAATTTTCAATATAAGTTCTCCACTAAATACTATTATAGTACAGTCAAGACTATTTAATTTATGAGAAATTTAACTTAAAACTCAACGTATGGCATACCTTCGAAAAACTCACTCAATAATGATAAATTTTGTAATGTTACAATTAGATCAATTTAGCATGTTCTTAATGATGTTCATTTTTACAGTTATTGGGCTATCCATTATTTCAGGTCTAAATTTCTTGGAAAACATTGAAATATAATATATGTGTCGATTAGCGGAATGATTACTATGATACAGCTATTAAGCATTGATACTTTGCAGCAACCCTTGTTATAGTTACAGTCTCTACCTTGATATGAATGAATCAAAGTACTAACGGTAACAGGGATACTGAAAGAGGTTTCATCACAGTCATTTCAGAAATATAAGACATCATTGATATAACCTAGTTTAAGTAGATAATTTTTAATAAATCTAGGAATTGCTAGTTCGGAATTAGAATATTAAGAGAAGCTGATGAAGCAGTTAACCAATAAAGTTAGACATTAGACGATTACTTTTAATTAGTTTAGGCCATTTGCCTTAGATATTGGCCATTTATACTTCAAAAACCCTAATCGCATCCTTTAATAGGCTAAGGAGACCTCGATACAGCAATTAATCACTCTAAATGTAGGATTATTATAGTATCGATTTACTTCATACATCTTGGATTTGCGCCTTTGTATCCAGCAAAATTCTAGATATATCCTAGAAATTTTGTCTATCTTCAATTCGCTATAGTAATTAACGCCATATCAAAATTACCGCAATTAGTTATTATAATATCCCAGAGCAACCAAAAAATTCTCAAATAGAAAGAGACTAAGCTAAAGCAAATTGCTTGCACGATCTTCGTTCTCTACCTACAACGGAGCTGACTTACAAAGTCAAGATGCCTATCATACATGAAAATATTTTACTGGGGAAATTGAATGTGCAATATGCAATAGCTCAATCATTACCTATTATGTCATTAATGGGATATTTAATGATGAACCATATCCCGTAGTGGAGTATGATACTGGGACAGGTTTAGAAGCCTTTAGAAACGAAATCTTACAAATCTTGTAATAAGTAAGAGTAAACCACTAAATGTCGTAATCATATGTGATTGACTGGATAGCAATGATACTTAAAGAGAGTTGCTAAGTATTATCAAAACCACTAGTTCATTCGTTTTACATTTACAATATTCCGGTATTAATATTATCTGTTGTCATATCATACTTCAAGCATTAGTAAACTAGAGAAAAATAAATATAAAGAGGTACTATGATCTAAAAATTACCCTTACTTTTTACTTTCGGTTAGAATCACCTAATCGAATTTAACTCTATAAATAGCTAAAAATAATCCTGTCTCTCCCCGTAGCTACTCTTAATATAATAACTTCAATATTGTTCAAGGTGAATTTTTCGAGTATCTTGGGTCTTATGCTAATATTGACATAATTCCTAGTTTGAACGTGTATTACTAACATTTAGTTGCCTTTACAGCCAATTGTATATATATATTAATAATTCCAATATATTAAATGTTAGTCATAATCTCAGAAGTAACAGCCCGATTGATCTTACCGTATTACAGTATTTGAAAGTTCAACACGATGTGTAATATATAACTACATATTCTAATAACCTTAAAGATATAATAAATAAAACTAATAGTGGTATCAACAGTACACATATCTGATTAGCAATCCGTGTATATACGTTTTAAGGATATATTTTATCAAGTTACCTGCACTTTAGATAATTTTTACTTGTACTTATGTCTGTGTATCATTACATGTGGTAAGGGTGGATGAAATTATAATTTTTAAATCCAACTGTAAAACTTTCAACATGTGAAATGTAATAATTCATATCATGCATGTCTGAATATTAAAAAATCATGTGATATTGCACATGTACTTTCATTAGTAGCTAGGCAAGGACCCATGCTTAAGAATGAACACATTACACCGATAGCTTTCTTAAATATTCTAAAATATGCTTAACATAATTTTTGGTCCGATCTATTTCAGTTGAAAATTGTAAAGTATCATTCATTAATCCAGACATAGTTTAAAGCTATCCTAACTCTCAAAACACTTATATAGCTATATTATTAAAATGCTACATCCTGCTTTGTGCCTCATTTAGCAAAATCTGCGGTATTAACCATCTGCTATGTACAATAAAATGACATTGCAACGATTAACATGCAGATAATTAAATACCTTTAAAATTTCTATAGTTTTATCATAATTTCTATTATTAAATAAATTAATTTAACATATTATCATATGTTAATCCTGAAATGGCCCAGCACACTTTAAATCATGGTAATAAATAATAGAAAATATGTACAAATGGATAGAGAAAATATTACTGCTTACACTACAGTGTAAAGTAAACTTAAAAGAGTACGTGACAATAAAAAATAGTAATATTCGTAAAAAGCATTAGTGCCTTTAGATACGCTAGGTAAAAATTAAAGTTGCCTTGTGCTTAATTCAATAATACTCCTAATCGATAATAATTGAATGAAGCAAACATTAATCTACAAGATTTCGTACTCATCAATATCAACAGAGCTTGATATTTAATCTTAACAAGAATAACTTGCCTGTAGAGCCGGCTGATGATGTTTTTTAAAGTGTAATTTTTTCAGCATCGTAACTTCTCAAAACTTCAATGCTTATGGTACCTCTGCTGCTAGTTTGAGTGAATCAGTTGACTGCAATTTGTTGTAAATAATAAATAGTATAAAAGTTAACGTTTAAAAGGTTTAAATATTATTCGGATTTTAATTCTAGTAACTGACGTGGTAATAATTTCGAATTTAATTACTAAATATATATAAATTAAAATACAACATATGGTAGTACAAAAGTCTCGTTCGTAGCGTAAGCGGTCAAAGTGTATGATTAAAAATGAGCAAATTTTGCTAAAGAAAGAATCACTGTACCGTAAAAGAATAGTATATCCAAAATGAAAGGAAGGATATCGTGTTAAATGTAGCGTAGACAGTATTTATTGTAAATTCTAAAGCTAGGAAGGTGGCTATTATTTGGATCTAAATACATTTTGATTTCTTATTCATATCGGATGAAAAGAATCAGTACTTGTATTGTTTCTCAAAATATCCACAAATCAGCTAGAATATGAAGTAATTCAATGAATTCACCATGCATCATCTACCAATTTATAACAGCCCTCTTAGATAGTTGACAGTTAAATCATTACAATGGACTATTTTCTGTACTCTGTATTTTGATTTTGATTTATATATTAGATGGTCGTTAAGGAGGAATGATAATATTATACGATTGCAAAGCCCATGAATATAATAGTATTTACAAACGCAATTATTCATTGCGCACGACGGCATCAATAACAATTTATGCTATCGTTAAGTTGTAATTAACTCACTGAGTAACTTAAATAAAGCTCAAAAAATTATTGTTCAACAGCATCGGGAAAATATGCATTATTATCGAGATTTAAAATCAAAAACTCTACACTCCAAATTTTGCATAAAGTCAATAGAAATTCTTTTTGTCGATCAAATTCAAAACTATAATAAAAGTAGTACTTGAATAAAGGAATTTGCTTTTGTGCAGTATGTTTGTCTGTAAGCAAATACGGTAGCAGTAATTTTAAAATAAATACATACTGAATTTATAGTTTATTGAAATAGAGTAGAAAATATACGTAAATTGAGGCACTTCAACTACTGTGATTACCGTATTCCCCCCCCCCCCTTACGATATACCGTAGGCTTCAGCATGGACTAATGCACGCGTATATTAGAGTAGCTAATATGATAAACATCAATTCCGTTTGCAAGAAAAATCAAAAATAGTCAAAAAACTTTAGATTAGTACTAATGGGTGTCATAATTATAGTATATCGTTGAGAGTATGATATGTCGCTAGCCTGTGACAACAAAGACGATTGGCGATGGCGTTACTAAAATATCAAGCCCTCAGGCTTACAAGAGTGGAGTTTAGTTAATGTAATATAAGGCTCATCATTGACAGTAGTATCGGATAAGTCAAAGACTGAACATTTTCAGGGAATTATTCTTGATAGACATATTTTATCGTTTCCGCCGGTAACTGCCATTAGTCTATATTTATTGCTTATAAAACTCAGAAAGACTCTTTCTGATTGTAGACAATATGCTTGACTTTATTTTAAGATATTCTTCTACATTCTCTATCTTATATAAAATGTTTATGGATACACTAATTTTAGATATAAAGAACTACAGTTAGAAAAGAATATAGCACGATAATAATTGAAATAAGCGGTAGGAGGAGTAAATAAGACTACTTGTTAGTAGTAGGTAACGTACATAGTACCGACCGATACGTGTTTCGAAAAGTGATATAATTTTGTCCCAACTTGAAAAACTGAATGTTAGCGAAGTTAATTTGATAGAATAGAAATCTTAAATGGGTTTATCTTTATTTAGAGACGTTAAATAGTTTAGAATAAAGGTAGAAGTAATTAGATTTAGTTTTCAATTCTCTTACAGCGTATGAAGTTTGGTCGTTACCTCGTGTTATGATCTTATAATAAACTCTACTGCAATTAGTTTCCATCACCATGACTAATGGAATATTGTCATCGATAAATACTAAGTAGGTGGAAGTATACGTTCTCAGGGAAACATTTCTTTTTTAGTGATTGGAAGAGAATTAGTCTACTATCTTTTCTTGCATATTGGAGAATTAAATACGACATTTATTCCTAATATAAAAAGTAAACTAGATGGAAATCAATTATTCTACAACGAAATGATGACCAGTGTTAAAAGTCTGCAATTCGAAGAATACTCGTGTATGTAAGACTAAAAGACGTATCTGGATCCTATAACCTATAGCCATTCTAATGAATTGATATTATCTGTGGGTAAAGGCCATAAGAAACATTCCTTCGAAATTTCATCTATTAAAAGTTTGATATATGAATTTATGATAAATTAGCAGTTATTTGTCTTTAGTTGCTCCTACGAGACCCGGTAAAAGAAGGCGAAATCTGGATAACTAAAATTAATAAACTATATTTCTAACATGAATTAATGACACTTTACTAAAAGCATCATGACTAACATAAACTAGGAACGTAAATTAAACTTAATCTCCTATAAGATAAAACGTAATATTCGTATTTCCTTCTGGAACGGGACGCCTCACTATAGTATGAGAAACTGCTATCCAAAAGACGCAAGTAGCAATCTAGTTTAGAACGAAAATTGAATTTGCTTCCGTCTCAGCCTTTTTGGGCTACTTTGCTGAAGCAGTAAGTAATCGTGATAAAAAAGATCAATCTATTGGACGAATTAGATACATATACATACTTATACATAACATAATATTAATTAATTCTCACCCATTTAGCTTATCATTGAGAATAGCTCTTACCTGAAGTCTTTTTTGGGCGGAACGATGAATTTATCGTCGAGTATCAATCAAATCGAGGATATTGCTACTTATCAACTGCAATTAATAAGGGCCAATTCACTGTAGGTGTAAAGCACTGCACCTAGACTCTCGCTTAATATGTATACCACTAATTTCAAAATGAGAATAAATTTTCACCTTCAAGACAATTAACTTGGAAATGCAATCATTTGCGTCATTGATGACATAATAAAATCAGAAAAATTTCTCTCGGACTATAGACGAACACAATGCACAAGAGCAAAATTAACTGTTCTCACAGTAACCATCAGTTACGTTACTGTATGACGGTCGTAACAAAATCTAACCATAGACAAGCAATTATATAATTTCAGTAGACCAATGATTACGCAATTAAGGTGGCCAGTATTGTGGTGACTAATGATGTATTTTTCGGAAGACTATAATACCATACATCTTATGTCCTAGTCTGCGACATAATCCTAACCGACAGGGTATTTCAAGCATTGTTTGAATTAGACATGACATGGGATATAAGAATAACAATAACAAGGTCCTTATAGTTTGCAAAAATTATTCCCTATAATGTTTTATACTGCTACACAGACAGTATTAACACCTAACCTTAGTTTATGAGCCGGAAGGTCAAGCTGGTAGACCAATATTTTAGCTTATTGACGTGAAACAGACAAATACAGTATAATAAAATTCGAGGTAGATATTCCTAATATTTATTTTCGTTTTGATTAATCTCTAAATGATTTTAGGAGGGTAAATTTTGAACCAAGATTATTATCGTATATACATTCAAATTGCCAATTATGGCATTCTGAAAAGTTATTTCATTCGTTTCTTATTAATATGGATATGTACTCGTATATTACTGAACCAAAATATTCGTTGGATTCTAGATATACTAAGCAAAATATTTTATTTCTCAGCTGTATTGAATGATGCAACTACTGTAAATTCATTATGATTGAAGAGCACAGGGTGAGAGAAAACAATTAAATCCAGTAGTTTTTAAAGCTACTTAACTAAATTTCACATGATCGGTAGTAGCCACAAAGAACTGCGCATAACAATAGATTTTATATTCGCAGAAGTGAGTTAAAAATTAAATCTTGTACTTAGTTTAAATTTAATATTGCCAACAAGCATAAATTGGTAGACCCTATAATTTTCTCTTCATTTTATTACTAAATACTTTATTAACTACAGTAGAATAATTCGGACAAAATATAGTACTGTCTTTCATATATATATTTACAATAATATTCGTTCTTGTGTTAACACTGCCAGGAATATAATTATGTAAAAATGATAGCATAAAATTTTAAGGAGAAATTAAGTATCTTTTTAACACCTCAGGCTCAATACGAAAATTAAAAAGGCGAAGCACCGGGCCTTTCAACGAAAACCAAGTACAATTACAATCGATAAGATTGTAATATTGACGTCGCCTAGGAAAATAAATATACAATGTATTAAGACAATCCAAAAAGACAACATAGATATGCTGCTACTTTCATATATCGTATGAATAAGATTTCCCCGAGGTTAGGGCAAAATTGTTCCGAATTAGATACAATATACAGTAGAACAATTGCATACGAAATGATGAATTGGAGTAATACCGTGACATCCACAGTTCGTTACACGTATACATGTACGCAGAATTATAGTGACTATTCTTGCTAAGCAAGATCAGTTCTACAAGATTGGAAAGTAACTTACTGTATAACAAAAAACATCAAAACTGCTGTCCAGTCAAGTTCGGTTATAAATTTTTAACATATGGCAATAACCAATTATAATTAGCAAGCATACAACGTTGTAAGCTAACATAGGCAAATTTAAATCACCCAGTCATGTAGTGTAACTAAGATTCTCTAACAGTAACGGCATTATTAGGACCAAAAGTAGTCATTACATGCATATCCACAAAACAACATATTATAGAACATACTTTATCTGTATGCATACACGCATACGTGTATTATAGTTAAAAATCAAATAAAAATCAATAAGAACTTAGAATACCATCTATTCTTACTATATATTGCACATTGTTAATACTGTGCTATCTCCGTATCATTTCATAATTTAAACTTCTACCTCTTCGGAATAACTAACCGCAGGAACAGATTTAGATTTTTCTTGTTGAAACTGAAACATTCCCTTTGTATTGGATAAAGTTAAGTTAATATTATCAACAGATACAGCCGCATGTTTATCTCTCCGCGTAACCTTCTCTTCTTTAGTGACAGGGAATGATTGTCGAGTTACACGTAACTCCTCTACAGATTTTGCTTTTATTGGATAAGTCTTGTCAGCATTTAACAAATCTAACGATTTACTAAATGCTGCAGATGTACTAAGGTTGCCACTTTTTTTGGTGGCGCTGCCAGTTCCATCACTAGCTTTATCTTTAATTGGCGTCAGTTTCCTTAAAGCTGTTTCAGGATTGTGCGATATATCTACGTAATTTAACGCTATCATTATAATTAGGAAGCTAAATGTTGTAAGTAATTTAATTTCAGTAAAAAATATGCTCAATTGCAAATATTGTCTAACCACTACTTTGAGTCGGCTCAAGTGACACTGATTCATTCAATACATGTAGTGCAGCATTGGTTACCTAGAAGATACGTTGGATTTGAGTAAAGTGTTATTATAAACAAAGTAAAGCAATCAAATGACGAAAGCTAACCAATAAAGTGTCAATCATGAGATCCATTGAAGCACGATAATGGACACATTTTAGTGCGCGTTTTGCTATTTCTTCATGGCCATTATGCCTAAAATTGAGTAGTAAACTCACTGTCTGTATCACTCCGAACTAGATCTTGTTGCATAATGAAGTATACTTACATTATGTACAATAATCCGGCCACCATATTATTAATTACTGCAGAATTAAGACATATTCTAGGCAGTTTATCCAAAGCTGCTCCATTATCACCATCTTTACGGCTTAAATTATAGCGATTGCGATCGCAGTCATTTTCAAATCCACAGTTTGCAATCCTGAAAGTAGGAATATTAAAATAATAAGCTTGCGTTTGGCAAATTCTTTCGATACTGTATATTTCATAGCTATTTACCTAGAGCACATTTGACAAAAGCTTGTATGGGAGTATTCCGGTAGCTCGGAAATGATTTCGTTGTAAATGCTGATAATCACGTATATTATCGAATTTCTACAGCGTATAATGCAGTTATTGAGAAAATAATCAGTCTCTGTTGTTCTAAACTAATTGCAAGCAGACAGAGTATGATAATAACTATCAAGTACCTATTAGATGCATTTAACTGATCATAAATGCTATAAGGACCAGCACTGGCTACCGCAGCATGATTCCTATCGTGCTTTCGAAGAGCTGATTGAGTAAGAGCAGTTACCTTATCAATGGTAGACTAGAAAACATAGGATTAGAAATTAATTAACGTTCTGAAGATAGTTTGTCATACTGTCACAACATTACGATTGGTAACACTTATCCATATTATCTACTTTTACTAACAGTAAATACTTTATAATACGAGAACTAAGGGAAGTAAACATTGGTTATAAATATGTTGGTAAGACAGTCGTATTGAAAAAGTCGCTCGCTTATCATGTCTTAATTACAAATTTGAAACTAAAAGCGCAATCAGTCGACAGTAACTTTCATCTTGTGCAGCTCTATAATTACCTGATTATAAATGGATGGATGACTGACAGAGGGCATTTTAAATAACTTACACGAAGGTTCTCCTTTGTGATCTAGAACGGCCTAGTTCAATGTAGAACAATCAATCGTCACAGTAGTATAAGCAATCAACCATGCATGTAATATTAGGCCAGTAATGCACTTACATCATTATATATCTTAAGCAGACATGGTGTTATGTAACTTTGTTCTGTGCTCTGGAGAGCAACCGACACAAGGTAATTCCAGATAATACCAGGTACGAATTGAATAACAGCCGGTAAATAGTTCGCGGTTTGTTTACTACTACAGGCTGATGCAAGTAACTTATAGATTTGGCAATTGATCTGGAGATAATGAATGCAATGGATAATATGTATATAAATGGCTAAGGTTGATATAGACGAATCAACTCACGACAATCAAAAATCTTAAGTTATTAAAAATCATTTGAAAAAGCTTTACAATGATTAAACGACTTGCTCTATAACTCTTTATAGTTTAACCCATTGGTAGATAGTATAAAACTAGCGGTACCAGAGATACTGGTAACTCTACGTATACTGCATAAAAGACGAAACAGGAGAAGCTATAAAAGTCGAATGGCGCATCAAAAAGCGTTCGATAACTTTTGACACCTAAAATTAAAGTGTGCCTAGCGTACCAATTATACCGTGCAATTTTTAAAATGATTAGAATGCCAACCTCAGATTTTCCAGATGTCCTTAAAGTATTTAATTCCAAGTTGATTGCACTGCTTAATGGAGAATTTGGTTTCAAATGTCGTAAAACGTTTGCGGTATCATTCGCAGAAGCCTGTAAAATATTCATCAATCTATAATATCATATACGTACGTATATGCAAATATACATCAAACAACAATATCATCATAGTCCTGGTAAGATCAGAGTTTACTGTATAAAATAAAATGAAAGAGTACATGTGCATCAACTAGGTCAGTTTTTTGGACATGATCCTACTTTCAATACTGTAGAAGCCTGTAAAATATTCATCAATCTATAATATCTAATATCATATACGTACGTATATGCAAATATACATCAAACAACAATATCATCATAGTCCTGGTAAGATCAGGGTTTACTGTGTAAAATAAAATGAAAGAGTACATGTGCATCAACTAGGTCAGTTTTTTGGACATGATCTTACTTTGAATACTGTAGAATAATACAGAAAAACTAAATACTTTGTTTGTGCGAGGCTTATATACGTATTTGGTACCATGTAAAATTCTCAATGTTGCGCCACTGTGATAATTAATCAATTAGGATATTAATTACATACTATCACGTTAAAGAACTCAAAGATCTGAAATATTCAAGATGACGTTGTCACTTATCGTTTCGATGTGACTGTCGCAACTATCAAGTTTCAAATAAATTTTTACATTGGTCAAAATTCTCAAGACACAGTCGCATCTTCATGCGGTAAAAAGTACACTCTACAGTCTATTAATATAGACAGTACTACATTAGATTACGGGGTCGTGTCGCACTATCTCGCATACAATAATTATACATACGTGTAGGTTCTTTTAATTAATTCATTGAATATATCTATTTGATATTACAGTAAAACATCTACACTAATATGATGCGAAGTAAAATAGAGTTGCACAATCTACACCATAGAGTAAGACCCATTTAAATGTGAGTTTTAACACTCTTATTACAAGCAAGTCTAGTATTGACGCAACATTGTCATACTCTAGTAATATAACATAAAATACGAGTAATCACAGCAAGTACAAATATCTTCGTGGCCAAAATCGATTGCTATTACTATTCATAAGTCGTAGCGTATAGGTGGCGAGACCTAATTACCTTCACGACCCTGAACAATAATATACAGTAATCTTGTGACTAATCGCGATCGTAGACTCCGTGGATTAATTAACGTATGGACTCAACTCAATTCAATCGTGTAATAATCTTTAGTAAAGGATCAAGATCGATCTACATCCAGAGAGAGAACTTACAGATAGTTGCTGAAGCGTTTGCTGTAGTTCTTCCGGTGTCATATTTCAAATTTTGACTTTTCTACCCACCACCATTTGGCTTCTAAAACAAGAAGTAGCTGTTGACTAACAAATTCCAGGCTAGCTAGTGTTGATCGTAAGCAACAAATCACTTTGCAAAAGCACTCTATTGTACTCGTATCGATGCTCAGCCACGGACTACTGGAAGAAGCCCCTGACAGTAAGAGTCTTGCTATGGCGTGGCGCCATCAAGATGGAAGTCTAATCAATTTTTATTACTCTTAATTAATTAATTAATTAATCCTTGGCTGTACTGTACAGTGTACAGTAAAGTAAGTACTGTACACTGTGTCCAGTACTTAAAGGGTCTGGTGAACTGTACAGTACAGTGTACTGTACAGTACCGTCAGTGATAAAAAAAACGTTTGGACTACAGTACTGTACTACTCTACAGTACAGTATACTGTACTGTCCAGTGTACAGTATGTACTGTAGAAGTGCTGTCCCACATTGAACCGAAATTGGACCGGTTCGAACCAGACCGTTCTCAGGTCTAAGTAACAGTATCTGGATTACTCTGGATAGCTCACCCAGCCTAGCCTGGCCAGCATTGAGCTTTTGCAGTGCATTGCCGTTTACCAGCAACCTCTGGATCGCATCCAAGATGTCGTCACTAGTTCCGGCAAGAATCGGTAAGTCAGTGCTCATTGTTAGCAATTCTAAAACTCTCTAACTGCAAATACTCCTTACTCCAATGGGTCATGCTTATGATAATAATATTTTTCATATGTGTACTGTGTAAGATAAATTGAGTAATAATCGTAGCGTTGTTATGATCACGCGGTAATTTGCAATCTTTAATGCGTGTCGATGTCGGTGCAATATTTTACAAGGACGCTTGAATTCTCAGAATCACACTATTATTATGAATCTATCTGTAAAGTGCTATTAATAACTGTAATATTATTTTATTATCATCGTTCTACAACCGATAGAATTAAATTTATTAAATGATTGTCAATAGAGCCGTGAAATGGCTAATAATTCTTGAAGAAGAATACTCTACCGAATGAGTGCATTGCATCGGAGTCATAGTATCGCTCTGAACTTCGACTAGTGTTTTACGATACAACTACTGCAGATCTTATAATGGCGATTGTGATCATAATCAACTGAGATTTTACTTCAAAATATGACGCATAGTAAGCTGAGTAATAATCCATTTGCTCGTATCATCATATTATAGTCATTTGTCTTGTTAACAGTTGTATCCATTCATAAGAACCAGATCTATTGGAACTCTTATGCCATTGCTGCAATTATTAATTGTAAATTCGTGACTTTGCATCCTCAGGTCTTATTTTAACCTTATTTGCAACACTATAGTTCGTAAAGCTACAATAAGAAAGTATTTTCCGAAAGCTCGCAAACCGTCAAGACCTCCGAAACCGGATGTTACTTGTGCTATTAACAAGCGTGCAAAGCAAGCCCAAAATGTTCAACGTGAGGTAAGTGATCTTTTCATGGTTGCATTTAATTTTCGTTCAAATTCAATAAAAAGCTAGGGCTGTAACCGTACGTTTTAGGTAAAGCTATCCATTTCGTGAAAAATTATATTAAAATAGCAGGTTTGCAGTATCAGTTTGCTAAATGTCAATCGGTAATTATAATCATTGTTCAATACTTATTCCGAAGTAAACAAACTGGACTAGCTAGCCTTAGCGGTACCATGGACTACTTAGAAATTAGATCTATAAACCGACACCAGTTTAATTGACATGAAAATTAAACGATTACTTACAATGCGTGACTTTAAGATTGGTCGTTTAGGAAACACTTTCTGATGCATCTGGAAATCTACATACTTCAGTTATTTTCTACAAATTTACATCATAGCCAGTATTAGGAACCAATACAGCATAAAATAAGCGATAGTTTAATGTAGGTACTATTGCTAAATCTTTGTACACAATTGGAGATGCAATTATGTTGCATTAGTATGATGAAATAATCTGATATATCACTTACAGTTCTTCCTGCAAGTACAACATACTAAGTGTGATGTAGCGTATCATCCACTTGTACAAATAAATGTATAGTAAATAGAAATATTATTGTAACTAAATGAAATGCGGCATGAGCTAATTGCTATATCTTTTACAGCCGAAACTTAGGAAACAAATCATATTTAAGGAAATCCGAGAGATACTAGATGTAAATAAAATGGTGACCGCATTTCATTACAATGACGGTATCACATCTGCAGAGTGGGAAGAATTGCGTTATATCTTGCGACAGAAAGGAATCACAATGAAAATTGTACCCAACAAGCTTACCCAGAAATCTTTAGAAGATACTCCTTATGTGAATATGCAGCCTTTATTTGTTAGTTCTACTGGTATATTCTATAGTCAAGAGCCAAGCACTGTAACCGATATGATCAAAATTTTATCTAAGTTTCCCAAAATTGAGATCCTAGGCGGTAAATTTGAGAATCGATTGTTAGCAAAATCTGGAATCTTAGATTATGCTCAGCTACCTAGTATCGATGTTCTTCGCAGTCAATTTTGTCAGTTACTGATACAAACTGCATCTAGAACCTCGTCTTTATTAGGTGGTAATCAAGCACGTTTATCCTCGCTACTAACACAACACTTAAAGGAAAAGAGCTAGCTTTTAATATGGAACTGTAACATAATTTCTAGCAATCACCATTACTTATCTATATGATATATGCAAATCCTTACAGAATTCTGCTCCACTACTGTACAGCTTTCACATGATAGCGCTATTTTTCTGCGAATGTAAATCAACTATAATGCTGTAATAAACCTTGTATGAAACCGTGATAATGATTTCTCTTATCTACTGCATATGATGATATCCTCTCATACAATAAAGAATAGTTGTATTCTAGCTGGTCAAAGCAAAATTGTAGACATCGATCGACAACTACCTGTTCAATGGAAATGGTAGAATAGTAACTAAAGATCAGCACTAGAATTTTGTTTTAAGGGCACTACAATGTACGTCATTCTACAGTAATTTATAGTAATCTACAAGGCAGATTTGCTGGTAAGAAGATTGAACTATAGACCTATTGCATTGCCTTCTTGCGTTATCATCTCAGTCGTGATAGTTAAAACGCCGCCTAAACCGCATACCATCAACTGTACCTTTAATAGTCTTATATCGCGCTAGCGGACTTTTATTCACTTGAATTATAAAAGCGATAGAATTTTTTCATTATACATTATCATTTTATACCTTATATGCTAACATGCAGGTATTTCTATACAACATAGAATTTAAAAACTGTGCTATAAGTGGTACAGTTGGTACGATCATGGTACAAAACTCACAGCAGAGTTGTATTTAGGCATAACAATGGAAAAGATTATTTCATGGTCTCAAAATTAGTTTCCTCAACAGCTTCAACTATATTATATACAGTAGATAAATCGCCGAAAAATTATCCTTCAAGTTATCACAATAGATTAAAGGATAAGATTTAAAGAAATCATTTGAGAGACAATAAGAAAGAACGTGAGGTATATAAGTTGTTGAATTCCAATATTGAGTGATTCTAATGCTTGTGGTCGTGGGACTGGTGGCTGTTATGGTGGTGACCATGATCTTCAGGCTTTGCGTAGAAATGCTCAATCCCACACGCTATGACAAAAGCGCCCAAACCCCATAGAAAACCTGGAAAGACCTTACGAAATGAAGCTGCTTTATTATAACGTGGATCGTATCGCCAAGCCTCAAATCTGGCCCATGGATCTTTTAAAGTTTTTTTTAATGCCTTGTATTCTGGCTTCGTAGACATCGCTATTTGGACAAGAAATTTTTAAATTTATTTATAATCAACAGCTGCCAGTGGTTCCTGTGATCGTGGCCACTCCAATGATATTTTCTTCTACTGATCCCATCGGAAAAACGGATGCGCTTTCACCACTCATAGTACCGTACCGTCCCCTATACAGTACAGTAGTATACTGCACATGCACGTACTGTACTGTACAGTACATGTACTGTACTGGTACCGTGGTCAAAACTGTTATTTCTGTACTGAACAATGAGTGGACACTGTACTGTACACTGTACAGTACAGTCTAAGCATTCTAGGCCACCTTACTTTCTAGTACGCGCATGTGCATAATATTATCGAGTACGCGCATGTGTGTCAGCATAGCATGTTAAAGTACCGTGTAGCATGGACTGTAATCATCATTTGATTTGTTACAGCAGTGTGACTGTGTGACGCATGACCAGTTGATTACAATATTATGGCTGTATGAGACACTACTGTACTAAAAAGAGAGTGGACAGGAAACGGTCCTTCCGTACGTACTGTACGTTCTGTGTACCTATACTAAAAATGTGAGACGACTATTGTGGTGGTCATTTGAATGGAAACACAGAGTATACATAAAATCCAAGAATTTAGTTTTATTGAAAGATATATATATTGATTATTTTACAAATTTAAAATTTACTGTAGTTCTATTCCAATGGTGGTACATCAGGATCATCTACAAAATCATCATCAGGGGTATCCGTTATTTCCGATACCTTCGGTGAAGATTTTGCAACCTTTGTTTTTGCCCAAGTCTTGTCATTGACTATGTTGTATATGTCAGCATTCTTTACTGAAGTATCACCAGCTTCTAATTTCTCGTGCCTGCATTTAACGTAAATCAAGAATACATTAATATATTACTGCAGTATTTGCAATGATATTACGAATAAATTGCCATCGGATTATATACTTCACAGTATATACGGTACAGTATACAGTGCTCGTACACCTAAAATACCGATATAAAATGCTATAGATTTTGCTTCCGTAACTTACCTTCTTGTTGAGACGGAGTTTGTAGGTGGTCGGTTTTCATTAGCTTGGGGTTTTACTTCACTCGCAGATGGCGATATTTTTGCCTTCGGTTTGTGCACTTTTATGATTTCCCTTACCTGTAAAAGGTAACGTTTACAAATTAAGTGATGGGTTCAATATACTCTGGTCTACATCTATGAATATATAGGATTGATGAAGTAGATGATTTGTCAATCAAGATGTGTACTGTTATATTTCGTTTCATCAGCGATACCTTTGGCATTGTTATAACTAGATGACCGGTCGTTTGGGATCGTTTAGCTTCCGATCGATCTGGATTAACCTCTTCCGCTAATACCAGTTGAAGAATCTACGTGTATTAGTTAAAAATGGCTATTAGCTAATGTATTTATGACTAGAAGTCATGTACTTTCCTCTAGCATACTGTACAATTACTTAAATAGCTGTATCATAAACGTGTCATAATACCTTAGATTTTATTGTCACCTTCACGTATGTCGGCTGAACATCAACGTCTATCAACGATGTATCCAAATATCTAAGGTAGTTGTTAATATTTAATTAGCAACTCAACGCAGTAATATCTATGTAAGCAATTTCAGTAAAACTGTGTGTTAAGTTATTTTTGTATCTTTGGTCAGAGATATGTATGATCACAAAATAGATCGTACATTGCGCTTTCTTTTAGGGATCACCTAATCAGAATTTTAATTCATATAAACAAATTGATAAACTAAAACTGCTACACTGGCTATTGTAATATAAGGATTTACGGCATTTGTAGTTCATTACTGTGGTGGATCTTGAGGTTGATCCATGACCCTTTTCATAAAATGTAGCTCGTGCTTTGCTACTAGTTCATTAATTTTATTGAAGCTTGAACTGTACATATACATTAGCAGAGTAATCGAATGGTCGTGTAAGGCTATGCCGAAGAAGTCTTAAGACTTCCTTATACAAAATTGTATCATAGTAGCGTTGTACTATACAGATATTGAAGTTTACTAAGTTGCTAGACACGACACAGACAAGCATTTTGATAACATAACATGTTGATAATTTGTAATCTTTGATTACTATATCTTACAACTTACCTATTATAATTATAATTATCAGACATAACATTATGCTATGTTTCGGACTTGGTGTCTTAGTGTAACAATACACATATTTTAATGACTATTCGCGACAATTACTATTCTATCGGCAGTTATTTTCCGCCAATTTTTGCAGATGCTTGCGATGAATGTACCATGTTTGCCTCTTAATAGTCATGGTTTTTAACGACTTTTATAAATTAAATGTAAAGTATCTTATGAAATACTGAAATTACTCATACTACCAGCTATTTTCAAAGGCAAAAAATAATAAACTAATTGCATAGACTTACTTGTAACAGGCGACGTCGAGGACTATATTGTTGCTTTCTTCATCATCAATTAGCTGGAAGTCAATCCTAAAATGATTCAAGCAGTAGCTCAATTATTTCATTTCTAATAATAACAAGCATGAGAACTGATATACAAATGTCTGCACCACTTGACGATCTCGCGGTCTATGTAATACACTGTAAATAATTATGTATAATAGGATACAATATAACCGTTAATACTGACTTGGCCTCGTTCACATTTAGAATTCGTCCGTCTTCCGTCTTTAAGCGAACCTGTCTTTTGGGTTGCTGTGTATCACTGCCATAATCCAATCGGTACAAAGTCATTTACTACCTTAACCCGAAAATATTTTCGGATCTTCTTATTACTATTAATAATCTCTACCTGCTTTTATTGCTCTGGTCTTCTTGGCGCTCTTTCTGCAGTTGTTCGTGTGTAGCCTTGCGAGCTTCTGGAGTATATGGCATTTTGTCCTGCCAAAAGGATCTACAAGTGAAATATTTGGAATGAAGTTATATCGCAACGATTGCTACTTCGTTAGTGATTTTCTCATCCGTATGACATATATCAATCAGTAATTACTTATTTGGCTTGTCATTTTCATTATTTGAGTCTACATCATTTTCATATTTTTCTTCGTTGGAGTCACTAACAGATACATGGGCACAGTAAGTTCAAAATCCATTTGTAACAATAAAATATTTTATTTTAAATCGGAAAAAATTAATTATTTTACTACAACTTGTCAATACCCTGCGTTTGTTTGCGCATTAATATCGGTATACCAGCGACCATCAAAGCCAGGTTTGTTCTCGTTTTTTCTTTCCTCTTGTGACTTTTCTGCTGCCTAATTAAATTACCTTTATTAACTTTGATGCATTGTTTTACTACAAAATATTATAGCATACTGTCATCCTTTTTAAAGGCTAAATCATAGTTAAAAATTGCAGAATGAACTATATTTCAAATATCTAATACCCTTTTAGCTGCATATTCTTCTTGCTGCTTCTCTATACTCTTTTTTATGTTAGCATAATCCTATTAGAATGTTAGGAGTACTCTTATAAGTGTACATCTCGCGTCTCCAATTTCATATATTTACGATTTGAAATCACATCGCTTATTTGAGAAGCTATAATGCTAGCTTATTGACAGTAATTTTACAGCTATTACTTGTTTAATACCTGTATCGCAATTATTCTCTCTGATCTTTCGACATCTTGACCATCAAGACGCTAAGAAAAATCAGTACTTCAATTAAGTATTTATTCTTGTATTAGTGTGCAATTACAATGTATATTACCGGATGCTTTATATTTAAAAATATACAGCAAGATACCTTCAATCCTGGAAGTGTGGCTATAACATACTCTCTATAATGTTCATATTCTATACATGGGTTTCCCGTTAAGTATCTGTCAAAATAGCGATTTTATTTGTAATTTATTACGAAATCTCATTGCTAGAATTGATTAGTATTAATTTAAAGCTTTATAAATTGATATACAATTCTTTAAAGTTGTATAGTTTCTTTAAGCATTCAACACTTGTCAATTCACCAACAAAATTGACGGTTAAATCCAGTTTTTCTAGTGATTCACACCCTAAATTAATTGAATATTAATTCATAATACATTAAGATTCTTTCTCCGAAGATTTCTTGAATTAGCTGTAGATCATACACTCTATAAACATTTATCTATTGCCAAGCATTTATTATCCATTTCTAAAAGTTTAGACTAATAATAAAGAGGTAAATGAAATTTATAAATTGCGATCTTACCTTCCAAATTTTCTATTCTTTCAACGTTATTTAACGCAAGATTAAGATACTTTAACTTTTTTAGACGACTCACATTTTCTAAATGATTTTATTTAAAAATTTTGCTGTTAAACTATAATGTAAGTCATTATTACATAGCTTACTAGTTGACTTTATCATGGATTTGGTAATTGATCACTTACCAATTTTAGGAATAAGGTTGCTTTGTAAGTACAATATTGTTAGATCACGACACCATTTATCTAAATATTCAATTCTAACACAATAGTATCATAGAAAAATTAGCTTTGAAGTTAATTCCGTTTAATAAGTATCCCTTCAAGATTTTTTTTAGCTTCAGTAGAGTATAATCATTCTTCTTAGAATAATAATGTCACTTGTATCGCATCTATAGCCGGAATGGAACTAAATACTATATCGTCCTTGAAGAAGAAGTAAGAGTTGATTACCATAATGTAATTTACAAATAACTAAGCACGTATAAGCCTAAATATAGACCAAATGACTAACCCATTATAAACAGGCGATAAAGTAAAGTATACAGACCATTCTTGGCGTGTAATTTATGTCTCTGCATAAATTTTAAACTTTATACCGAAAGCGATATAGGTAATACCCTGTATTATCGCGTTTAGCATAAGAGCGAGCTAAATGCAATGGTCTTATTTACAAAGTTCATGTGCATCAGCTATATGTTACATACTTTTCAATATCTTGCTGATGTAATGATATTTCTTCCAACGTCGTAATTTCCATATTGTTATGCTCGGCACGACGCCTTATTAGTTGTTCTGTTACTGCATTTTATTTAAAAAATTATATTCATATACTTGAAATTAGATGTAGGTAATACGAGCTTCTAATCATAACATCATCAGCATAGATACAACACACAATGTGCCTGTATGTGAGAAGTACTGTAAAAATCAATTGAGAATGTAAAACAAAATACACCTTAGCCTACAGATACGTATAGACATAAATTGAAAAGTAGCATATATTAGCATCTGAAAGCATCTTCTCTCACATTTTTGATAGCAAAATCAATGTACAGAACTACATTGGGAGATACTTACTGAACACCATAATTATGATCGCGTATTTTGATGTTTTGAAAGTCCAATAACTCTTGATAAATACTGAATGAACTTGTGGCAGATCACGGCAATAACTGTACGTTATTTCACTACTAACCACAATAAGCAATAAGCTAATAAACTGTTATATTGAATTAATAGCGCTATATAGGCACAAATCTGGTAGGTTCACGGTTAAAAAGCAACGCTTCACTACTAGGGTATAGCTCTATACTGTTCTAATCTGACTAAGTCAAAGGCACCATACGAGCACAGCTTTAACATTTACTGTGGAAAATTGCATATACGAGTATGTATCGAGCTGATACTACGTAACAACATTCACTATCAATACGTCACATAGACGTACGTTACTGTAGTCCATAATCCATATGCGGATAATGAACTACTACTAACAAAATAAAAATAATACTATGCTGTGAACACTACGTGATACTTGACATTCACACTATGCATTTCGTATTTCGTATATATATATATATATATATAAATATGATACAAGAAGCATAATTAATCCATAAAGTCTCGTCTAGTTGCCATAGAAACGTTTACATTCTTAAGGCTCGATTGAACCTCAGTGCCCACAATATTGAAGCATGAACTACTTAAATTAAATAGTTTTATGAATGAGATGAATAATTTAATTAATTGGAAATGCTTCCTACAACTTCATATTATTACTTCTACATTACTAAATAAAATCGTAACTATAATGAAATTATTACGATTTCGCATAATGTAGCGTACTGTTTGATTAGTATTATTACGTACGCGTACTATCGATAAAAGATATTTCATTTCTACGTGTAATACAAAGTAATCTTAATATTATACACTATACAGTGGTACTATGAACGTACACGCCTATAATCTAACCTCCATGACTTTGCGCTATGTAGTCAAGCAGGCCCCTTGAAGAATTTACTAAAGATACGAGAATGCTGTCAAAATACGCTCACACTTAAATATATCTTTTCTCCTGCAGTAATAATAAAATATTATTCACACATAATCTCATAACATAAAAGTAATATGGAATTTGGGCATTGATATTTTTATTTTAATACAAAATTTACTTGCAATACAGATTTTAGTTCTCATGTACCTCTATTACTTCGTAATTATGTATGAAAGGATTTATTTAGCGATGTAAACTTTTGTCCATATTTAATTACTCTGAATATATTGCTCTAGGTGAATGAGATAATATAAGGCCTAAGACCAGCGAATTTAACAATTTAAATTAATGTCTTTATTTCACATTTAAAAAATTAGGGTTAAAATTTCTTTCATTTTTAAACTTTTAATACATTTGTATAGTGCATTTCTATCGCAGCCTAAAACTTGTCAGCCTAACAAACTTCTCATCCTCTTTTGTAACAATTTACTCATCACTTCTAACAATTCTAGTTCTTGAAGAAACTGAGATAAATCATAATGTAGCGAGTTTATTACTCTCATTTAATTACGCAAGCGATGTAATGTTAAACTAAGATTATTTATATATATATATATACAGTCTCCATTATATCGTAGTGATAGATGTATACAAGGTTTCATCTCGGACAAAGGTAACACACTGCATATTAGTTACATTATACCATTAGGAAAATCATTCATAGCTCATCATACACAATCAGAACTGAATAAGGTACATCTGACATCCAAGTTAATGTTGCTTTAAGTAAAGAAAAATTTTATCCAACTAATAAATACAAAATATTCTTGTTTTATCATGGAACATTACGCATTTTATATTACTATCAGAAAAGCCTAATGACATTACAATGGCATAATGAGTGATTTTTATGCCACAACTGTAATTACCAACTGTTTCATATAGGGATCTCTATCGACAGCCTTACTCCGTACTGTTAGCAATAGAAATTAACGTTCCAAATAGTTCTTTGATACCTTGACCAGTCGCAGCAGAAGTTTCGAAATACTTCGCATGATGATTTTTAGCCCATTTCATACCCTCTTCTTTTTTAACAACTCGTTTTTGATTGCAATCGATCTGATTTGAATAAAAACAAAATATGGAATTACATAGTTCAACAGTAAATGATAATTATTAAATTATTAATGACAACAGATAATACCTTATTTGCTACTACAGCTATTTTTGCCTTTGTTTCACAATATTTTTGAAATTCCCTAAGCCAAGAATCTAAATCTTCAAAAGTAGCTCGTGTGGTAACGTCATAAACAAGAAATACCGCCTACATGACAATTAAAGAGTTATTCGATTCAAATATACGATACCTAGAGACTGTATTAAGATGGTTACCTTTGTTTCTTCGTATAATTCGTTACGAACATCACAATATTCATTTTGTCCAGAAAAATCCCAGATATTAACATATGCTAGTTCAAAATATTAGAAAGTTTCATTATAGAGCAAGTTAGTTGTAGTGCGTCTACTTGAAAAGAATCCTCTCAAAATTTACATTATTTTAAAGCATACTTTCCGTGTCGTCTTCAGAATGAATTCTGAAACCTATTTAATTATTAATAAGGATATAGTTATAGTAAAAATTATTCGATTTTATGAAACACGCACATTTTATTTGTAAAATTAGAAATTTTTGACTAGAACACCCAGAAAACTATCGCCCTACCATAATCCACCCCAACAGTCGCCTGGTACGAGTCTGAGAACTGTAAAATTCAAATCAAGTCTTTATAAATCCCCTATGACGTTGGTGATAATCTCTATAACCGCGTAGATGTTATCTAACAGCTGAAATACTATTTAGTAACGTGAGAAATTGGCTTACACCGGCGTCGCAGAAATTCTTGATAATACTGGTTTTACCAACATGAGCGTTACCCAAGGTGATAATCTAGCGTAATGAAAGATAAATTACTTATTTACTACAGCATTTTCCTATAAAAAAATAACACGGAACTCTACTATTAAAACTAGACAGTAACCTAACGAAGCTGAGTTTACGCTCTACGTATACCTGCATGAAATTGTGAAATATGATACTTTAACCTCGCAATCTAATCTCTGTAAATCGTTTCATTCACACTAATAACGCAATCGATGTTTCGTACCTTCATTAAATCTTTTACATTTACCCTAAATCTTACCTTACACCATTTAATAGAAGCGGCAACATCTTTCACTGGGTGTGTAAGGTGATCTTTTTCCCTATCCATCACTCTCAAAAACTTTAAAGAATATTGCTTTTGAGAATTTCATATGTTTTATCGGCTTCAATTACTAGGGTTTGAGCTATTGCTAAGTTTATCGCTTCATAGTATACTGTACCTTACTAATGTCATTTAATTTTTCATGTATACGTTGTTTAAACAATTATAGCATATTTTACCCTGTAATCCAAATTCCAGACACAATCAGCTCACAAATTTTATTTTATTTCAATCGACAGCTCTCTTTCACGATTAATCAGAGTTAAAGGAATAGTTGGTATACGTCTTTAATCTTTTCACAGGGCTTAACTATACGTAGTACAACAGAATACGACTATACTAATCCTGAGCACTTATTCTACTAAGTAATGCCCAGTAATTAGGCATATAACAACTTCGATGGTTTATACTTATGATTTGATTTACAATTAATCGGATATTATACCGTAATCAAATCGCTATTCTATAGTATCTCGCTAGTAGTTAGTTGTATAGGTTTCCAAGGAGCCTTAGTGTCAATAAATACACTACGTATAGGTAGTGAATCAATGGCGTGTTTGTTATTTACTGTTTACAGTGCTATTCAAGTTGTTTGATATACCAGAGGTCTTTTACCGGTATGTTTCATACTGAGAAGAGGTAACATGCACGTTCATTGCTATAAATCGTGGTGTAAAGTAGTGTATCAAACTTGAACGGCTCCTTCCATTTTATGCGGTAGGTTTATAGAATCGCAGCATATAGTGTAGTGTATATTTACACCATGAGTTACGCTATTAATAATACCCGCTAACTGATCCAGATCACTATCCACTAGTAGGGTTTTTACTGTAAGTTCAAGCTCTCCAACAGGATTGCTTTTAGCTAGGCACTACTAAAGACATGCAATAGGTCTACCTAATTTCAGCTTTCACATTTTTGTGCTGAGAAATTACTCAAATTAGCGTCGCCGTCCCTTTTTAAATTCCTGCTTTCAGCACTCAAGTTCCAGATCTGATGGATGAACCAGATTTTCAATTTCTGTTGAAGCATGTTTTCTTCATAAGTATCAAAATATCAATAGTTTTCCTGGTAATACCAGGCTGGTAGAGACAATAATTTTAATGCTACATCAATATCTTTCATGAATTCATTGACATCCATGATTCTCTCAGCAGAGCTCTTGAAAATCGTCGAGTTGAGTAAATTATATATAATTATTTACAAAAAATAAGTCAATAGCTTCCACTGTGCTGTATCGCATTATCCATTACAAAAATATGGTCGTTACATCAAAAGCAGATTGTAACGATATTACTAAATACAAGTGTGTATATTAACATAGACATAGTAGTCATCAATAAATAATGTGATAACTTACTGATAATACGAAATTAAAATACAAAATTGCATAAAAGAATGAAAACAGCATCAAGAAATTATAATCCATAGACAGGTTAACAATTTAATTGTAGTAATTTCTTGATATAAGCATAAAATGATTGAAAAGATTGCACAGACTCCCATTCCATGAGATCGAATTGAGCAATAATTTCCATAGTGTCTTTCTGACGTGATTCTACCATTACAGTGAAACTAAATAATGATGCTTCTTTTTCGTTGAGACATTTTATACCATCACTTTTATCGACTTCATCCTCCTTCGCATGAATATCAAAATTCTTTTCATCATCTACAGTCTCTTCGTGAGGCTGTTCCTTAAAGTAAGCTTCAGAAGTTGTCAATCTTTCTTGCAAACGACGTTTTTGGCGTCGACCTGTCCACGTATTCCTGTTTGCTTTGCAATGAGCGAACAAACGTGGAAATTTCCTTTCTACAATGACCTTCTCCTCATACTCTACTTTTGCTTTCTTTGCAGGAGGATGTACTAAAATATCTTCATCTCTACAATCTGGCTGGCTAACACAACTATCTATGCAAGTCAAATTCTTACTATCGAATAACTTTTCAATTTCCGTGACAATTACACTGATCGTTGTACCATTTGCACTATCAGTCAGTAAAGAATGTCGTAAATACTTAATGATTTCTCTGTTATAAATACAATCAACGTCTAGTTCCACTTTTAGCCGCTTCAGCAGGTAAAAATAGTTGATTACAGTTAGTAAATACTGCTTAGAAGCTTTGTCTTCACATTCAAGCAGTCTCGAAGTATCAGATAAAGCGTCACTAAGATAATTAAAATTATCCACTACAGATAAAACAAATGAATTTTTTGCTAATAAATCTTTGTATTTGGCAGGACTGAAAAGTTCTTTTAAAGTGATGTTTGCTCTCGAAAAAGAGTCTTTAGCAGCCGATTGAGCTGTAAGGATTTTAATGCAATTGTTCATAGCAACCCGAGCTTCACGTTGAAACCTGTGTAGCCCATCTTTATTAACATTCTGTGTTGTATTATGATTTAATAAAAGAGGGTCCTGAACACAAATCGGAGTTGTCTTAAAATTTTTCATAGCTTTGACCAATACATCATTGCCAGCAATGTCTCTAACAATCTCATCAAATGTCACCGGCAGTCCATTCTTCACACTAATTACACATTGGTCATAATCAAAAAGTGTTGCATAAAAGCAAAAGAACTTATGAAGGAGAGACGCTGCAAAAAAGTTTTTAAAGTTTACAATAAGCATTCAATGATATAAAAAGTAACAAGTTTTGCGGTAATCAAGTCACAAACATAGAAAATATATATGTCATACTTACGCGTTGCTTCTATTGATACAGTCTTAAATACAGTAGTAGCATTTTTACAGCTTAAAAACGAACAGTCCCAAATACCTATTACATTATTGGATTTCACCTAAGTATAACAATGAATCAAATATTAAATCTCGCGGTATATACCTACCTGTCATGACTGAAATTAACCATACATATGAAAATGTTAAAATTAAACGCTGCAAAATCATTTAAGGAAAAAATATATAACGTACATTTTGTTCTCTAAATAACGTTTGTAATGAGGGCAACACCGATGGCTTGGTACATTGAAGGAAATATATTATCATCAGTATTAAGCTATAACTTGTGAACTGGCCACCAGAGTTTAACGTAATGCCTCTGCAGTAAGCCCAAGTTCGTATCGTGAAAACAAGAGGCTTGACACGAGGATCTAGTTTACTGTACTCCTGCAGCAGTTGACTGTTAGCAATCCCAAGCCTGATAAGTAAACCAACAAAACATAAAGTTATGCAACACAGTACTTGCTGTCGCTGATTACTTTCTTAATTTTTTCGTACCTATTATTAATAGTCAAATCACAACAAAGGCTACATTCATTATATTTAAATTTGATAACTGGCTCTCTAGCATTCGATAGAGCAATCACATCCAAACATCCAGGAATACATTCCTTGATGAATTTTGCCACAACAGAAAACGTACTCCATGGCCGACGAATGGTCACTTTTTCATCTTCAATATTTATATCTGTACTCGTTTCGCAAAATCCTTTATCTGTGATTGCATTCTCGTCCATAATCATTGCTATATCTAAATCACCGCTAGCTTGACCAAATCCATTGACTGCGGAACCAAAAGGGACGATTTTAACGCTTTCATCAAGCTCAACAAAACACTGCTGCAGTAAATCGCAGACTAATCTACGCAAGCGATTATCGTTATCTGTCAATTCACGCTGCTGCATTACAGAAATAAGTTGTTGTTCTAACTATATTCGGATGAAAGTTGATTCAGTTAAAAGTGAAATTTCGTATGTACAAATCAAAATATAAATTTAGATTACTATTTAATGGTGAAACGCATAAATTCTTAAGATCAAACAACGGCACTCACCGTATCAGAATCATCAATTTGCAACCTTTCAAGCAACTCATTACTCAATTGTTGCAAGGATTTTTTAACCTTTTTTTGTTCTTTACTTTTCTTCTGTACATTGCCTTTTATAATATCAGCAGTTCTTTCTTTAATAACAAGCTTACGGCCATGAAATTCGGGTAAAGACTGACTTATCCTAAGCACCTCTTTAGCACTTTCTTCTTTTAGAAATTCGATAATAGCAAAGACGGGCTGCAATATACAAAGTACCATAGCTAAATCTAAGAAATCACTTACCAAACTCTTAAATACAATCGATATTATTCTAATATCTTTCAACAAGACTACCTTCTCTTTATCTGAATGAACTGCCACGATCTCGCCATATTTACCAAAGAAAGATCTGAATTCATCAGCCAAGTCTGTACACTGATTAAAATTGCGCACGAAAATACTTCGTTTCGCCACTTCCTGACGTCGTCGTATCTCCTGTGCAAGACGTCGATGTTTTCTACCTTGATAATGTGCAGCTTTTGAGCTTTCTTATATATTAAAATAATGAAATTGCAATGGGCAGATTAATTCGAGACATCATTTCAACATCACTCCCATAAGTAAAAATAAGATGTAATATTATTATTATCTATTTATTCATTCATTTCATTGCGTACTAGAAGCAAGCTAATAATACAGTACAACCTAACGATCAATTACTAAATCATCCCATTTATCCAATCCCTTACAGTTCTTAAGTGCGCAGCAGTATCTACAATTTGAAGTTGTCAAATTGTAATTCTAATTTAGAGGTTGCACGACATTACAGCCAGTCTAGCTCAGATTTAGCTTCAAAGCAGTCTTACCTAAACGTGCAAGATTTCATCTACGTATTTTACGCTGCTGTATTGTAGCAACTCAGACGCTGAATAGTTTTTATTTTTTGAGCACTTTATAGCCAATATTGAGAGTGAAATTTACAACTTTTATATAACGTACCTGATTCTAATTTCACACCGCAAATCTCACAGACCGACGCCATGCTAAATGCCTCGTTTTGAGATCTAGAACCAAATCAAAGGAAGAGTGGAGCGAAGTACTTACTTACTAAGGTAATTAGCTGCTCGGCAAGATGGGCTGCCTAAGTGCATCGATCGTACTAGCACTGCCCTGTATTATCCACCAATGTCGATCCATATAGTATAGTAGTCTGACAGTACTTTCTATTCTTGGTACTTGTTTCGTTATTAGATAAAAATGAATTAATTATTTTTCATACTGTAGCAATACTCAGTACACGTGACACCGTAGCTGAAATCAATCCGACTACCGTCCAGTATCGAATGTACTGTACATATTGTACTGTACAGCGCAGTACAATATACTGTACATTCAAGTGCACAATATACAGTATAGAAAGCTGGACAAGTGGACAGGCACCATTTATATCCAATTCCTCATACTAGGAAAAGCAAATATGTCTGCTTATCTGCCGAAGGATCCCTCAGCTCCACAACGTTGGATATGTGTCTATCCGGTTTATATTGATAAAAATAAGAAAATACCAGAAGGTAGACGAGTATGTAAAGAGAAAGCTTGTGAAAATCCAACAGCGGAGGAGATTAGAGACATCTGTAGATCGCAAGGCTTTGACGCGGAAATCGAACGCAAGCAATATCCTCGTAACTCTTACTTTGATAATCCTAGCAAGGGTAGAGTACGTATTAGGATGTTTAATAACGATCAGACTTTGGCTAATCCCAAATTTAAAACCCGTAAGCAACTTTTAGTATTCATTGGTGAAATGATACCAAAATTAAAGAGTAGACAAGCTCCCAAAGGTGCCGAGGGTGGTGCGAGTGGAGCAGACGCTGGTGGAAATGTTGGTGGTAGCACATCGAAAAAGAAGAAAAATAAGAAAGGAAAACGTTAGCTGATTGTATTTTTACCATGTTCCCAATATATTATCGGGAACTGGAATTTCGTAACTACAACAGGGCTACTTACGCCTTGAAGGACCATTTCCAATTATTCAAAATTAACTAATGAATGAAATTTTCTAATATAACAGTGTACTGTATAGTATTTGCATTATGTACCATAGAGTGTCTGTACTTGATAGAGATTATTATACCGTCAGCCACCTCGGTTTGCATTATTAAATGCAACAACTTGGCGATTCTTGTTACTGTTATTGCAAATAAAGTCTTTATTTTCAAAGATAGATTGAAAATACAGCCTTAAAAATTCAATTTCATGATTATCGATGACGAAATTTGTATGAGTATGCTCAAGACATCTACAAGATAGTGTTAATTCTCTTACGAACCATTAGCAACTGAAACAAGCTTGGGATGAACAGCAATTGGATGAAAGACATTCGAGCTTAGGTTAATGCAATTATTATATGGAATCTATGTCGGATTGACTATTGGCTGTTAACTTTTTGTTATGATCATAATCAATAATGTAACGCCGGCGGTATCTGTAAAAACTGTTCTACGATGCCTCAAGATAATCAAGTAAAATTTCTGCAATGGCATACTAATCTGTGCACTTGTACTTCTTTGATGATCATGATTAGTAATATGTTACGGACTGCACTGCAGCTCTCATGACCGATTAACAGTCAATAAAAAACTCGAATCGATCACGTTATAAAGGTGCTCTATTTCTAGTTACCTTGCTGAAGTTGATAGCACGAGTCCACTATTGGCAGATTCCTCCTCCTGTACAGTAGTACTGATTCAAAAACACTTATGTAATGCACTCCTCACCTAGAAGCACTGTACACTGACATACAGTAGCATCTAAGCTGTGAACTCTAAACAGTGTCTTTTACAAATCTATTTATCAGAATATACTGATTCACTGAAGCATTTGAGATTGGGACATTCTTTCTAAACCCTTTCTAGTCTTGTTATACCAACTCTCTAATCATTCATTCCTGCATGCAGTAGTAGACAGAACTAAACATCACTAACTTCATTTTAGGTGATTAGTTTACTGAAATTCTTTCTAGTTCTGTATCTGGGAATTGACAATGTTCTTCATAAATTATATTCTACTCAATAGCGCAGTGATCGTCGGAAGATATAAGAAAATGCAACAATCTAATTAACCTAGCCTATGGTTGGATATCGAAAAACTTCAGTTACTATACGCCTATCAGCAATGATCTACTAGGCATGTACAGTACTGTACTGTACTGTAAACTGTACTGTATTTGGCATTCTGTACAGTAGATCACTATCATCATGATGTCCGAATTCTGTCAGGGACAAGTACGAAGAAAAAACCCTCAAGTCCATCGTTCTGTCTGTACATAAAATTGGTATCGGTCCACTGTACCGTACGTACAGTACAGTAACAGGGAGTCTCTGGCAGTATACTACTGTACACTACATTGTACAGTCCTGTAGGAGACAGTAAATCTTGAATAATTACAGTATAATTGCCACAGTACAGTACTGTAAAGCTTTGATAATGTACTGTACTTGGTAACCAAGGAGACTTTTCTCTTTAAGACTCGCTGCCACGGTGCGAGCCACCTAGACACAATATCAACTAATATCAACTGCATATAGAAGTGCATTACTCAAAATTACATTTAGTATATAAAATTAATCCACTGTTATACAGTACCTAATCAATTTCACCAGCTATAGAGTGTCATCTTCCCATATCGAATTACGACATAATTGGCGCATAGTGGAGATGACTATACTGACATTATATTGGTATAATGCCATCCCGAACGATATAAAATAGGTTACTCAGTATACCGTAGCGCCCGCAATATAGTCAGTATACGCGTATCAATTTTATCATGATCTTATAGTAAAAAAATACAATAAAACATTATAATACACAAAATGTCCAAACTCAATTTCTTCTTATAATTGATACTATAATTTCGAATCTAAATTAAACTTTAATAAATTAATGACTTTACTGTATAATACCCACAGTCATTTTTAAAAATTACCACCTATAAACGGATTAGAGAAGTTTATAACAGCAAGTGAAAGGTTATCGCAACAGGATCAAAACACTGACAATTGTCTATGAATTCTTATTAATTAAGACAAGCATTTAGGTAAGCCGATTAAAAATATGTCAAATCGTGCCGTGCCGTACCTTCTTGTTAAATAAAATGTATGGAATTGATTAAAAGAGGGCACAAGCATTCTACGTAGTATTCTATTGTATCATATTTTCAAGCGTAAATGTTTAAATAAAAGGTGTAGAAAGAGTACCTTTAGCTCAATATTACAGTTATTTCATTACCAAGCTGTAAAATAGAACAGCAATCTTTGTTATGATTTTCAAATTACGCCTTGATAAAATCTTAGGGAACATGCTATAGGTTGTCCTGTTGTAACATATTGATCCAATTTACTAAATAATGGATTGACCAAGTACTATAGATAAAAATTCACTCAATTTTATTCCACAAGTATATAAATCCAGCGACGAAATCTCTACCTATCTTCCGCTTACGCCATCATGTGCATGAGTATTCAATAGTCCAAGGCTCAAATGTATATCAATAGTGCGGTGCATACACCATTATTTACAATGTAATTTACCGGGACTTTTCTACTTAATTTATAAGTGAAAGAACAATAAATAGAACCCAAGATGTTGCCTTAAAATTCGACGATCGTACTGCAGATACAAATCTACTTTTTACTTCAATCACTAGTAAGCATCATTTTACGGTAAAGGAACCAATAGAATATCGGTCCAATCAAGGTGTATCATTGCACCTTTTTCCTTAATTCTACCTTCACGTAACATTATAACCATTGTTCATTGAATGCTTAATTTCTTCTCTGTTTAATCCTCTTTTCAATAAGATCATTTTTAATATTGAAACCCTTTCAAAAATTTATTAACATTTTGATGGTTTTCCTGACGATTCTTTTTAACCTCTGAACAGTTATAATGAAAATTACTGCTATCTATGACACTTCATCTTGGTATTAGTTTGTACAATAAAGTCGTTAATTTTGTATGCCATCCTTGATGTTATCATGGCGACACATATATTGACTATAACCATTTCCACATAACTATATTTCTGACTTATATGTAGTTTTCTTCCTCAATCTAGATGTTTCGCTATGGAGCTAAAACTGAACAATAAATCCTAGACTGTGTTAATATTCGAAAAAAATACATCATAATATTAGAAAGTAACTTTAAATTAATTTTATATTTGACTTAGAGAATAGAATGTCGTAGTACTGTATTTGATCCAGCTATATCAAAAAGTGCGATGTTTAACTATGGGAACTAGCAGCTCAGTTCCTAATAAGCAAAGTCGTAAAGATGGCAATACGAATACTACACCGTCAACAAATAGCCATAACAACGAATCTCTCGGGTCTGATAGCGATAATCGCCTACTAACTGGACAGGATAGTAGCCTAGATGGTACTCCACGAACAGAGCGGAAGATATTCACAACCTTGGCCAAGAGGAAGAGCGGCTCAATTCGCAAAGGAAGCGTTCGAACATCACATATGATCACTGATCTAGAAGCTGAAGTTGAAAAATTGAAAAAAGAGTTTGATGTCTTTCGCCTACAGAAAGAAACTGAAATCGAACAACTGAATGCTGCTAAAGAAAAATCGAATAATGAAATTAAACGTTTAAAGGGTGAAGTTAAAGTTACTAGAGATGCTTGTTCCAAGCTTGTAACAGAGCGTGATAACGCTGTCACTTCCGAGAAACAGGCCATCGCCAGAGCAGCAACTTTCCAGCAAGAACGTGATAAGATACAACGTCAATTTAAATTGTATCGAGAAACCAAGGAAAGTGAATTACATGAACTTTTGAAAACTAAAAGGGAGCTAGAAGGAAAATTATTTAGACAAAATACTGTTGATAGTACTTCTGGTAGTGCTATAGTCAGAGAAAATTCAGCAAAAGCTGAGGTACGTACGCTAGGTGGTGTAAGCAACGTTAGTAATCCGCCTCTTGTTAGTGACTGGTCAACGTCACTAGAAAGCAGTTGGTCAATTAATTGGGCTGCTGTATGCAATGATAAGGGGCCAGAAGCATCCCAACTTGGCGATATTGATGGTCCATATTTAAATATCAATAAAGGTATGAATAAGACCACAATTACTTCTTTCGTTGGTCTGAAAAGCTAGTTGCTATACGTAATAGCAAGAAGCAACTTTTGGGCCATTTTAATTCATACCAGCTGAGTTACTATTGCTATTTAATATTCCAATTTTTAACCAATGTAGATGACTGGAAAGCTGCCAGTATGGCTCTATCTAAATCATTGCCACTGTTTATGCAAATTGCTCCTATTAATTCTTTAAAAGTCTACGTATCTGCGCCTAAAGGCTTAGAAAAAGAAGTGGAAATACTAAATCAGGTCAGGAACAGAATACCAGAAAACAATTCAAAGGCTTAGAAATTAATATATATGTGGTTATACTGTATATTTAGGTATATGTGGGAAAGCTTCAAGATATGTGCCAAAGACATGGGTGTCATTTCCTTCTAATACATTTACCATACGATGGTGCAACCGTTACCAAGAGGGTTCGAGCATGAATTGAATTATCTTGAATCACTAAGAACTATAATCAGATTTTAAATCAGTGATAGTAATCAACAATGTAATATTTACTTTAGGAATTTGAAAGGGCCGTTCATATTAGAAAATCTTTAATAAGAGATTCCGGAATCTTTTTGGCGTTTATGGGAGAATCTGCTAACAGGCAAAATTCTTATCTTTATCACTAATACTATCATTAAAAGATTTCTTACTTAGGAATATCAATTAAGTAATATTTTGAACAAATCTTTTATTTCAGGTTTTCTCAGATGGAATTCGATCACGGTCATTTACGATGTGCTGGATCTAGACCTGCCATATTTTGTTTTAGGAATATTGCGTGGGATCAGTAAGTAAAAAGCTAATATTTTCGTAACAAATTAACTATGACTTCCAGAATATAATGTATCTTCAAATGGTTACTAGGCAATTTCCAGTGAAGGCAGACACATTTCGAGGCTATTCCGCTAAGCAGCTAAAGGTCATGATAAGGAATAGCAAAAACGCAAAGGTATGATTATTCATCAACCTCTGCCCTTCCAACAAAAAAATTAAAAATTTCATAATATTGTTAATTAATATTGATTTGCTTTAATTCTCCGATTTAAATAATGTAGGCAATAGATAACTATAGCAGTCCTGATGAGGGTGCAGAGCTGGCTTTTAAAGAACTTCGAAAACTAGTGAAATTGGTGAGATTTTTATTATTATATATATCTGTAATATTTTAAAGCGTCCTTGATGTAGTATGCTAACCACTGTAATTAATTCATAGATTCTGGGAATAGAAGATAATGAAGTCTTTTTATCCAGTAACGGCGATAGTGATAGTGCAATTATAGAAAACTCTGACGATGCCGTTGTAGATGATGAGGACATATTAGATAAGACTAATGAATGGGATATCCTTGGGGAAGCCGAACAGCTAGAATCACTACGTATTGCTGCTGATGCTAGCGACATATTTGGCCTTGACGAGGTAAAACATTCATTTATTCCGCCATTTGCTCTATGTATTTATACGGCTAATGGATTGAGTCTCATAAAAGAACAAAGTAAATTAGATTGTAGTTCCTGATATAGTGCTTAGATACACTATCTATGCGATTATTGGTCGTAATTTTATTGGTACTTGTCAACAGCTACTCGTCATAAATATATCTTCTTGATACATTAGCATATTGCCATGGTATCTAAAGAAATTAATGCTGAAGGACCTTCTCCCCCATTGTTGATCATTGGTGATCAGGGCTCAGGAAAATCATTATTATCAGCGAAATGGTATAACACATCTTAGCACACTGCATGCTATAATACACAAGTGCAAATTAATTTAAAGGAACATTAAATATTAATAAATCTTCTCTGATAATAATATAATTATTTTACACTTGCTTTATATAATATAGGATTGAAGAGTACCAGAAACTTCACCCCGACTGTATCATATTGTATCATTTCGTAGGGTTACCAAATTCTATTAGTGCAGACTCCCTTTTAATGTTAAAAAGACTAACTATGCAGGTTATTTTGGATTATTTTGGGAAATTTTGTTAATTTATAAATTTACGGAAAAATTACCGCTATGCGTAATTGATCTAAATGATACGTTTATGTAATAATACAATTTTAACTTATGATAAAATTTAGCTGATGCGGCATACAAGGCAGCGAAACAAGCCAACCAATGACCCTTTTAAGTTACAGGAAGATTTCCTTACTAACTTAGAAAAAGTAGCAACCGAGCGTAACAGCCGCGTAATATTACTATTAGATTCTGCAGATAGATTTCGGGTTAGTGTATCAAATGTATATAAATAAATGTTATAGATGCAGTACTTGTAAAATATATCAGTGATTCGAAACGATAAAAATATGGATTAAGAAGCTCAAAAGGCTAGTAGAGCGCTTATCTTCGGTAGCTATATTTATTTTCTGCTTATATTTATGTATAATTATGCATTAGTCTTGCGAAACGGAGCTAAAGTGGCTTTTAGATCCATTTCCTTCGGAGGTAAAGGTGATTCTGACCTGTAAGGAAGGAACCATACCAGAAGCATGGCGGTATGTTGTGATGATTATTGACAATATCTATTATCCATAGCCAATATATACTTCACAACTTTTTTAATCTGATCTGAACTTGTGTCTATTAGTCTGCACTTTATATTTGCTTCCTTTGCTTATAATAAGCCTTTATATCATAGACTTGTAGATTAGAATAATATTGCTCATATTTTGCAATTTATAACCGTAAAATGTCCTTTATTTTGACTGAATATTAGGCCCTGGCCGTCAGTCTATATCCGCCGGATGACTGAAGAACACTGTAAATTATTATTGAAAAGTCTTACCGATAACATAATCAGTTTTGCAGACGATCAGGTTCTTATTACTAATCTTTGAAATATCTAAACACCGTTATAATATTTTAATTATTAATTTGTAGGGATCTATTATATTTCTTATAAGAATTCTTAATAATTGAATGATTCTTATAGGAAGACGCAATTGTTACCAAAGCAGCAAAATTATCGTCAAGTGCTATCTTTATAACTCTGGTTTCTAAGGAATTAACAAAGTAATAAGTCTAAATACAGGCTATATTACCACAAGCGTATAATAACTTTCGTTCTAATAATATCTTTATGTTTCGGGTTTCAATAGAAAATATGAGTCAAGTAACCTCGATGATGATATTGATGCTTGTTTAAGTTGTGAAGTAAGTAAAGTAATCTTAATTCAATGTGACGAAATCAGTAAATTTCAATTCCAATTTACTTGTATCAGTATCACGAACTCTTGCTTTTCTTCATAATCATAGGGTACGACAGATCTATATTGTCATATTCTTAGCCAAATTGAAAAAGAATGCGAACCGCAGGAAGAAAAAGGAGTTGTGCGAAAAGTAAGTCAAGCTCAATTCTAGCTATTATGTATTTCTGGTCTACATAATTCGATGAATAACCTTTCTCCTTCAGGTTTTATCATCAATATATGCATCTCGAAATGGGTTAACTGAAGCAGAAATACTGAAGCTTGCCGCAATTGATTGGAAAACATGGGGTCCGATTGTTACTACTTTTAAAGACAACAAAATCTTGATTGAGAAATGTGGTGTTCTTACTTTTCCATTCCAGCTGGTAATTGCAATTTTCCTGTCAAACTAATTTCTAATGTTGCTGAATGGTATTATATGTGTCTGTTCTTAATTAACTAATAATAGGTGCGAAATGCTATTAAATCTAAATATATGTCGGACAAGATGCACGGAGTCATTGATGTTGCAGCGACGATTAGACATCATCTGATCTATTTCCATTCGTCAACGTTACTTACGGAGTAAATATATTTACGCTTATGCCTCTATGCTAATATTTAGTACTCTCTATTCACGAGATAGATAACGAGTTAAAATGATTGCTTTTACGTTATTAGTCGCAAAGCTATTACATATAGAATTGCAGATGAATTACCCTGGTTAATATATCGTATTCAAGATAAAGATAAATTGAGGGAGCGTCTGCTAGATTTGGATTTATTCCTGAAGCTATATAAACGGTTAGTAGAAATTAACTTACTTACTTTATAGATTTGCTATATTGAATTAAACTGAAATATGAGTATCCATTTCAGTGAAAGGTTTAGCGATTTACTGGATTATTGGTATTTCCTTGGCGTCACGAAATCGAACATCGTTTCAGCCTACCTAAACAAAATTAAAAGTATTGATGATGGTAAACTTTATACCTCCGCACGTTATCATATTGATATACATAGCCACAGTATTTACTTATTAGTAGATCATCGAATGAGTAAATACATTGTTTTTATACATTAATACAGACAATGGCCCCGTATTACGCACAGCTAGCCTATATGAAGCTTTAGGCCGGTTTTCTAGAGATTTAAATCTTTGTAATCAAGTAAGTTGACAAGAGTTACTGTGATTCTGAAGCAGAATTTTTCCAAAAGGTATATTAAGATACCCATTTCTCCGGTCAAGGGAGTACAGCCTTTACAAAGAGCGCTGGAAATTAGGGAAACGGTTCTTGATCCAGATCATCCTGTCATAGCTCAGACTCTACATCATTTGGCAAAGTTATATAGTACATGGGGAAAATACAGGTTAAAATTCGAACAAATTAGATTGAGATGAGAATTAATGTAATTTGCAGAGGCTACGAAAACTTTTGTTAAATTTTATTGAAATTGCACAATCGTCACACTTCTAGGAATGCCTTCGATTTACATAAGCAAGCTCTTGATATTTATGAGAACACGTACGGAAATGATCATCCAATTGTCGCTAAGGTATGACAATCTATGTACTGATAGTATATTGGCAATTTACGTATACTTCTTTCCATATTAGCTCTTTATGGGAATGAATACATTACTTTGAATTAATGCTTTTTAACAGTAGCACTATCATATTTTATCTTTAAAACAGGAATTTGAAGCTATGGCACATTTATATCAAAAGCAAGACAAGTATGTAATGTGTTTTTGTTATTCAGACAATCATCAGGCTAATGATAACTTGCATTGAGAAGAACTATAGCTGCTTGACTGTAGAATTGTAATAAGTTTAAATTTTTTCCAGACATCAGTTAGCTGAAGCCATGTTAAGTAAGGCACAAACAATTCGGGGTAATGCTCCCACCCCTATCGAGGCCAATGTATGTATTTAGGAAAATTATTATCTACTTCTACATACTGCAGAAATTTTATAAGTGTATTAGGTATTTTTCAGTCTTTGATATCAACGCAAATCTAATAAAATTATCACTATTTTTAGTTTCTCAACGCCGAAATATTAAGACGAAAGGCAGTACAAGTAGAGGAGTTGGCACTAAATTCAGAATCTGCGGAAATTGCCAATACGCTTAACGAATTAGGAGTCTTGTATTTTCTTCAAAGCAATCTGCAGTATGTACCAAATTGTAGATAACTTGTATTCTTCGACAATCATGCTTATGATTTTAAAACGATCATACCACCAGGTATATAAGTAGGTGATTTATTAATGTAATCCTAATAATAGGGTCGCCGAATCATATTTTCAACGATCTTTGACGATGAGAGAGTCTATCCTAGGAAAAGATCATGCCGATGTAGCGCAGTCATGCAATAATTTGGCTGCACTATATTGCGAAAAGAAAATGTATACGTCTCAAATCAAGCTAATAATCTATCTCCACTTTTAATGTTATGCTTTGCATCAGAATTATTAGCAAAATATGTGATTTCTATGTGTAATCTTCAGGTACAGCGAAGCTGAGAAATTATACGCATCCGCACTAGAAATAAGATCAAAGGTAATTTTCTTTTTTGGCTATAGAAATTACAACTTTTAATTTTATTTTTGTACTTGAGATCATTACTAATAGTAGCATCTGCTTCATTGTTGGTTATTTCAGCTACTATCAAACGATCATCCTCATGTTGCATCAATAATAAAGCATCTGGGCGCTACTTATAGGAAGCAGGTTCACATTATTCTTCAATTAGTGCTCTTGAAAACGTTTCTAATTGATAGGTAGTTAAGAAATTATTGAATATGATGCTAATATTATTTAATTACTACAGGGAAAACTAGAAGCAGCAGAGCCCTTATATCGGTTTGTATTATTAGAATAACCTGTCAAAATGATTAGTAAATTTTGATCATCACTTTACCAGATATATTGGAGTAGATAAGCTATACAGTTTTATCATCAGTTAAAACATGAAGTAATTTATTGACAGTTGCTATTTTACCTATAACTAATTAGACAAACGGTTGAAATACGAGAAAAGTTATTTGGATTTAAGCATCCCAGCACTGCTACAGCTCTAAGTAGCCTGGCAATATTATTGTGTCAACAGGTTGACATAATCTTAATTTTATTCTCTACGGGCATTTACTTCATCTACTTAATTACTAATAAAATCTATTATTGCCGATAGGAAAAGCATGAAGAAGCTTTACCATTATATGAGAGAGCTCTAGAAATATATGAAGAATCTCTTCGCCCAAATCACCCTTGTATAGCTGAAACTTTAAAAAATATGGCTGTATTGCGATATAGCTTAGTATGTACTCTTAATTGTTCAAATAAATACATGACTAGCAAGGCTAAGATTTAATATCATATGATCTTATTTACAAATACTATGCTATTATAATTACAGGGAGAGTATGCGTCTGCTGCACAACTTTATAAGAGAGCTATTGAGCTTAGAGAGAGATATAGCGAACAAAGTTTACATCGAGCCACATCCAGAAGGTCATCTGAAGGAGAAATGAGTGTTACTACTAGTATTAAAGGAGGAAGAGCGTACAGTTTGACGACTGTTGATGGACAGGAATAATTTCTAGATAGCGAAAATTAGTGTAACATACAGCAAGTATACATAATTACAAACTAAACATACTACTTATCACTAATATAATGTTACGAATACAGTACAACATGGAAGTCACCTTACTCATCTATATGTTTATAACATGTAAGGTATAATTTGTCAATTTTTTAAGGTATGTATGTATATATAAATATACTATTGCATTTGTAAATCGTCAAAACTGTATAATATATGACATACTGGACGTATAAAATCTCGAAAATATACTTTTTTGTTTCGAAAATGTACTCAAATAGCTATTATATGACTTAAGACATTCAAACGATGTTACTTGCAGATAGTCAAAATTAAATATTATATAAACGTGTGAATTAAATAAGCTATGGCGGTATAGTAATCTTAAAACTGAATAACGAGTTCAAACTTTATTCATTACAACAGTACTAGTAAAGCTGTTTTTCTATGCAACTGACAACAATCTTCATGATTTGATTGAAAATTTTAAATTGCTTATACTCTGCTTGCGGATACATTAATTACTCAAGTATCGATAACTCCGTTGACGAATTTCCTTGTAAATAAAATTATGTATAAGAATAGTTTATCTTAAATTACTCTTTATATAACTAAGTTGTTATAAATTACAGAATTACAACCTAGATGATATTATATGATGTAGCAGAAGGATGTATCTTTATGGTTAACACTATGATATTTTAGAATTTTTATTCAATCAAAATGACAATCTAATTGCTAACTTATCGTACTATTTGTGCTCTACTTCTTCGACTTTCAGTAAAGCTGAGTTATTTGGCTTCACTTACAAAGTTTTGATTTTAGAGTATCATCATAATGTATTTCAATTGTAAGAATCTAAGTTTAACAACACTTTTACACCACGGACAAGTCATGAAATGGGACAAGAATATCGACTGCTATTTCATCACAATTCTTCATTAAACGTATCTATTCATTTGCAGTAATATAAAGGTTTCAAATAGGGAATAAAGGAATGGCCTTATAAATTTTTAATCTTATTAATCTATGCTAACCAATAATAAGGCCACTGAAGTATTTGTTTCTTGATGAAAATTGTATGTCGTATAAATATAAATTGAAATGAATAAAAGAGAGGATCGATACATATATATAAGAAGGAAAACATAACGGACTAGATTCGCTTTAACCAATTCCTTTTATCATGGTATTCTGCTGATCCTTGCACCAATTTGCTGCTGTACTTAGTATTAATTAATAAAGCATTAAATTAATTATAAATACTGATTTTGATCGAAAATCAATCTTGATCAAACAAATATAAAGCATAACTATCCCTGTACATAGTTCTAAAAGCTTTAATTGATATGTTCAATAACAGGTTAGTCTATGTTATTTAATAATTAAGGCTGCGTTTTATGGTGATCAAAGTATAAATTCGAAGCATAATTCTAGGCTTTTTCACAATTATTACTCAGTTTATCCTCCTTTATTTGACACATAATATTCGAATATGAATAACAGATCTTTGTATTTCAGTTTATTTAATGTAGCATCCAAAAGGTTAAGAGCGTCTCGAAATTGCAGTAAATTATCTTCAAACGATCATGTCATGCACAAGTAAAGAAATTCTTTAATTACTTATAAATACAAAGCGGTAGCTTAACTTTCAAAAAATGTTTGGAGTATCTGTAATTTCTTCAATATCGATACTCGTAGCTTACAATATTACTCGTAACTAAGTCTGTTGTTTTTCCAACATTACTAGTAAACATTTTACAGGGAATAATGCAAAGTCAGATTACGACTTTCATTCAATACTTAATTCATTTTAACACAACGAGCAAAACAAATGTCTAGTATGTAAAAATATAAGGCAGTCTTGCGTATCGGTACCTAAATAATGCAGTATAGGCAATATATAAAATTGGGGAAGAGATACACACACAAATATTTCCACTATCTCTGCTTTCGATGAAATATAAAACGTGCAGTAACTTTTACACCTCATAATGATCCTGCAGAATGGTTTTTCGATCCTTCTGGAAGATATATTGGTAATTCCATATCATGGGCTGCACGAATTCTGTTCGAGTTATATGACCATAATCTAAAAGTTGGCTTCTTAACTTTGATTATAGCAACAATGATTATTACTATAACTACAGCCACCAGTGATACTGTCACACCCACAATATTACCAGATTCATTGAGTAATACTATCATATTGTTAACAAGAAATGGTGTAACCAAAAGTTAATCAACTGAAAACAATTGGATAATTCAGCTATAAGAATATCCTTACTAGTTTTATTGAAATTGCTCGGTGTTGCAAATGAATTCATTTCTGTCAATGCTGTTTGGCTACAAATTCATCAGATAATTAAAATTTAGAATGTTCTTCGTAGAAAATTTTAAATATATTAAAAATGTTCGCACCAATAATTTACTGTGTTAAATAAGACAAGAATTAAAGTAGATAATAATTTTGACTAAAGATCTATCGAATTGATAAAATTCTAAAGTAAAATCATTTCGTAATCTCACTGGTTTATTAATGTAGGGTAATATAAAATTATAGTAGATACCGTTAACTATGCTTTAGAAATTTTTTATACGGACCTGATCATTTCCGATGTTATAGAAGTTGATTGGATTAGTTGTGATTCTTGAATTAATCTTTCTTCTATGGTATGCGTAGTAACATCCAGCCTCGACATTGATTGTCTAGTATCTTCATTCTTTGGATGGGTTAAAATTTATCAGAACGAAAGATATTATTCATACTTATTGATCTAGCAAATAATACAGTAACAACATTAGTATTTACCATTAATTTACTTACATAAGATTCTCTTGATGTTGATGTTAGGCTCTTTGTTACCATACTTGTAGTCAGGATATTGGATTGGCTACAGCAATCACTAGAATCGATATTAGATGGTGCAATTGACGATTTCATAGCATTTATCGTGTTATGTATCATTGTATTAAGCCTAGATTTGGATTCTAACTTTGATGACAAATATTCTGTAAGGCTGTCAGATGATAATGTAGCTGTTGATGCTAATATCGTCATCTTATCATGATCATTAGATAATGAGCGAGTCAGAATGGTTACGTCAGTTTGATCGACAGAATAACTTGAAGATAGCTTAGAGTAAACCATTGGTAATTTTAACGATATAATCTGACTGGATAACACCTGACTGAAGTCTTTGGATAACGATGTTATATCATTTATCGATGTATAGCTTACTGGTGTAATCTGACTGGATAATACCTGACTTAAGTCTTTGGATAACGTTGTTATATCATTTATCGATGTATAGCTTACTGGTGTAATCTGACTGGACAACATCTGACTTAAGTCTTTGGATAACGATGTTATATCATTTATCGATGTATAGCTTACTGATGTAATCTGACTGGACAATATCTGACTTAAGTCTTTGGATAACGATGTTATATCATTTGTCGATGTATAGCTTACTGGTGTAATCTGATTGGATAATACCTGACTGAAGTCTTTGGATAACGATCTTATATCATTTATCGATGTATAGCTTACTGATGTAATCTGACTGGACAACACCTTACTGAAATCTTTGGATAACGATCTTATATCATTTATTGGTGTATAGCTTTCAGAAAACATAGTCGATATTCTGCTTTCGTCAGATGATATTACTGGTGAAACTATTGGTAAGGATAATGCTGTTGATCTTATATTATTATATAATTCGGTCGTTGATTTAGTAACTGCAAATGTTGATGACAACCAGGTGGTTAATTCTTGACCATCATAAATTTCAATTGATGATGTTATGGATGTGATTTTACTTGAAGGCATAATAATTGTAGATCTGGGTAACATGGCTGCTGCGAACTCATAATTACTAGAAAGTTCATTTGATGTTTTCATAGTGCTATCAGATATCTGACTTGTAATCGATATAACCGGTGTACTTGTTAGTTCTGGACTATTAAAAGCTGCAATTGCTGATGACCCGGATGCCATAATGCTAAATGATAGATTACTAGTAGCTTTTGATATTATTGCTGTTACTAAACCATCAGAAGTAGTACTGTATCCTTTCATAGATGAAACTTTGTATGGTGTTAGATTGCTAGTAGTAAAGGATAATGGAGTTGTTTTGGTGTTACTGCTATCTAAAATTCTGTATGAAGTTGTTACTGGTAGAACTTTATTAGACAACATACTACTACTAGTAGCTGTCGTAACGAATACAGTTGATCCATTATGATTAAAGTCTCTAGCTAGGATAGAAGTTGTTTTAAAATCACCCACAAAAGTATTACGATAAAAATCGAAAGTTGACGAAGCTGTCATTGATGACCATCCTTGATATAATAAAGATTTCCGTGTAGAGGGCCGTACCTCATCTCCTGAACTGTCGCTGTTATACAATGATTGCGAATAGCTATCTCTTGATTGATCAAAAACACTGCTAAACTGAGAATTAAGAGATAAAGTTAATGATTGACTAGCTATAATACTTGATGTAGCCAAGTTCCAGGTAAGTTGAGTAGCATGATTTAGTGAACTTTGTTCCGTGCCATAATGATTGCCATTAAAAACTTGCGTCGCTGTAACTGTTTCTGAACTATCAGGTATATTTGATGATACAGCTAACAAGAGTGGCACCACAATAGACAATATCTTTTCTTGAGCAGTTTTATTCCTATTTATATGAAAGAAAATGACAATAAAAATTAACTTTCTAGTGGAGAAGTAAGCGTATCCTTACATTTTAAAAAAATATTATAACCAAAATCTAAAATATATTTACATATATTACATATACATCAAGTTCTAACCAAATCTCAATCTCTACAGGTAGCGTCCTATTTGAGTCAGTTCTATTTGTTTTCCAATGTAGATACATAGATGCTTGCTTAATTGGGTAGATCCACGTATAGTTATTCCAAGTTGTATGATTCTGCTCATTTATCTCTTCTGTTGATGCATAAGGCACCAACACAGCTAATTGATGAATATGATAGTCAATTTGAGGAATATCTATAGCGATGATTTGATGATTTGCATAATTAGATCGGATTGAAATGGTAGTAAAGTTTTCTGTCATATTCTTACTTGATAATTTCTTAATAAGCGTACAGTTATAGCAGATTTGTTTTGTTATATTATCTGATACTGAAAATAGCTGTTTATAGCTCATTGCCAATGTAGTATTTATCATTCGAACATTTGGATTTGCAACATGAATCATAGTTTTCCATAATCCTCCATATTTAAAAAGGCAATTTTGTAGCAGACTTAATCGATTATTATCATAAAATTGAATTTGATTCCAATACAATCTGTTTCGATGGTTATAGTCATACTGCTCTACGCTAGTAAAAGTTATCGGTAAAGATGGAATACCGACAGCTGTTATACTACCAAGTACATTTATTTGTGAAGCTATATCGAGATAAATAACAACTCCAGGTTGTATTCGAAGTACAACATCTGGTGATATCGTTAAGGAGAGGTAAATTAAATGAGGATTATCCTTTTTCAACCATGTTGCATTGGAGTGGAGGATTCCAGAATGGATAGTAAAGTTTGCTTGAAATGTTTTCTTCTGTCGATTGTTAAAGTTATTGTAGTTAACATAAGACAATTTTGAATTCCATCTTGTATCATAAATTCGAGTTGTAATATTATCATAATGATCAACACCCCAATAATTATAACCTGCATTGATCATTTTATGGTAAGAAAATGCGGCTAAATTACATAATTGAAAGGTTATTTGTTCATTATTGAAATAATTCCATTGATACAGTGGTGAATTCGCTCGATTTTTTACGATGCATACGTCTTGATTAGTATTTCTAGTTTTAACTGTATTAATGAGTATATTATGGCTAAATTGAGAAGAATCGTCTATCCATAATGAAATTAGATCAGTTTGATGGATTTCATTCATATTAAAAAAATTTTCTTTAATATTAATTCTTCGATTGCTTGGCTGTTTACTTTTGTGACCGTAATGATTATTTATGTGATACTGACAAAAAACTTGGAGTAAGAAATTTCCACAATAATTAGACGTAAAGTTATTCTTGCTTATAGCAATATCTATTTTAGAATTATTGGGGTGACATAATAGATCTATTAATGGTTGCTTGCTGTAATTATTGTTAATCAATTGATTATCTTGGATAGTTAATAATAACATCAGTCGATTTTGGCTTTGCTTAAATAGGAGAGCGCTCTGATAGATCGAATGAAAAGTATTGTTCTTGATGTTCAAGCAACCACTAGCAGCATAATCTTGAATCGATATTGCTACTTTTAACGATGTAAAATAACAGTCCTGAATGGTTAAATTTAACGGCTGAATTGATTTATTCCATTTACTGCTTATGCTTAAACCATTGCCTTTTCGACCGTATATTGTGCATCCATTGATGACATTTTGGCCCACTAAATTTTGTATTTCTATACTATTCTTAATGAATGAAGAATTTGTATGATAAAAATGGCATTGTTGAAGGAATACCTGTCCATAATTATATTTTAACATAATACTGGAGCCTTGGGTAAAATTACATTGACAAAATTTAGGCTTACCAGATTGAATGATAATACTATCGCTCTCGCCATCGGAATTAAAGTTGACATTTCGAAAATAAAGTTGGCCAGTCATCTTATTAATTTGATAATTTTGTATAGAGCAGTTTTGGAAAATTAATGGCGGAAATGAAGTAGTGCTATTCTGATGTGTAATAATTTTTCCTCTACGATTTATCTTTATTATAACAGGATTGGTTACAGTCCCTTCAGCATATATTCCAACATCTTGGGTAACAAGTAAACTTTGATCACTATCTATCGTTAGCTGCGTACCTGGTAGTAGAATCAAGACTGTCCGATTGAGTATTCGATGTATCCTATTAGTGCCATCAAAATTAGTCCATGTTTCATGATTTAAGATTGCGCCAAAGTGGAGAAATGGATCGTTCTGATAAACTTTGTCATTGGGTCCAGTTAAATAGCTTGAATAAACCACTGGACTGACGATAGTATTAATAATACGTTCAGTAATAAAATAGACATTAATACTACCCCAGTAGCAATAGCGTGCATCTAGATAGCCAGCACTAGAATGCGATACATCTATTTCGCAATTTAGTTTTTTATTGGCAAATGTATTATTTCTTGCGTCGACAATGTTGATAAAATTGAAATAGATAGCACAAGCTAACTGTTCTTCACTCTGATCACGGACTAATGTTGAGCCTAAAATTGGCGAATTATTCATCGGGGTTATAATATTATCCATTATTTGATTCCGAATAAACTGTTGATAGTAATTTTGATCTAAGTATAGGATATTGCCACTTGCAGTATTTCCATTAATGATATTATCCTTAATTGTAATGTTGAAAGCTGAACTAGGTCGTACGTGGATGATAGAAGCCCCATTTGCTTTATTCTTCACAACATGATTCCTAACGATGTTAACAACACCTGTAAATTTAATATCCATTGCAGTTCCTGAGTTATTTCCAATAAAGTTATCAACAATCGTTAATGATTTTCCTTTTCCTATAATTTTTATGCCTTGATTATTATGTATAATGCGATTATTACTAATGCGGATGTATTGTTGGACTGAAATTTGCGCTAGTTCAATAAGAACGCCCCATGTAATCGCTTTCGTAACAGTATTATTCATAATTTCAATGGCTTTGCAAGTTGATAGCTTAGAATTTTGTCGAATATTCTTTATACTGATACCACCAGTATGGCCACCAGTGATTGTACTATGTCTAATTCGTATCCAACAGTCTATTGCTTTAATTCCAATATAGGATCCATGAACATGTACATGATCTAATTGAAGGAATGTATTCGCTGCCAAAATTCCATATCGTGAGCCAGTGATATTGCAATAGGATAATATGGAACGAAGATCTTGGCATTTAGCACGGTTTGGTATAGAGTACAGTGAAGGCTGAAATTTGATTATATCCATACCCTTGCGTTCATCTATAAAATGAATGTATTTATTCGGTAAACCGGTGGCGTTAAGTCTTCCTTCGATGGAAAGGCGGGAAAATTGATGAAAATGTACCACAACGCCAGGTTCAATGGTTAATGTTGCGCCGCTAAGTATGCGGATATGTGCAAAATTTAGACAGTAAGGACTTCCTTGAATTCCCCATGTTACAGATTCATACATATCACGATGGATCTCTGTCTGGCATGTCGAGGAAGCGGAGCATAAGAATGTTCCAATACTCAGGAATAAGAGAATTTGGATAAGAATTTCATTCTTCTCAATCATGGCTTTGATTGTTAATCAGCTATAATCTGCAAATGTTTTTAATAAATCAATCTACCTTCAGATGCAGTTAAAAGGTTCGCTGTAAATCATCTTATAAGGGGACAACTAGTACTGACACAAGGTTATTCATTATTTCTGATTGGATCATTTATCTCGTGAAGCAACGCCATGTGTGAAGAATATCATTAACACATGGAGTTGTATGACGCCATTTTATCACTCTTGGACGTATATGGACATTCTATTGGTCAATTGGAGAGAAGAATGGTTGGAAATTACAGCGTTAGCCATACCAAAAGTGATCAATTGTTCAAACTAAGTATGATTAGAATGTACAAGTTATTATCACCTATGGTTTTAGTCATTAAACTCGATAAAATTGCCGTTATCTAGAATCCAAAAAGTTTGTTAATACACTGCATTGTAGAATCGATTTATAATTTGGTTGATTCAATTCCTAAATTTAAACATTTATTCATAAAATCTAGTTATGGTTTACCATTTCAATACCTGATTATAGATGCAATCGATCAAAATTTTGGTCAATACGGTTTGATCCAGATAGAAGTGTGTCTACTATTTTTATTACAATATACATGAATGCAGTTAGAAATGAGAGGATGCTGCATTGGACAAATAGGAAATGTAAATAAATGAATGAAAGCAATCATTGCAATCGAGTCAACTCCTATTCGTTTCTATTTACTTGGTGATTTTCAAAGTAGACCCTGCCATGATTACCCAATGCTAAAAATCAGTTATCTTGTATAAGGCTATATACGGTGCGATGCAACATACCTGCACGTGTATAGTATTTTCATTAAATGTTTGTACATTTATATTTATGGATGATGAATTTTGTAGGGTACTAGTTATTTAAGTGACTAATTATGGCTATGAATTGTATCATGATATTTTATCCTACTGTAGGTATTTCCGATTTTCATCAAGGTCATCCAAATTTAGATGTTTTACGGAGTCAAGTCCTGGCAACTAAATCATCAATGAAACTACAGTATACAGCACGATGGAACCAGGATTCGCTCTATGCAATCATCATTCCTAGTCCATCTATCGCCGAAGTCGGTACACCTATTACCTAGGATAGCTCATTTGCAAAGTGCAATCCGTACTCAACATACTATTTGCTCAGATTCCCAGATTTGACGTGGGAACAAAATCTGTAGACAAGACGGAGCTGTTTTTGCAACACCTATCCACTATTTCTTCGTCAAGCATTCTGTCTACGACTCACGAGCATGAGCATTACGCGTACATTAGCCCTTCAACACTATCGTCGTTGGTCAACCCTGTTTCAGTATCAATGATCACATAGCGATTCGCTATAGCTATTAGGATTCAGGGCCAATGCCTTCCAGAAGTTAAAAAAGTACCTGGGTCAGATAGAGAAGACCTCTTCTCTATCTCTCGTATCCTAGAATACGTATATCCCGCTTGTTTTACTGTTAGTAATAATTATACAGTACGAAATGACAAGGCGAATGACTTTTCAACCTCTACATTGGTAAACGAGGTCTACTCGTACTATATTAACCGGTTTACTGCACTATTATCATTCAATCGATATAATTTAGGGCCTGACATACTTATGTCAAGTTAATTCTTATATTTCTTAAAGGTTTAAAAATAATTGGGAAGTAAATTGGAAGATCAACCAACTCGAGGTTATTTATTATGCAATCTACTTTAATGAAATTTTACATAAAAATCATACATAATAAATGCAACATTCCTACGATTATAACATAATGTAAATGCACTACGTTGATGTATGGCACTACGACTTGTCTACGTCTACGTCCTGGTACAACCATGGAGGTAATAAGGGGCAAAAACGATTTTATTTTATTTATTTACTAGCTAAAATATAATCTGCCCTTTTTACCTCGACTGTTTGTCTAAATCAGTATCGTAACCATAAATACTGGTCGAAATTGTCTGTTGTAAATCGTATCAGTATAGACTAAAGCGTGATCGATATAGAACAGTGTACTATATTATACACCATAGGTACTATTAATAATACTCGCATACTGTATAGTATACCTTATTTTACTATTAATAATATAAAGTATACTGTACAGTATACTTTATTTTACTATTTTACTATTAATGATACTCGCATACTCTATAACTGTATAGTATACAGTGCTGTACTTTATTTTACTGCTTACTGTTTATCATCAACGCATTGCAATAGGCTGTGCAGCGTTCATAGTGTGATAGGGACGTTGTTGATTAGTGGTGAAAAAATTGCTCAAGGTTGAACTCTAGTCCTCTAACAGTATACGTAAGGACTAGCAAATTATTCATTTATTTCTTATAAACTGTCAATTGACGACAGCGTAGAGATCAGAATTCAGTATCTTGCAGTGAAGAAAGGCGGCCCAACAAATTGCATCGCATTCTAGATATGGCAGACGTCGTCGTTGAACAATTCAATAAGGGAGGAATCCTTGCTGAAGGACCATTTTATGATGCTTCTACTAATAAATTGGCTTGGGTTGATATTTATGGTCAAAGTGTCCATTTTACCGACTTAGTCACTAAAGAAGTAATCATTTTATTTCTAGAATGCTATTATTTCAACAATCCGCTTTCCTTGTTTTATTTTTTGTATTGAATAAATTCATCTACCTAGTTAGTTTTACGATTATTAAATTTTAGTTATAACTTTATTGATGTGGTCGTACGTCTACGTATTTCAAGATCGAGCGTTATACAGTATATAGATAATTAAAAACAGATAAATTGCAAATAATATGTATTTTATAAAATGTCAGTACTTGGAAGTTATTATGTATACGAAACGGCGTGTAGCTTGCAGGTTAAGTTGAGGCATCAACCGAAAGAGATCATTCATTACACACAGCATTAGTCAATTTAGTCATAATATTCCATGCGTATAATGGATATGTTTTGATAGCAATTGCATTGCATATTGGTTGTTTACTAATGAGATTAGTGTTATTTTAGCTTTTAGGAAGTAAAACGGTACATTAGTATTAACAAGTGTTATAATTCATTTTTTATTACTGTATTAACACTTTGATAAGAATTGGTTATTGACAAGTTTTACATGGTCACTGTTGACCATCCTCTATATTACCGGCTCTGTACTACTATACATTAGTATACAATGCATGTACTATTGTTATACTGTACTTTATTAACTTAACGGAGCGATGCTACCCATGATAGCTCTTTTCATCGCGGCTCTATTATGTCAAATGTGCACATTATTTTGATACTTTACGTGCGTATGGGCACATACGCAACTTTACGTCTTGAATTTATCTTGATGCTCATCGAAACAACAATGTTGTAGCTCCAACGCAGTACATACCCCTTGATTTTAACTTGCTTGCAATCGAGGAATTTGATTTATACCAAAGATAAAAAGTGACACAAATTTGTTTTGCAACTGCACATTATACAGTATATAGCTTTTTTCTCCCTACAGAATGCATTGTAGATTGTTGTTAGTATGAATCGTAGCGATACAGTAAGCGAATAGAATAACAGATTACAACACAGATATATCGTCGATATAAGTCTCTTTGTCTCCTGCTAGGATGAAGTCCACAACTTTGATGCTCGCCCTGGTGCCAGTAAGCTTATGATCATAATCTGAAAACTTTAACGTAAAGCTGGCTGTCATAAATGAATACTATAAGCTTCAATCTCTTATCGTCTTGTAGTTGTTAAGAGAATAAATCATAAGGACTGCTGGATAATTAACTTGGAGAATAAGATCGTCTCATACAATGATAAGGTAAAAAGGCTAAAAGCTCACTTTACTTAGCGCAGATTTTATCACTCAGTATATAATTGTATGATTGAATCTTATCCGTATCTTACTTTAATGCTATTATTCATACAGTAATATACAGTACACATCAATTTTATTCATTGGTTGTCAAATATTGTCAAATTTAGTGTTACTCTGATAGAATTTTATGCCAGCAGAGTTGTTTATATTTTGATAATGAATATTTCCAAATTTACAGACTAAGGAAACTGAAGTCCTTGCAGAACTTGAGAGTAAGCTTTGGCTATTTGTTCTATACTCCACTTACTACATTGACATGAAATAACTTTATGGATATCTTTCGTAACAGAGGATAAGCCGAAAAATAGATTGAACGATGCTAAATGCGATCCAGTAAATTACCCATGCTAATATTATATAAAGATACCGTATAAAATTAGCTTATGATGATCCGCTTGTGTAGAATGAGCTTATGTTTCCTTTAATATTTTTTGTTTAGAGTGGCAGATATTGGACGGGTATGCAGTTTTACAACACGACACATAATCAGCTTATCAAGACACAATTGAAATATAATCTTATAATCGTATATACTGTAGAGTCAAATTGTTGTTCATAAAGTACATCATCTGGGTACAGGTATAAACTTCTAAAACATGATAGATAATCCGTTAATCAAGATTGAATCTGAATATTGCAATAAATTATATACTATGCATTTAAGCTATGATACAAAGAGTGCAGCACTATCATGGCAGCGACATTAATCGATTATCCAGCATGGAAGATAATCATATATTAATTAATAACCTACTTGTTAAAGCACCAGCCACAAGCGTTAACAAGTCTTTGTTTTTATATCATGATGGTTATACCAATCTTGTGTAGGCTCAATGTATGAACCTGAGAATGGAGTGTTTGATAAAGGTCATGGAACTTTGGTAAGTCCTTTCATGATCTGATTTTGTAACATTTTATTATTTATGATACATACCTTACAACTTCAACATAGACTATATTTATTTAATACATGCAGTATAGCCTCAGCAAAGATCTACAGATAACTTCTCATATGGATGGAGTAAGTACCGTATAACTGAGCTAATCTTTACTCTCCTTTCAATCATACTAAAATTATTCTCGTAGACTGTCATGTTTGAGATTTATGAAACATATCTTTAGATCGCACTAGTTATAATTATCCTTAAACTTAAATTTACTATCATTTCAAAGATTAGCATTTCCAATGGTTTGGCGTGGTCAGCTGACAAAACGATAATGTATTACGTTGATACTGAAACGAGGTATGGCATAATATCTAGCGGACTCATATATAGCTTTACTATCAAGCGTTGCAAATGTGTGATATAGAAGTTTCGAATTATCAGCCAGCAAAACGACTTATACATAACTCTCGTGTAATAATAAATTTGAGTATTTATACTTCCTAATCTGTGCTTAACTTTATAGAGGAGTTTATGCATTTGATTTTGATCTCACCGACGGTACTATTAAAAACAAGAGAATAGCTGTAACTTACGATGATGTTAGCCCAAATACTGGAAAGGTCTATTATACGAGAATATGATAGAGACCCTATAAAATCTAAAGTTTTCTAACTACACTTTTTAATTACTGTATTTACATACAGGAGCATTTTCCAGATGGAATGTGCATTGACGCTGAAGGCAAGTTATGGATTGCTGCATGGTTTGGCGCTCAGGTACTATCGTAACTTTAAATGATGTACTGTAACACATACTGTTCTCGTATAAATGATTTGCTATACTAATAAATGTATTGAAATCTTAGGTCATGCGGTACGATCCAGCTACAAATAAATTAATTCAAACAGTTACATTGCCTTGTGAACAAATTAGCTCGTGCGCATTTGGCGGACCAAATCTGGATGAACTATTCGTGACAAGTTGCGGGTATCGCTTATATTAACTGTATAATAATAAATTGAGATTGTCGATCGATTCTTTAGTGATAACTATGTTTTGTACTGTAGTTATGCATTCAATATAAATATTATACTAAATCACGAGCTTATCGCATATTGGTAGTTGCGAATTAAGAAATGTATATGATTACAAAAATCTCATTACAGGTATTTAAAATCTGAAGAAGAACGCAAACGTTTCCCACAAGCTGGCTCAGTTTTTAGAGTTAAAAATCTTGGAGTAAAAGGAACACCATCTTTGGGGTTTGAAGGATAATATAATTATGGAGATATTGCATATTAAACATCTTGGATTTCCCTTCAACGTTCGTACTCGTACATCGGTTATTGATGATTCGCATGCATACGGAATATTATACTCTGGCAAAGATATTTACATTAGATAAAGCTTTCTAATTTTCCTAATAAGTACCGTAATTACTGAGTTATTAATTAATTAGTTAATTAATTAATTATACCAAAGTATAACAATTGTTATCATGCTATACGTTCTTTGCATTTGTTTCCATTTTAATACACTATTACAGTATAAGGTTTTGTTGGGACGAATTACAACTTAGGACTTATCAAAATGTTTACGTAATAAAATGCACATTAGAGTAGGGTAGATACTTATGACACAGAAGTCTTTGATTATACCAATAAAAAGTGAGTATTTGATTACCAAATAGATTATAACTCTGCTGAAAATTTATGCAACAATTTCTAAACTACGATTAAAGAACTTAAAATAGTCTACATTACAGTCATCAGTACTATGTTATTGATTCTTTGCCGGCAATGTGAACACCTTCATTCAGATATAATGTGCAAACAAGTCGAACAGATATATTAAATTCATATACCTATAATCTATACATTAAATTCTCTTGTCAAACTGTCTACATTGGGAATAACGAATGGAATATAAAAATGATTGGGTAGTCGTGTCTATGTATAGTACGTATAAATAAATGAGAAAGCAATATAATCTGACAAGATGACAATGCAAGGGTTAATGAAGTGTAAAGTTTTTGAAAACAGACTACACTTTTTCATTTTTAAGGGCTACTAAATTTAGCCTTTACAGACATATTCGACGCAATCTAGATAGCTTATTCTAAATCTGTACTGTCCCTTTCTATATTTACATACTTTAGAGCGTCAGTAGGGCCATACCTACACACAATTAAGAAAAATAGTTAGTATTAGCTCGAGTCGACATGTGATAAATTAAGAGCGGATGTATTATAACCTGTAGTCAAAAAATAGCTCTTCACCAGCCTGGATATCTCGTTTAGCATAAATACCAATACGATGATCTCCATTAACCATCATTACTGAAATTTTCAAAGTGTTACTTTGATTAATAAAAGTCTTTAAAATTGAAGCGCAAGACAAGTTTGCATAATTACAATTTGAAATTGCGCGCACTGAAATTAGGTTTACCTATATTATATCAGAATATGCGAGTATATATTTACAAAGCAAAGTATATATATATATCACCTTTGGCGTAACAATTAGGATTTGTCGAATGATTGGCAAAGCGGATTTTGTTCCCCTTACGAGTAGCGTCTACAACAAATTCTATCAAACATTCAAGAATATTTACATAATTTATATTATTTTATATATGAAGACACGTGTACGCATTTTACAAGAAGCTATGCTTCATATGTAACTTTTCTTAGGAAATATAAAATTAATGGACTACTAGATATCAATCATACCGTTATTCAAATTAAACAGGAAACTGCATTTGGACTTATCATAAACTTTTCCTCTACGATCCGCTTCGTCTTGCGATATCATCTACAAGCAACAATCGAATATATAGATAATATTATAAAATATATGTTATACGTAGATTGAGTAAGGACATACATAGATTACTAAAAAAGTCGTCTCAAGATAACTGTATTACCTCTCCACAGTATTCACTTATGAAATCATTTTTATGAATTTCATATCTTGAAAATATTCCCCAACCAGCAATGTCAGAAGGAGCAAGAAGTAAATGCTGAAATGAAAAATAAAATGAATTAGTTCTTCAATCAATTTTGAAAAGTTAACAAAACCTCAGTCAATCTTACTTTCTTAATACCGCGCTGTATGAGAACGTTTTTGCAACTCGGATTAGAGTAATCATCGAATTTTGCTAGTGCCACATAAAAAATTTAGTGTTAATAAGAGTAAAAAAATTAGATAGTCCTATATATTTACAATTGTCATCGAGATTGTAAAACTAGCAGCCTAATTTCTTACATGCTCCACATTGTTGGCATAAATCAGGATCGCATTCTCTAACAGCTAATACACATGGGCACTGTTTAGTGTTACACTGCGCACGACATCTGCATCCAGGAAAACGGTTTTTACCTGCAAGGCAATACTCCATAATCAGGCACACAAACTTAATGTAATCATACAAATCTATTTAAATTTACAAATACAGCGATAAAGTCTCATCATAAAGTCAATCTACGCACAGGATGCAACACAAATATGCTGTACATAACAACTATTTATTTCAGTAATAGAAATCCTATAATTCGTGAAATAGGTAAACGCCACATTCGTATAAAATAGAGAAATGCACTGTAATGACTTACAATCTCTGTCACACTGGCAATATTTTTCACAAAAATTGTGAGTTTGAATACATGGGCATGAAGAATCACATGGACGATTAGGATGATTGCATGGAGTGTACGTAATGACTTGGCTGGTATCGTCCTTTCCTGTATTATCGATAAATAAGACTTGTAAGGTTTTCAAACAGTTTATTTACAAATTCAAATGTAGTAACAAGTCACCTCGCCTCTGCTGAAATTTTCGGCAATGATTGACCCATACACTGTTTTAAGTTAGATAAAAAAGTCGACCATACGTTACTATTACATTATTTAATTAAAACAATAAATATCGAAGAAATTTTGACTACCGCATATTCCTGCGCTTCTTTTTATGTATGTTATTCTGCACAGGTTTAGATTCTTTCTCCATTAAATGTTCCTCATCGAGTACTTGTAAGGCATATTCTCGTACCTCAATTAATAGTACACGTAGTTGCTACAAGTGATTTCTTCGAATATACCGTTATTTTAGAATAGAGACCTCACCTGTTTACAATTCTTAGTTTGTATTAAATTAGCGATAGTACAATAGTCGTTCACGTAGATCGGCTGCAGCACTCGAAATAGTGAGATTTCAGCTCCAGTCCAGCTATCAGATTTATTTCCTTCGCTTATAATCTCTGACTTTATCATAACCGAAGTCGAATTACAACCATTTAATTGTATGTTATTAGAGGAACCGGTTGCTCCAGAATTACCCTAAAACAAGGTTTTTTCATATCCTTTGATTAAACTTCAAAACTATTATCGCTATAGCATTGAAAAATTTCGCACCGTTTAGATATAAATGCACGTAATTTAAAAGAAGTAGAATATTTTGATACCTACTTGAATATTATCAACCTCCAGAAGCCAACATTTTTGCCCACAAGACTTTGCTTCACCTGCATTAACGGGAGTCTGCACACGAGAGTTAAAATTACATTATTAGTGAGCTAGCAAAATGTAAATTTCGTTTAACTGTAACCATTCCTTAAATCTTCTCTAATATCCTGCACTTACTTTTCTGCGTATTTTGACTGGCGGTCCTGTCCAAGCTATGTAAATTACAAGATAGCAATAATAGAATTTTATTACCCAATATAAACTACTCAGAGCAAATTATATGTACATTTTAAAAGCTTTTAACTAAGTGTACAATCTTACTATGAGTGCAGCAATCGTATTTAAAACATCTTCGACAGAAAAGAGTGTTGAAAGAATGCAAGCTTTCACTGCGTGAGACAGCTTTACAATCAGGCCTGCAAAGTACACATAGTTCAAATCAATGATGTCAAAGAATCATAGGAACAAGAAATGAAATTATAATTTGAGTTGAATATAGTAACAAATATATTAATGAGGAATCACTAATTGAACTGCATAAAATCTGTTTACGGTATACGCCTACTGATCGATGAAATTTGATGTCTAATACGTCAACAAAAATCATATAGATTAAAGTAGTCTTTTAAATTTATCGTGTATTCTAAACAGCTACGAACCCATCAATATCAGGTGCACATTCGGTGTTCTTATGAGTGTGAAAGAGTCTTTTGATAGCAGAATTAAATCTAATTTGTAAGAAAGGTATTCAAAAATAAGATTTACAGTAACATTTCATAACTTAGGTATATACCGTAAAGTAAGTGCCTATTAATCGAGACTTACCGATCTCTCAAGTCCTCTGCAGAACCTTGAAATTGATTAGTGTCACTAAAAGCCTTGGCGACTGCCGTAAATATTGCTGGAGGTACTCTTTCTTGGTAATCTATAGAGGCTAACAAATAATAACCAAGATATTGGTTGACAACTAGTACATTATACCTAGATTCTAATCTGTATAAAAACGCTAAATACACAACATACAGGAATTTTGTCCTTTTTCACTCCTATATTTTCCGGAGATGATCTTGACCAACTCGACAAAAAGTAAATCATTAAAATTGTCGTCTATACGTATAAATACCAGAATTACATAGCCGGTCAAAAATATAAATGATTATAAATAATATTATTTATCAAATGCAGTATTACTCTACCATGTGCTGGCGAATCGTGGACTTTACCATCGTAGTTATTAATTAATTCTTCAATAAATTCACCATCTTGGTCTAATACTTCATCGCCCATATAAGGTATATTATGCAATTCTGTTTCATCGTCAACCTGTGATTAAATTAATGCTTATCCTTAAGCGATAAATGTCCATTTGTACAAACTTTACTGTAGAACTGGTAATGATACAAAGAAGTGCCTTAAATGATTCAATCATATAGTTTATCGTGCAATTAATACCAGGTAATTTTTTTGAACAGGCTTATAAAACGTGAATCTTGGTGGTGGTGTAACATCCACTAATGTGCGCTGTAGTATCTCCTAAAAATGATTGTCAGCAGTAAAAATAGAAGCCATGCTACTTTAAGTACATCATAACTCAATAACAATTTATCCTTTACTATGCCAATCGAATAAAATTTGCATGCCATCGTGATTACAGCACGTATTTATAAGGTAATACGTACTATATAATATACGCAACTAAACAACTTATGTAATGTATTATTGACAGTAACATATCAGGTTAATCCTCTTAACAAAGATACTTACATAGTTTTCAGAATCATTGCCTTTAGCAACAGCAGATTTATGCCGCCCAACAGGCAAAAAATGAAAATTGCCTAATTTATCGTCGCGTTTCTTTAAAGCTTCTTTCACATAGCTACAATTTTCCACATAGAGGGACTATAGCAAAAGCGGTGGTCATATCATCAAAAATATAATTGCGATATTCACGTATGATAACATCTAACAGCGCCTTGTTACCATTTACCATTGTAGTAGAAGTAAATTGGTGGTTACGCTTTACTCAATAATCGAGAATAGTTTTAAAAATATACTACAATATAGTTTGCTACCATATAAAGTGCGAAAATTAAGTTAAAAGCTAATGTACCTACAGTAACATATATGCATAAAAATATTATAGTTTACATCTCACCTACCTTGCGATCTGTTATGAATAAACAAATGGTTGAAATACGTATTTAATCTACGCGTATTGTAATGCCAAATATTGATTTTAAGTAATGTGATTGAAATATCAGGATTTTTCGGTATTGGGAATAAATTTAAGAAAAGAATCGATTTTTAAAGTAGTAATTTAACTACTCGATATATTACCAATACGACACTAACAAATAACCACTTTTAAACATATACTCGCATAGCGAAGTTTGGTAAATGCCATATACGCATACAAAAGTAATCATAGAGATCTAGTCGATATACATCGTCGTTATTTGGTTAATTAATCTAAAAGATGTTGCTAATTAGCGTCATAAAAATAACACATTATCCATATCTAAGTTTGCCAAATAGATAATTTTGCCTTTATCTGAATGAAATTTCATAGCTGTCATTCATTGATTCCCATTTTAAGAAAGAAAAATATTTAATGTATTCGATGATCGGTATATTGGCGTGCACGCCAATGTAATTATAGCATCATTGCAAATATTTCATTACCATACTGTTAATACTAGAGTAAAATATTGCATAAAAAAAGTTGCATCTACAATATGAGTATCACTCAGTTTGAGAATAATGTCTACTAAGACAAATGATGAATCAAGTCTACTCATTCAAAATGAATGAAATCTCCTGGAGCTGCTATTCCTGTAATTTGTAATTCGATGTTAGATAATTTATTACGGAGATAATAATCAACTGAAAGAATTAGCCCTATGCGGTATCATTAGATCAATTATTTCATTGATCTATTAGGGAAGTGATCGACTTGCTTTCATGGAATCAAGTGTAAACTGTAGACGTTAATTTTGCATTTACTAGATTAAATGTACGTATAATAGATATGGGCATAAAGTAAATCATAATATAGAACGACGATCATCATTGCTGCAATCTACCATCATGTACAGTATAAACGCTCTTTGTTGCATAGGATTACCTCATGATATAATGCTGTCAAATATCAACGAAAAATAATCTACCATAACTGATCCAACCAATCAGCAAAAATCCTATTAAAGCGGTCATTCTTGACCTATTGAAATGCTTTGTCGGTAAAATAGTAAGCAAGATGATGATAAACTACGAATCACATAACTGATACTATGTAAAAATTGATTGATCAACTTATAGCTATTTTTCCCTTAATGACGATGTAAATAATAAAAGTTGAATATTGAAGGGTACAGGATTTCTATGCCCATGACGTAGGGATAAGTTATTCATTTGGCTATGTCATAATATAAATCTACTTGCCTATACGTATAATATAAGCGAATAATTAGCGTAGCTAGTTAGGACATCGTATTTGGAATGAATACATGAATTGTAAATTCAACATTACGATCCATATTCCTATTACTCAGGTCATCCAATACATTGGATTATATGCCTAATGTATAACCTGATATTGATGAAGTATACTAGCAGGTCCAAAATGAAGATATACTTCGATGCTAGAGTTGGCGGTAAAAATATCTTAAACGAGGGAAAAAATGGGCATCAATTGATTCACGTGCAACCAAGATACTAATGGCTCAGATATCAATCATCATTAAACGACAGCATGGATGCCTAGTTGGAGTTATATTGCACCAATAGAATAATGAATCATCATAGCCATGACTGTTTTATATACCTTAGCTTGTTGTTGATGGAAAATCCTCCTGGTATGTCTTAATTTTGAATATTCCGAACGAATAAATCTTTTTGTGTTCCATTCCGTCATTGTCGTTGCCAATGTTGTGAAGGAGACAACTACACATGCGTATATATATATATACATCTATATAGAACAAAGACTGCAGTATGAGTTACTTGATTCTCGACGTCTTGCAAGTTTGCATACTAAACACACTCGTCATTTTTTTTACATATGGCGCATACTGTAGACTACTATGGCCCAGGTACATCCAACAATAACATTATATAGGCATAATGCAAGTTCTAGATCAATCTTCTCCAATGATGGACTGCCCCATCAGTAGTTGCTAAGATAGAATAGTATCTTCAGCGGACTCTTCACAATACTGTATTAACTACTTCTATGAGTTCTATCCAATGGCAATCATAAATTCAAATTCAATTAGATTACCGTTTCTATGTTGATAACGCGTTGCACCTTTTTGCTAAGCTGTTAGCAGATCCTTCTCCACCCGAGAATATAATTCAAGGGTATGCAGTGGAGTCATAATAGCTTTAAAGTAATTTCAATGGCGGACTACTTATTGCTAGTAGCTAGCATGGAATACAGTACAAGTAAAATTTAATTAATTTACAAAGGCAAGTAAAAAAAATTATTCTATGCTTGAGGACATATCGCAATATCTTAGATAACATGTCAACTGATCGATTCTAGGAAATGACGACGGTACTTATGGGTGAAAACAGATGTATAATATAGAACAGTTTTAAAAAGTATTTCAACCCCATTATTCAAGGTAATAAACAAGGAAAAAATTAGAAAAACTATCCTATATAAGCTACGTGCCGTAACGTTGTAGCTTGTAAATTATTAGCTCTAGGAAATCATTAAAGTATTTACTAGTGATAGTAGATGGATAATATTATAAAATTCTCTTAATTCAATTTAATCGTGGTGTACCGACAGATCGTGACTGACATGAAACAGTGTCTTCTATCTTCATATTTTAAATTTCTATCTCATTAATCAAGATAATAAAAATAAAACAAATATTACTTCTCAAGTATAAAGTTGTCTTAATCATGCAGTAACTATTGATAGTGACTGACATGAAATAGTACCTTCTGTCTTCAGAATGGTAATTTTTATCCTATTAAGTTAATAAAGATATTGAAAACAAAATAAAAATTACTTCTCTATGTTGACAACGCATTGCAATGTTATGACGAATTTTGTTAATTGATCAATTTTAGATTCCCTTGAAGGCGTGTGTTTGCGACTATTGCGGCAGTTGATGATTGATAATATAAGTCCATTTTAATTACAGACTTTCAATTCTTATTATTTGATACGAAGCAGTACCCATCTTCTGTCTTCACAATATCAAGTCTTTCTACTCAAAGCGAAATAAAGGATCTGCTATGCTTCTTATGCTAACAATACTTTGGTAATTTATTAACAGATCGACTCTAAGCGATCAGAAAGGTCAATGTTATCAATAGCAGATTGATACTATATGGTAGTTTTAATCGTTAGCGGCAGAATATTCATAAAATATAGTAATATCAATAACGAACTACCGGTTCGTATCTTCATACTTCTTAATAGTCCACAAAGTCATACCGTATATAATACCATTAAAAATATCGATAGGTTAATCCGATCAAGTTCTATTAATTACTTAGTTATTTAATTCAAATCATGTGTATGCCTCAGTAAGAGCAGTTATGGTAATTCGTTGGATAGGCCATTCAGTTACGATAGAATGATGACATATTGTATCATTAGTCATGGCTGCTTAATTTTGAATAACTCATGGGATAATATATTACTATCGAAATATTCGTATTATCCGTATTTCAACTTCTATAATTAAGTCTCTTCACTTGGGTCACAAAGGTAAAATAAAATATTCGTACGGTCAATTTGTCAGTTGTACAATAGCATATTTCTCAACGTAATCATGTAGTTCATAGCAGAAGGATATTGTCTTGCAGCTTTAAACATCTACCACATATTCTTAATTGTCCCCAGATTAATCTATTACTCATAAAACGTTCCTGTTGCAATTCCATAGCAGTTAGCTATTCAAAACTCAAAGATTGAAAATTTCTACGTCTACAGCCAGAAGATTTACTACGAGTAAATAAATCATTATAAAAAACAGTACTGTACCTCCGCCATGAGTATGTGGATTTTATAGTAGCACTTTCTTAACCTGATTTGCACAAATAATATAATTATTAATTCACGCTAAATTACCAATGTACCCACAGCTTATAATTCTATAAATAAGTTTAAGTTTATTATTTCGGCTTCAAAGATAAAGCGTCTACGAGATATATTAATTAATAACAGACTTACTATACGGATTATTATTGTATGCAATGTTGATAGTGAAATCATAGCATGCAGTTACTTGCAGTTGTTTTAATCATGGGAGTGACGGGATGCTTAGTTGTCTGTAGAACATTATACTATCCTTAAAACATCAGCATTTCGATTTAATAATTGTATAGATATTTATTGTTTCGATTGCGAAGGCATAACGAATCTCTATGGTAGCGGCATTTTTATTAATTTGCTGACACATTTACTAATACATTTATGTATTTATATGACCCGTATTGTTGCCAGTAGAATAATAGTTAATCATGTACTTCGTTTAAGTCGTGATAAACCTCTTTCCTGTAGCCCATAGAGTAGTATACTATTACTAAAATATCAAAATTTTAATTCAATATTATTAGCTGCTCTCTTATTGCAATGGCAAAATAATCTTCATGTAAGCTAATTACATTGACGGCGGAATGACAAGTTACTGTAACTCCAATCATAGTCTGTTCATTTTTAGCGCTATAGGTTACAAGTTTTGATAATTTTGCAAACGGATTTACTGTCTTATGATTTATGAGTACTATCCAACGCCTACTATTGACACTTGGGTGTTATTCCCTGTAGCTAATCCATACAGTACCCAAAAAAGGAAACATTTAACACGTTTAAAAATGGAACTTTAAAATTTTTACATAAATTCCGAGCAAGATGAAACCCATAATTAGGCAATGATAGCAGCTGTCGTGGTAAAATTTTTCATACTGTAGTGTTCATCAACATTGAACTATTATGCGCCTATATACTGTACTCATCTAATCCATTTAACCTACTAATATAACAGTAAGATATATATATCTATATAGAACAGGATAGATCGAGCAGTGCATATAAAGAGTTAGTAAAGCAATTACTGTTGTTGACAATTCCCAGATATATGTGCAATTCCGCCCTTCATAAGAAATAAAGAATAATTTTAATTGTACTAGCAAACATTACTACAGTAATTATATTATTAGTTCAATAATGAAGGTAAAATTTGACAGAATCAGATATAATATTATCCTAATTTACTGTTTTATGCTAGCCTAGGATCTTCTGATCTTCCAATCATTGCCTGGTTTGGAATATTTACGACATACTGTATGCTCAATTTTACGCGTACGCTAATGAGGACTATTGTGTTAAAGAATTGTAAATTGTTACTCGTACTTAGCACTCATTTTACGCGTATGTTGATCTTTCACCTCCTTCCTTCTATTTAATACAGGACTTATGAACTTATACAGATCAGCAGCAGCATGAAAGGGTTGCAATTAGATATCGTTAACGCTCATAGAAACTATTCCAAATGACATCGGCTTTGGTTATGCAGTACGTCGACTTTCGTTATGTTATAGTGTACTAATACTTATTAATCCATCCGACCGTCGAGATAGTTAAAACAATATTTCATACTTCAATAATTAATTATAATGCAATAGGACTGTGACCTGCCAGCATTTAAAGATTTAGCAGTTACAGTTTTTAGATAAGAGTATTGTAAATGGTACACTTTTCGTTATTATTTCCTAAGATTCGCAACATCAATGCAGATGGGGAGGATAAAATCATCTCTTTCGTATCGGGTTATTTATGGTACTTAAAACACCCTGACCCTAATCGCAAAACGGTCGTGCAAATGTGCTTTAAAATATTAGCAGAGTATCAGTAGTCATACACTTCATAGGCTAGACATTTTATTTCAGGTAAGTGCGTAAGGCTGACATTCATCAGCGCAACTTTGGCTACAATACCATTCAGTATTTCGGCTTAATCTTTAAAAATACAGATTTTGCGCGCCACTATACAAATAGGTGCCTGCAGGTATTTGTAATATTCCGTCAACTTCATTTAAAATAAAATGTAAATTGTAGCTATAGATTTAAGTTCAGTAGGTAGTTCCGGAGCTGCTATTATTGACAAAATAGTTGTTTATAAAACTATGGATAACATATTTATGATCTACAACTCGATAACAGATTTTTGTATTTTTCGTAAGCTATGAATTGCTTTATGCTGAGAAAATATAATATACAATTTCGTGAAATACTTGTATTATTATTCTACAACGGTAAGAAAAGTTTAGTAATACCGAAATACCAAGTGCATCATGTTATTGCTAGAAATTGTAATTATAGTACAAATGTTATGGTGGCCGAGCAATGGTATTTTAGATACATTTTAAAGTTAGCTTCCAAGTTGAACTTATTGCAAAGATATAGAAGTTATAAATACCGTACGGCAATAGAAATACATACTTATACATAGTTTAAAATAGTCAGCTACATTTGTTGCTTTTTAATTTAATTTTTTGAATTGGGAAGCTGAATAATTTATATTAACAATAATTAATTTTATTTATTTTTGAAGTGAAAGCTAGTAGAGCATAAGCTCTATTATAATGTATGTTACATGTATAAATATAAGCAACCTTTGCATACATTTACTACATTGTATAAAAGCATTTTCAAAGGCAATACATTGGTGGCCTTTATACGCTGTAAAATGTAAAAGTAGCATATAGTTAGGCTTGCACTTAATTTACATCAGCTAATTGCGCTTCCAATATTGCTCCTATCGCTTCACATTCCGAATCGATTGAAGACTCAGTAGCCGACGAATCAGTACTCTTACTCGACAAGGAACAGGAACTTGAACTGCTAGAAATTGAAAAACTATCCAACGAACTTTCACGACTACTGCTTCTCCGTGTTAATTCTTTTGCTAAGCCAAAGTCGGGTGCCATCATTAGTCCGACTGACGTCTCATTTCGTTCGTCTAATGAAGTTCGCTTTCGCTTGCTAAACCGTTCTGTCTGCAATTCTAAACTTTTTCGACGCTTCTCTTTCGGCATCAATTGCATCCTCGTAGACGAACACATACATACTGGAGCTAATAAATACGGCTCCTCTTCAATTTTTTTCCAAAATTCATTACATTTATATAACCAGTCGATATCAACAACAAAGACACCGGCAGTTTTCATCGCTAAATGAACCTTTTGGGTATATCCGCTCTGGAATGCTACACGCTTTGTCACGACATGAGTAGTTTTTCTACTCGGCGAAGTGTGAAATTTATGCGTTACTTTTGCGCCAAGAGATTCGGCCAAAATCCATTCGTAAGTCTTTTCTGGAGAAGGATGCCCACTAGGAATTATAGCACTGAAAACAATTTTAACATCTTTTAATACATTACGTCGTATTTCTGGAATAATAGACTTTAGATCTGGTAATTGATCAAGTTGTTCCTTTAATTGATCGTACTGCTGATAAAACCTATTATGGATACGTCGTAATAGTGGCAGTAAGTTAAGCAAGTAATTGTCTTTGATATCATAGTAGGCAATATTGGTGTCTGAATCAACTGCAGTTTTCCATAATGATGGTCTTTGACGTGTGGCAATCTCTTCATCATCATTGTTGTTATTGGTATCAATACGACTATCACCACTGGAATCATTAGTCGATGTAGCATGTTTCTCATCAGTAATTTTTGGTTTTTCAATACATTCTGTGGTATTTTGTCCATTTAATTCATTACTATCAGCGTTAATTTGATTCATTGGACTACTTTCTTCTAATTGATTGACATCTGTATTGCAGTTGTTATCGACTGGTTTGTTCTCTTTTACATCGGGAGAATCTCTAGTCTTAAGACCTTTGCTATTTAATTTCTTAGGATCGTTTATGTCGCCAACATTTGCAAAATAAGAATAAGGTGGTACTGGTATACAACTTGGATGGAATGCCCACATTTCGGGTCGGTCGTCGATAATACAGACCAAATTATCACCAAGTGGGAAAAGCTGATTTAAATTTGTAGATTTTAATAATTGTGATTTTAATTCATCCCTTGACAATATTCTGTTGTAGAACAAGCTACCTGTAGGATCTAAAATTCCGACAATATCTTGAGCGTAGCTTCGTGATCCCATAGTGACAACATGTAATTCGAATAGTGTCGATGCTACCTTTAGAAATTCTTCTACATGTGGCCGTAATTTAGTTAAGTACTGATGGTAAACATTATATCCAGGAAACATGTGGCAAGTATAATAAATTTGTTTTTCTTCAGTTAAATTGGATAATTTAATATCGGGTGATGCCATTCGAGTATGTATTAGGGTAAGATCCAAGTCGACAATCAATACCAGTTTTTTACTCGACAACAATCGATTCATATCATTTTTGGCTAATTCACTAGCCAGATCCTGACTGACGACCAGATCGGGAACATTTGGGACCATGGTTACCATCGATTTTTGTATTTCAACGTCTTCTACAATTACGGTATAAGAAAATTCAATTCTTTTTAAAGTTTCACGGAGCATTTTTTTAATTTAATAGCAATTTTATAATATGATAGGACAAATTTCATCGTTACAAATGCACTGTATGGATAGTGGACAATATTAAGTAACATGGCAGCGGTCAACGTATTGGGTTACCGTTTGTAACGAAATAGTGTGTAGTTACTAGAGTATAAAATCTACGAGTACTCGTCTATGGAAATACATGCAAACAAATGCAAATTTCATCATTTGATTCAAACTACATGACGCTTACTTTTTGACTTGGATAAATCTTTACCGCAAGTAGCACACATATCTCGAATGATTGTAGAATGTTTACATTCTTCGACTACTAGTTGAATAACAGGCGTTTTGGCAGGCAATTCTTCACCGAGATGACGTAGGATTTTCTCAATTCGACAACAAGATGGTGATCGCATACGCTTATATTTGGCACTAATGGATTTATCACTAGGCTGTATCAAGGCTAATAGTTGACCACTACTGACCACTTCGCCTTCTTTAACATATAAATTAGTCAGTTTACCCGTTACTTTTGATGAAATGATCAATCGTTCAAGTTGATGAATTTCAAGTAACATCTGACCAACATTAAAATCTTCTTCTTGGCCAACCATAATCTTCTTAATAATAGAATCCTCTTCTTTATCGCATACAATCTGTTTCATTTGCGCAATATCATTTAATTTTATTTCATAATAACCAAGAATGTCTCCTTTTCCAATTTTATCGCCTGTGTTGATCAACCAGTTGATCAATTTCCCGTTGGCGTTAGCCACTATCCCTTCGCCTTCATTCCTTGCCGCCATGGACCCACCAAGCAACGCAGGCGCAACAATTTCGATTGGGCTTTAATTAATCCAACATTGAACTTGAAAAAAAAAGAAGAAAAATTGTCAGAAAAATGTGCATGATTTTACAGTGCAATGCACGGTAGAGTAGGGACTGTATCATTGTACTCTGAGGGTAAATCGACTGTAAATTGCAGTACACTTTTCGATTTTCACAAAACTCCACTACAGTATACTGTACTCTACTGTGTTGTACAGAACACAAAGTAGAGGGTGTACTGTGCTGCACATCGTAGTGATGGATAGTAAATAAAAAAAAAATAAAAAAAATAGAAAAAAAAAAAAAATTTGAATCCATTTCATGACTTTCTACTACTGTTTCTATTACTATTTCTATTACTATTTCTACTACTGTAGACTATGGTTTGCGATTGATCAATGACAGTCATGCGGACGGAAATAATAGGAATAAGTACATAAAAGCTCCACTACAGTATACAGTACTGTACTCTACTGTGTTGTACAGAACACAAAGTAGAGTATGTGCTGTGCTGCCCATCGTTGTGGTGGATAGTAAATGCCCCAAAAAATAGAAAAAAATTTGAATCCATTTCAGGACTTTAGGTTTGCAACACGGGGTAAAAAGAACAACATTGATGTCAAAAAATGCACAGTACTGTGTACACTATGTGTAGTGGTGATTTCAACGACATTGTGATACTGTAAGGCGTAAATGTACATCATTGCCGTGAATGAATCAACACTTGCAAATTGTAGTAAAAGAATATCTCTTCGTATCGGACAAGATGACGGTATTTCGGTAAGGACAACCAAGAATTTCTACTACTGTAGACCATGGTTTGCGACTGATCAATGGCAGTCATGAGGGCGGAAATAATGGAAATTAAGTCCATAAGTCAATTTTACCTATTTGGATCACCAATGTCTCAAAATCTTTTCTGAATCCTGCCTGAATTCCTGTCTTGTTGGATCCTTGTTGGTACTGTAGTAAATCGCTAGTTTTACCGCACTTGTTTAGTTGAATCCCTTGGTGTCCGTTTGACACTAACTTTATAACGATAGAAAAGTGCTGTTTATAGTCATGAAATAGATAGTACACTGTAGTGTACCCTCCTCAAGCGTCCAGTAGCCGATGAAAACTCAATTAGCGAGCACAATCGGGTACAAACAAGTTCTGCAGACGGTAGCAGTGTAGGACAATCTGGAATTTTGGATTGATTAATTCATTTATTTGGTCAACAAGGTCCAATTAATCCTCCCTGTGGTGATGTGTCTTGTAGGACAGTATGGCTAGCCGCGATACCTTTCATACATGTCCCAAAATGGGATAATAGTGGATAGACATACTGTACAGTATGAGTGGCATTGCGTACAGAACTGTACAGTGTACAGTGTACAGTACGGAAAGAAGGTACTGAAGATGATCCATGTCAAGTGTTGACTCGTGTTGACGATTGACTAACGTACAGTACAATGTGGAGCTGAGAATTTTACACCTTGAGTACTAATATTGCTCCCACACGGACGCTAATCCACCCCACAGTAGGATTGCTACAGTCAATCTGCAAAATGAATTAACTTCGAGAGTCCCATGTCCATCGTACTGTCAGTCTGTCACCAAGGGTAGAATAATCAACTTCATAACCAATCCTGATGACAAAATTAGGAACGTAACATTTTGAACGCAGCTTTGAAAAAGCCTACAAATGATCCCAAGAGAATCATGCTAATCGTTCTTGGTGTACCAAGTTAATCGACCGATAGCTGGAATATGGATGACACGTGATTGGAGTTATCGTAACCAATCGGTTTCAAGTCCAATACCGTGTTTTATGAGCATGCGTAAATGAGTACACCAGCTTTGTATAGTGATACTGTACAGTATAGGAAGACCGAAAGTCATCACCAGTTAGATGGTATAATAAACCTTCTGCAGGTCGCTAGAGATTGAATCAAAGCTAACCCTTCGTAATCCGGCCATCGGACTGTATTACTGCGATCCGATTTACTCATCTTGTTGGCATGCGCCAAGAAACGCTACAATATCCTGTGGAAAAAATTTTGAAAGATTCATTCATTGATTCCCATGATGGCATTCTCAGAGAAGAAAGCCCCACAGACATTACCTAGTCTTTTACTCTAACTCATACAAGTTATTTTTCCTTCTTGGACCTCAGCTGGAGATTGTTGACAGTACACTGTACAATACAGTACTCTTCCGACTATACTGTACACTACTGCACCAGTGTTCTGCACCGTCCCTTTCAGACTCATGCTACCCTAGACACGTGCAAGCTTCAGTCACATGACGCATCGGCGATTTCGCGCCATTTTCAACCATTGGTAGAGCAGCTGATCATGATGAAACGCGTTCCTACCCCTGCTGAACCAATGACTGCAGCGCCAGTGTGTTTCTGCTTCCGTTGGCCGGTGTTACAGTATAGCCAAGAGTCTAGTCTGGCTCTATTTACTTTTATAGAGACTTGAAAGAGGGCTAGGCATCAAAACCATCGATAGATTAATTCATCCATTAATTTAAAGCAGAGATTTGCGCCGTCTTGACTGATTCTAGAGTTCAGATTAGCACGTTCATCGATGTCCATATAAATAGATCGAAAGCTGATTTCCTACTCTCAAGTTTCCCATAACGTAATCTTAACGTACAAACCATTTCCAACATCATTTCTCAAGTCTACCAAAGTCTTTTCTGCCACACTTGGTTGCTGAACGTATTGGCTTGAATCACACGATTTGACAATTGTCTTGCGCATCGAAAAATCATCCAAAGTATTGATTACTGAGGTTAGAAATTGTTCGCCTTCATGACTGTCCAAGTAGTGCTCCAATAACTATTCTAGAATAGTCTCAGTCGATCTCTCATTTCCGACAGATCGGCTTCCATTCAATTGCTTCGAGAAGCATCTGTAAATTAAATGCATTAGATGACGACCTCAGTCATCTGCTGGTCTACATCGCTTTGCATTCTGTCGTTCTCCTTCCAGTATTGCAATGGTAACCTATAATAGTTGTACGTCTTATTCTCTTAACAGGCTTCCAGCTTTCCCATGCAGACCACTAACATCTTATCTTACGGTTTTCGCTGCCGAAAAGCACGAACCACTATCGAAAAATGGGATCCTTTAACTCATCGTAATAATACCAGCCGTGCCAAGCGTAAATTAGGTACTGCAAATTTGGAAATTAAAGGATGCTATTCTGACGTATTTTGAATGCATATAGTACTGATACAATCCAATGGGTAATACGAAGGAGTAGAGCACTGTTCAATCAGCAGAACTGATGCTCGTAAAATGACTTCTGAATAGCAACTGAACACCGTAGAACAACCAAATAGACAGCATTAGCTCCATTTAAATGCCTTAATAGGCAGTGAATGTTTTACAGATAAAACTCTCTCGTCATATCAATAGCTTACTTTTATAAACTTGATTGCATTGTAGAATAAAAAATAAATAATACTCTATGATTATGCAGACTGAGACATTCCTCACATAGCCAATGCAATATACCATGATACCTTATATGTTCACGAGGAGAATGCCATTAATCATCATCAATGATCATTTTTAGAAATCGACCGTGACGATCAGAGTTGCAAGAAGAGGCTCAAGGAAACGCTCATAAATACATCAGAGGCCGATGGTATGTCATTATAACTCGGGTATTCGATCAGTTAATTCGTTGTTATTATTACAGTGAGGAAGGATAACATCATACTTAACTATTAATAGTATACGAATGGTTGGCACAAATAGTATTGATAGCAAATTTAGTCTGCCACATTACTATAAGCACAGCAATCGCAAAGATGGATAAATCCATGCGAATCATACACTAAACTAAGTAACAGTAATTTTCTATTATAGTAACAAAAATTCTTATTTTAAACTTATTCTAGAAAATCCCTACCTAGGCCGAAAATTTAAAAATATTCTCAGTACATCTATTGATGACTCTGTAATCTGCAGAAATCACTATCTTGAAGAGATTGGAAATTTTATAAAACAACATGTTGACCATGGTACTGCCGCCAGTATGTATATTAGTGGTGCTCCTGGTACTGGTAAAACTCTCTGCTTAAAGAAAGTAGCTGCTGACAATCAGGTTGTTACAGTTGACTTACATCAACTATTTGCAAGCGTATTTAGATTATTCTTAGGAGACGATATGTATCTGCAATGTTGAAACTATACCCCCTGAATATGACTGATTGGAAAGATTTGTCTCTTATATTTTTATTCCTTGCCTTATAGGATCTTGCGCAAAAGGCCAAAGTTATATACCTCAATTGTATGACATTTAAAAAAGCTGATAATGTACATAATCAAATATTAAGTAAATTACTCGGTAGTGAAACCGTTCTTTCTGCCCGAGCTGCTGTTGAAAAATTACGCAGAGCAATATCGTCCAGTGGTTCAATGATGTAATGCATTAAGTATAACTACTATGGAAGACACTTTCTAATTGAATATATAACAACATACACCGAGCATACATAAGATCAACCCTAAGTCGCCTAACTTTTATTTCATTGCAGAGTATTAATTATAGACGAAATTGATCAGCTAGAGTGCAAAGGTCAGGAAGTACTTTATACTTTATTCGAACTGCCTTCAATTCCTCGATCAAAGTTAATACTTATCGGTAAGGTTAAAAAAATGTTGTTAACTTAATTTATCCATTCTAGAATACTACATCATACACTGACGAGATTTGCGATATTTTTCAATAATATATATATACATCGATACTTTACAGGAGTTGCCAACTCTTTAGATTTGACCGATAGATCCTTACCAAGATTAAATAAATTAGAGAAATGTAAGCTGCAAATAATGCATTTAAATCTTATAAATTCGATGTTCAGTGTTTAAATTTTGCTTACTCTATGGACAGATGATTAATTTGACTAAATATCTCTAGATAAGCCCAAATTACTTCATTTTCCTCCCTATACCAAGGATGAAATAGTTTGTATTTTAGATAGCAGGATGTCTATGGTAAATGAAATTTCGATTGTAAAATACGATGATGTATAGTAGATTCCTATTCAATATAATTTGTTTGCACATATTCTCTGTTTACTCTCCCCTTATTTAGTTGACATTGTTTGTCAATTTTTTTATCAGATCAAAAGCTCTGACTCTGTAACCAGTATTGATAAAAGTGCCTTTGAGTATTGTGCAAGAAAAGTATCTGCTGTTTCTGGAGATATTAGAAAAGCTTTAGATATATGCAGGTATTCTTAGCTACCGTATCAAAGCTTATCGCTTGTTTTTATAGCTAGATATCTATAAGATTTCATTTAATTTGGTGTTTGTGAGGATATTTTCTATTTTAATTTATTAACTGCAATCATTAATTTCGTAAAGCGTCCAGACGCCATTGCTGTACGAGTATATTTAAAACTACATTATATCGAGACCAGCAATTAATACAAAATCGTTTTTAATTCCTTTTCAGGCGTGCTATTGAAATTGTAGAAAAAAGAGCGAATAGAAATAACTCAAGTAGGATATTCAGTATTTTACTTGAATGCTGCTAGATCAATCGAAAATTGATTGTTTGATAATTAAATTACATATACTAGATAATGGTAACAATCCTGATGCAACTGTCCGTATTTCTGATGTGGCTGGCGTTATATCTGAAGTATATGGATCGAGAATTTTACCTACAATGAAAACTTCCTCCGAACCCACCATTCCTTTACAACAAAAGTTATTGGTTGGAGCATTGTTATTAGCTATTAAAAAGATTCGAGGAGTTAAAGAAATCACAATTGCTAAGGTGCAAGAATATTTTTACGAATATTTTGAACTAAACCACATGTAATAATTGACATCAATTCTTTACAGTTATTTGAATGTTATAGAAATTTATGTAAGAAGAGGCAAATTCAGACTGTGTATGAATCAGAAATAACAAATTTATGCAGCTTGTTGGAAGCTAGAGGAATATTAAGACTGAAAAATAACAAAGAAGTAAGATTTTCCAAGGTATGATATGCAAATCTTGATGTTTTTATCCAATGTTTTTGCCCTATTTTTCGTTATCACCTTTTAAGTAACTATGATTAATTTATTTTAGGTATGTTTAGCCATTAACGAAGCCGAAGTGGCGATAGCCTTGAAGGATCAGACTCTGATATCTTCCATTTTAAATGATGATTTATGATTCTCAAGAAATCACGCTTTGATTATTAATAATAATAGCTATCAAATACTTTTAATGCATATTGAACGCACTCGAAAAGAATAATATTTATACTCGTCTATTGACAAAAAAGTCATATTTTTGTAATTGAATGATTTTATTTCGACTCCGTTTCGTCAGATGACTGACGACAGTATTTGTAGTAAGTTAAAATTCAATAGAATAATCTTAATTAAATCTAGAGACCTTTCAATCTACTTTGTAATTCTTCTAGGGAGACCGGTTCTTCAGTTTCCTGTTGCGACTCAGTCGAGTCCTAAACAATAAATCGAATGAAAATTTAATCCCGCGTGCTAATCTTTTGTGCATTACCTTTACTAAGATCCTTACTTGTTCCACAGATGGCATATCGTACGCTCGTGCTAATCCTTTAGCTAAATCAGGATCAAGTTCTTCCTTCTTTTCCGATTCTGGGGTTTCATCAACCAATGTGATTCCTAAATGAATCAGTACCCTTAGTATCGTATTGTCATTACACAAAAAAATTTTTTAATTTTCTAACCCCATTCGTTAGATTCATGAACTACGTCTTCAGTTGGATCTTCCGACTCCGCCTCCGGAGGATTTTCGGCTAAATATTGCTATAAAAAATTTGAACAATAAAAAAACAATACTGAAATAAAGCGCTATACTTTGATAAATAAGTTTCTTCAAATTTTTATTTAATGTATTTACTTGATACTCTTCCTGACGTATCAAGCAGAAACTGTCATCACAATGAGGGTTAGGCTTCAAAGCCATGGTAGGAAAATAATCTTTCATAGCATTGTAACCTAAGTAGTGCGTGACAGATCCGAATTGTAATAGGTGCCTGTGAGACAAGTTTAGAAAAAGCTCCATTAGCACAAAATATCTAGGATTGTTTTGAATTGATGTAAATAGTTGCATTACTTTAGAGTATTTTGCACTAGAAAGCCGGCAACGATTCCCATAGTAGTTGGCAACGACGCAGCACAGACTCCTTCACGTTTCAGGGTTTTCTCATCAATATTATCAGCGACAACAAGAGGAGGAGCACACTAAAGTTAATTTTGTAGGGAAAAATTAGTTGAAGCCATATATCTTATCAACATTGGGCGAATACTACTTACAGCAAAGCAAGACGTTTGTCCAGGAATTACAACTTGGATATGTCCAGAAACTGCATTCTCGCTTACGCCCGATTCTATCCACATTTGATTTATTTCATTACAAGCCTAAAACGTTAGTTGCCAATGTCTTAGATCAACTGCTCTTTAATACCTTTTGGAACTGTTATAATATAATCCCTTACCATATTGATTGCCATCCTAGCTTCAAAATTGTCGACGCAACTTAAAACCAAATCGACAGGTTTACCTTGTAGACCACCACTCCTGTTGGTTAACGATTGATTCCATATCATTATAATATTGTAAAACAATTCAACCAATTATCATCAACTGAACTTACTTTATCCTACCAACAAAGTGATCATATTTATCGACTTTGGTTATGTTATAGTTGTGCGTTTCAAACTCAACATCTGGGTTTATATCCCTACAAAAATTAAATTTTAGTTGCTACAATGTATCAACGTTACCTTACATGAATTACAAATAGCCATAGAAAGTCATTACTATTATACCAAAGAAACTAACCGAAGAGTAGCTTCAGAAGCTTCAACTTTGCTCATTCCCGACTGATCAGGCCGAAAGAATAGCCTTTAAATACATAAAGAAAAACGATTTATTTATATATATATTTATCGATAGAACCGGCATCGTACAACAATGTAAAACGGTAATAGAAAACAGTCATCATGCTACAGTTTATACGTCGTAAAGACATTGAGCGTGTTCAATTGCTAACTTCGCACCTGTTCATATTCGCCAATTCAACTTTATCATAATCGAATAGAATGAGCTAAAAATTGTAAAATACACAAAATTTTAATTGCTGTCGGCAAACACGATGAGATATATGAACTAGTTTACGGTACAGATTCAAAATAAAAATTCGTATCTTCTAGCAATGACTCCTATATTTGTCATACCTTTCCAATGCCACATCTTGTTAGCATTTCGGCAGTAACGCTTCCAACGCCACCAACACCCACTATAGCTACAGTATAATGTCGAATATCCTATAAGAAAATGTTCTACTTAGTCTTCATTATAAATTTGTAATCACACCTTTAATCAACAAAGTTGAGGATCGGATTATTAATCTGACATAGAGTAGTAACACAGAAAGTTAATTATAGTAGCCGTGATTTTAAAATAGTTTCTTTTCTTTCCCTGTCTTAGTGCGGATCTATTATCATTTATTGAAACTTTTACTAATACAATTATCTATACATTTCAGTCAATTTAAGAAGCTGTAAATAGTACTGGAGTAAGCTTTTATTACAATTTGATAATAGTGATAACATGATTCCCTATTTAATTCACTTCATTGAGCTTTCTTTCTCAACTAGCGTAGATTACTGTCATGTTTTGATTCATTACTGTCTTCATTACGGTAAAAACTAATAACATAAAGCAATCAGCATGCCGAAGGTATTCAGTTATAATCTTTATGACTTGTGGTTGACGATTATCCTATTTTTATTATATATCATAAAAAAGACATTCAAATAGCCCATAAAACGCCCTTCATTTCGAATCGAATGTCAAAAAAATTGGATAGATATTTTTCAAGATCAATGTAGTACTAAGTTAATTTCTCGATCCATATCAAACTTACTTCATAATTTTTAACAATTCCCATCCGTTTAAGAGCCATTAATCGACTGAAAATAGACCATGTAAGTATTAGCAACATCATAAACTCATCGATCATTTATTCTAGGTGAAGTAACAATTCTAGCAATCCAAATATGTTGATCAACACCATGTATCATGTCAACATGATCTCTGTTTGACCGAATTATACCTGTAAGGGTTGCTATCGACAACTTCCGAACTCATCGTGGTAATCTTAACACGGTGTTGTGCTGATTTCTTAGCCAGTGCATCTTCTAGCTCTTGAATTTTGGCTTTTAATTGTTGATTCTCTTCAATCAGTGATGCAGTCTGATTCGCCATTTTGAATGGCAAAATGACGACAGCAATAGCGGGGGACTAATGACGACTGCTATGAATCGTTTCATCGTAACATAGTTTAAAGACCGCTTGACAGAGACATGCGCAATGGGGATTATGCTAATAAGTATCATGGTTGCCAAGCAAGCCAAAGGAGTACTCAAAGACAATTGCCGTTTTTCGCTCTATTTCTTTCTTTTAAGAGGAGAATTTTCCTTGAGTAGTCCCTAGCAAGCCTTATCTTTCATCCAAGTTTGAACAAGGCTAATACCCGGAAACACGATTAGAAAGGAAAAGACTATAGAATGGAAATAGACCAAGACTACAAATAGTGTGTTAAATGTGTTTAGGGTCACGTATTGTACTCACCTATACCATAGAAATGTATATATATATATATATATATACATAATATATATAATCATATATATAGTATAATATATAAAGTATATCATATATATGATAATACTATGGTAATGGGCAAAGATTACGGTGTGTTTGGTATGTTTAGGATCACATACTGCACTCATATATACTATAAAAATTTACTAACAGTCTAATCTACATTTAATAATAATACTTATTTCGCTGCTCAAATACACGAATGTAACATTTAGACAACATAAGTTTTCATATACGACTCTATTAAATTAACTTCACAATAAAAATAGACCACAACATCGCAAATATATCCTGTCAAATATGAAGTACAGAGAAAAGAGATATATAAAATAGCTTTAATTAGAATTATACCATAGATATTAGAATCAGTTTACCGATTTAGAGGTTTGAACTATAAAAGAGTAATATACGGTAAAATTCTAATAAAAGTGATAACAAGTTTAAATGATAACATACTCAGTAGAGAATATTTTACTAATTGCTAGGTCTAATGCTATAACATAGTTTAGAAATAATGACTGTAGATACTATAATGTTGCTTAATATGCAGTAGAATGCTAGCAAAAGTGATTATAAGTTTAAATTATAACCTAGATAGTAGGGAATATTTTACTGATTTTTAGGTCCAATGCTATAAAATACAGTAGATATTACAATATTACATGTGTATGTGTACGATAGAGTACCGAGAAAAAAGGTATTTGATGGTGGGCTTGATTATAATCCAGATATTAGGAATCAGAGATTGCCATTGAGGACTTTAGTATTCACTAATAGGAATGCTTTAACCATTTTTAGATTTACAATGATTACATGCTCAGTGCTATAAAGTATCAGTCAGAATAAATAGACATTATAGAATAATGTTGAAAATGTGTTCTGTAAATGATAGACAGATGAGAAAAAAGATGTATGACAACGTACTTAAATATTGTAGTCTAAGTTATAGCTTTCTATACTGACTACTAGATTAGCGTTGAAGCAAGAGTGTACTATATCGCCCATGATGAAGATTGTTTTCGCAGATTATAAATTCTAAAACAAGTTATTAAACCTTAAAATCGGAAATTATATATCGTACAATAAATCTGCATATGTTTAATTTAAATTGAACTGAAATATGATATTATAAAATCTGATGTAATATCGATAAAGCATATTCTGTAAGTGATAAGGTGCAGAACAAAGTATCGAAATAGGAATAGTAAATGATTTATTAGAAAAGTTCTCTCCTAAAATATAGATTTCACAGAGTAATTTCTCAAAACCGTTCAAAAATTAAGAACTTCTATTTTGGTCTACTAATTAATAGATATATATTTCAGTACTTCAAAGTATCCCGTAGAATATACCGTACAGCTCTACTCTAGATTTTAATTATGCTTGGTACTACTCTACCATAGCAGGTATACTTGTTTATATACTTTGCTCATCATGTCTAGTACCCAGTGGTAGAAATTAATTTTTGGTCAATCTATGCCATGGCTTAGTAGGAAAGGATAAATACCGCACTGCTTAGATTTACCAAAATTAAAATTTCAACCAATCTACGATACAATTTAATATTAAGTTCGGATATAATACTGTACTTTTAGAATCCTCTGCTGTGGTCTATTTTGATGTTAATCTAAACATGATAGTTAGATATCAATACACTTGCTCTAAGCACCTGGTAGTGAACAGTATTAACTCCATTTTTATTTAATGATCAATCTTATTAAAGATTAAAATATTTATGAATCGATATTCTATCTTATTAGTTCTCCTTTTTTGGTATAAATCTAAAGGAAAATTGAGGTAAAAATTGACTATTTCTATGTAATTCATTTTTGTTTCCTTACTCCAACCTGAATTAATTACAAATAAATAAATTTGAAAGAAGACAACGTCATCAGCAACACTTAAAATTTTTCCCAACCTTATAAGCTAGGCATTCTTACAAGATTTAATTGCATTATTTATCGAAGAATTAGGGTAGAGGCCAGTAGGGGAAATTGCGAATTATATGCCATCTGAATTAATTAATTATGTCGAGTATTATTGATTAGTAGAGCGTATCGACTATCTGTGATAAGCAATTTTTTGTACAATAAATATCATCTATCAATTATCGATAATACATCGCTTTATTCAAGTACTAATAGTACAAAAAAACGGAAAGTCGCTAAGATTTCAACTAGAAAATAGAAAATTTTTTTTAGCAATCCTTATCAATTACTTTATATTCTTGCCTCTGCTTACTCTGTATGGATTAATATCGATATTTACCACTCGTTGCAACAAAATCAACAGTAGGAGGTATCGATAGAGTACCAGATCATGTTAGAGTAGTTACTATACTCGATACATTGATGGAGAATAAATTAAAATTTAATTACGGCCTCATTATTATCTATTGTTATGTTAACGACTCTATTGAATACACAATAAATACAATTTACATATATGCACAACTGCGTCTGTGTGATATTGTATATCCTAGGCAACAAAAGATGCAACTTCCAAGCCGTAGTAACCAAAATCAAAGCTAAGGAATGTTTGTTAATTAACACCGAACAAGAACATCTTTATTCATAATTCGATGTTGGTCAAAATTTAATTAATAGTACGTTGAAATTGGATAATGACGATCAATAGTAATCTATATATGTACAGAAAATGGATGATATTAAACTAGATTCATGGAAAAATGAGTTGGCACGCATTAAGTATACTCTTAAAACCACAGAATCATATCCACTAACATTGCATAATGGCTTGCAGGTATGGTAAATTTATCAAACAGTTTTCTTTCCACATCTTATCCTACATTACAGTTACGAATTTATTCTGCAACTACTGGTTGATTAACTTTAGATTCAATTAATAACTTAAGGACTATGAACTAATTATACTTATATTAAAATTTATGTATAACGTGGGTTGTTTATGATTTAAATAGAAAGAATCTTTAATTTATGATGACCTTACATTTCGTTGCAATAGTTACTGCTAACTATCCAACTATTCTATCTCTTGTATCTTCGAACTCTTATTAGTTAGCCATATCATAGGATAGATAGTAAGCAGTGCTCAAACTTGATAATGATATGAAGTCATTTATACCGCATATTACCTGATGTGATTACGCTGATTTAACAGCTCCAATCAATAACATATAGAAGCTACAATGTACTCTGCGATTTTAGTGGATCCTAATAGATTTAATCTAATGATAAAATTGGCAGTCTTCTTACTAGCTAATGTAAGTGAATTTATTGGCCTTCTAAAATTCAAATATAAAGTCATATATATTTGAATCGAATATATGCTGAAGTAACAATGTCATCTAGTAAAAATGATCCCTCTATTAAACTGCTGCTACAAGTCAGTGTAGCTACTATTCACAATTTTTAAACTATGCCTGAGGTATCAGGTGGCACAGTTTGAGATCTCTTACTCCTTTTTAGTTCATTAAAGTCTCTAGCTAGTGTACATTACGTTATTCTCCAAATATAAGTTATAAACAACATGGTAAATTAATATTCATTACTAGGATTTATTTTGCATATAAAAATGCGTTCAATGCTGTTTTGCACACTTAAAATTTCAATTTAATGATACAGCTCGAGCATCAAATGGTCCATCCTTTCCCTGTTCGATGTATAACATACGCAAGCGCTAAAACAGGTACAAATTACAAGATGAGTACAAGTTATGATTATCCTTATCAATAATTATATATGAAATCTCTGCTCTTGAGTATATTGATTACCACTGAATATAGACTTGATTAGATAAATATATCTTGACATGTACTGTTTATAAATTTTTAGGACAGCAATTTATTTCTCATCTGGGGAGTGGATCTAATACTCAGATTAACATTTGGACGATAGCAAATGCAGGATTTACAAAAAAGTTTCAAAGGTATAATATTCTATTCATTTTTAATTACTGTACCTGCCGCTATTTAATTAAAGGATTTACAGGATATCATTTTAATAAAACATAATTAATTTTTGTTTTTATGTTATTTTTTTAGAATTAAAATACAATCAATAACTATCAATCATCTTACTTATGTTGCCAAGCATAGAGTAGGTTTATTCTATTCGATATTCTTCCATCTAATAGAATCCTATAAATTATCTTCTCTTCATATAAAAAATATTGGAAAGTAAATACAAAAAGCTAACTTTATAATTTATAATTTCGCTCAACTTTTTTAGGTTTTTGTTGGATTTTGCCAGGATTTATATCTTCGTGTATTCTCTAGCGTATTTGATGAATTATCTCGAGCCTTATGTCCAACCACAGTTTTAAGGTCGCTATAACAAATATATTGCAGTTGACTTCGTAATCGTAAGAAGAACATAAGCTATTTGATATTTATAACTTTCTAATATATATAAAATAATTCTTCTACTACAATAGTGTATTTTATAATGAACCTACAGATGAAATCTTTACATGTGGAGTCGGTAAGCTTACTTCATTTTTCTCTCTACGAAAAACATATGCAACTCTACTTCATCTCGTAAAACAAGTAATTTTCACAATGTAATTCTCTAACAGGTTTTATTTCTATATGGAAATTCGGAAATAAGGTAATTGTTTGATAATACATATGCGTAAGATACAGTTTTGCTCCTTTGGTAGCATGCCATTTATTATTATATATCTTTTGCTAGATAAATGATCCATTAGAGCCAGGGCGCAACATTCCGACGACCGTTACACCAGATAAGGTTAAAAATATGGCTTATATCATGAATTTATCTCACAGCATTATAGCAGTATAACTAGCATTAATTGGTATTAATATCTATATTCACAGTGGGTAACTGGATTTGAAGTTTATCCTAATGCCGAAAAATTATTAGCAATCAGTGGCGATGGAATTTTCGTACTGGATTACTATGTAAGTCAATTTAAACTTTATATAAATTTAACAATTGATGATTTACAGTAAAAAAATGAGCGTTTTTATACAAAATGGCAAGTGATAGTGCGAAATCTATCTCAAATTTTACATTAAAATTGATTTTGTAGTTTATTGGAAATACTCTATCAATACTAATAAGTAATTCCTTCTGAAATTGCTAATAGAAGAACCAACTTTGTTGTTACTTTTATAGCACAACGAACAAGTCAATTTCTTCAAAAACTGGCATGATCTGTCTTTAACATGGTAAAGTATTAAACTCTAAATTTTATATTTTGATTTCAACCGATGAGAACTTTGTAGTAAAGTAGATTTGATCTAATTTTTTTCTTGATGTACGCATTCCAGCTGTGCCGTTTATAGGCCGTTAGAATATATTATTACAGGAGCTAAGGATGGTCCAATTAAAGTAAAAATTAAACTCTAGTTCTATAAAATTAGTCTAAATTTTGATCACTGTCATAAAACTTTCTTAAGTTCTTTTGAACCTAAATAATACTATTGTTCACTAAATTATTGCGCTACCTGTCCTGAAACTTCATTCCAATAGGTCTGGAATTTAATGGTTTACAGCTTAATTCATACCTTCCATGGTCATTTACAAAGTGTAACCGGATTAATTGTGCATCCTCATGAGCCATTGTTGTTATCTAGCTCGACAGATCATACTCTGAGAACATGGAGACTAGATACATTTGAAGAAGTAATACAGAATTATAACTCACAAAGATTTACAGTTACCGAATTGTTTGTTATAGCTTACTCAATGCTGCTATTTGAATTTAAATAGACATGTCGAATTAATGTCGGAGACGCTATACTTGGCATGAAATTGTTAAATAACCATCAACTATTTTATCATTCGAAAGATACTATTAAAGTGTGGAATTTAAATCATGTAAGTTATCAGTCTTGAACTTGAACAAAATACAGAGAATATCTGACTACACATCTATATCTGTATAAATTAAAGATCAATTTCATTTTATATTTCTGATGCATGTAGTAATCCTTTCGTGAAATTTAGGTAATTACTTCTCATATTATTTAGTTTTATAGCGTATTTGCGGTAATTCATTCTCATGTGATAAGAATGTCTTGCGTTATGACAAAGTAACCACAGTTGCTGTAATGCAAACGGTAAAAATATAGGCTGATAATTATATATATATGTAATTGTCCTTTAAATATGCGTAAAAGTAACGAATAGCCAGCCCTTATTTCGATTCATATTCACTATATAAATTGAAATAAATAAGGACGATGCCATAGAAGTCGAATACTTAGAAGATAATAAAGTGCCATCGCTATCGCTCCTCTTTGCTGGTCTCTACAATGGCGAAGTAAGTAATAGCCATCAAATTTACCCTTCTATCTATATTGGATCAAAAATTAGTACTTTAGATTTTTTGAAGTCGTATGAAATTAGGACTCCATTTAACATCCCAATTCTATTAAATAGATGTCTTGATCCTTTTCGATTAAATCAATTATAGATATCATTACTCCATGGTTCAAATACTAGAATGGAAAATATTGCAGCTCATGGAGGAGCTATAATACGATTAACAGTATCTGAGCGCAACATCAATAGCACAGGAATTGGTCGTTATTGTAGACTTGTATCACTAGGAAATGATAGAGTAAGCATAGATTAAGATGATGCGGCAATTTATCTAAATTATTTAGATCACATTTCAGTGAGATTCAGAACGATGAAATGGATACTTATATACCACAAAAGTATCTATATGTTTATATCACAAAGTTCTTACCGTACATGACCTGATAAGAGTACACTTTGCCAGTTGGTTCTCTAGGGAATTTAGCATATTAATGCATACTTCAGTAGAACTTATGACAAGGAAAAGTTATGCACATCCATAAATTACACTTAAGGGTACTTTTGCAATTAAAGCGTAAGCAGTTCATCTTACTGAGCCCTAGCTTACTGCATTCGCGTAAATTATACTGAATGTTCACTTGCTACAGTTAATCCAGAAAAGTTTTTCAGAGCTTAATATTAGAAATAACTATGCCATGATAAAAGAGATTTTTGGGAAAAGTTAAAAGATCCGACTTTGCTATCGTCTATTAATAACTATTATAAATGACGAATTATCTTAAGAAATGGTTAAAATGTGTACAATAATTGAATAGTTAAAGCAAGAGTTTCCTTGATTCGGGCAAATAATTATACCAGATACAAAACTTATGGTTTATCCCTGTTGTAAACTTTTCAGATTGTTAGAATATGGAGAGTTAATGTTATCCATCCCGAAACAATCTATCTAAGTGGCTTACGAAGTGTAAGTTAAGCTTATTACCTGTAGCGGAATTAATTCTCCACTAATTTATTCATATCCGGTATACTGTAGGTCACGTTGGATGGTGTACCTACAAATGTCTGCATGATGGATAATGCTCTTTGTGTATCGATGAGAGACTAGTAAGTATATACCATATTTATATATCCAATTAAGAGGTTATGTAGCATTAGCTGAATGATACAGATTATATCAAAATTTGCTATAGGCTTTTCTACCGCCATTACAGGCAGTAGAATAATACGGCCTTTAAAGATCGGATTTATAAATAAAAAATTTTAACTAATGATTACCCGTTTATTCCAGTTCTACTGTCATATACCAACTCCATGAAACCAAAGGTGGTGAATATATTCATCAACTTAGTAGCCCTGATCATACGAAAGATAATGCCAGTGATGCAGATAATAAATTAAAAAATCGCGCTCTATCCCTTAATACCTCGAAATCGGTTGGATTGGAAGCACCTAGCTCGGAGAATCGATCAATAACTGCCATGACGACTAGAACATTTGAAACTATTGAAGAAGTAGAAAGTAGCGATAGTTTGCTCAATCTTTCACGCGAACGACATGCAACCGTACTAACCCAAGCAAGTAGCCATTGGTCATATACCGACGCATATACGGTAGGATAATTCAAAGTTTATTCAACTTTATTTTATTTTATAATTTCGTATCTAATGATGTATATCATATCTACGTCAATTAATAGAACAAAGCAAATAATATTTCAATTTTTTCTCATCATCAAGACGAAGAGCATACGCAAGAGGTTATTTCCATATTTAGTAAAATGAATTACTGTTTATATATGCGCATATGAAATTAAGAATTTCATTATAAAAATGACTGGTTTACATTTATATTCTGTGTATGAAATTCTAATCTCCTCTCTATATAATATAGGTGATAGACATAAGTTGCTGTTCCGCTCTGCAATTATTTGTTACATCTGCAAGAGATGGTTCGGTCAAGGTAGAAATATTTCTGTGATAGAAATTAATCTTACAAATTTTACTTATGCCAATTGAACAAGCTGAATTCTTGATAGATCCGAACGAGTTTTCATCCGATAGACTTAGTCATGATAATGATTGGAGGCAATAATCACAGTTTATTTCTATCATTTTATTGTAATGTGCACCAAATTATAATAGAATATTTGAAAGTTATAATAAATATACATGTATCGTTTAAACATGCAGTAAATTAGTATTACAGCGACTTTTACTCTTAGAAGCATGTCGTAATTAATATCATTACTCTTTCGTTGGGAATACGTATATAAGCGTATTCATTTAGAAAATTAGATTAGGATTGATATTGATTTATAAAAATTCTATTTAATATGAGAAAAAAATAAAGCTGATTATTAGCATTAGTTAATGTAGTGTATTAATTTGAAATTCAGTTAACGGGTGTTGCAAAATAGAATATCAATTGTAGCTTAATTTCTCGAAAGAGTAGGGATCTAAAGTGATATCACTATAGCGTACTATTGAGGAAATATATTATTACGTAGGATATTAGTCCAAAATTAAAATACTTTGAATCGAATAATATATATAGAATAGTGTCACAAATCACACAGTGCCGCTTTCAGCCTGATTATTGTCTAACTTATATTTAAATACTGGCATCCTTAGGTATGGGACACTGAAAACGGTCTAGTAAGGGAGATGGTATTTGATGATAGCATTCGTGGAGTTACTTTTATGAATAAACGAGGTGATATACTTATCGGTTTCCAAAAGCACATCAGGTAAAATTTACCTTCATAGAAACTCAGAATATATTAATGAAAGCTTCAAGTTATTGATTTATAATACCTATAAAATCTGCTATTGAATAGTATGATTCCTGTGCATAATTACTTGCCGCCACAATATCTGGAAAAGTTAATAGAAATGGATTTTGAGGTATTTAGTTATAAGATACATATTTATAGATATGAGCAGCTAGAATAGCATAACATGGTAAATTTCTTAACTAAACTGTCACAGATGGAATCTTAGCGAATATATAGTATGTGGTTGTATAAGGAAAGATCATTGTGGGGTAGCATACAGTATTTCTTATATGTTAACTACTTAACTAACTTTAGGATGAACCAATTGAGGAACCAGCACCATTTAATACTGAAGCTCAATTCTGGTATGAGAGACGAAAATATTTCTTCAACATTCAACTTTTACGATATCTTTAGTTCACTGAGCATTGTTGCTTTTGCAAATATGATCAAGATTATGTATTAATCGCCTACTGAACGTCAACATATATGTATAAAAACTAAATATTTACTAAACTCGTCCTTTAAAGGTACAAGAAAGATAGTATACCAACATTGCCTGTACCATTGGAATGGCGTCTTCAAGATCATCCTAATTATGATCTAAGAGCTATTCGTATAGCCAATATGTCGATGAATAAGACGGAAGCCTTCCATCCAACGTTATTGTCTAGATTATACTATGGTCTTAGCAACACAGAATTTATATCAAAAGATGATATAGGTATTAAAATTTTATACTAGCTAAATAGCGTTAGGCAATAGCTATCTACGGTAATTTAGACTAAAGTAGTAGTTCATATCCCACTGATGAGAACATATATCATTACTTTACATTTCTTGAGAGTTTATCAATCTTTAGCCAGCTGAAGATTGGCTTAGATGCTTTTAAATATTCTTCAATCGTCTACTGAGTATGAGGTTGTGCATTATATCATATCACTCAAGGATACATTTGTAATTCTGCATTTTTTACTAGACTGTACGCTAACTATAAAATTTTAATCTATTACGAACAGCATTCTAAGAAAAATTTATCGTTGACAAGCACTATTGTATTGTACTTCATAGATTAAAGCAACCCTCGAATACTTAGACTAGTTATATAAATGCTTTGTAATCTTTTATTCACAGAACGAGGCGAAAAAGCCATACGAATTTTCCTGAAGCAAGGCGTTCTTATTAAGAAGCGACTAAAAGACAAATTGCATTCGCTAGCTAGACGAGCAAGAGCACGAACATTAGTGCTCAAGGAAGAGTCGGAGCCTGCTCAAGTTACTGATGTGAGAGTCTAAATCAAATCAATAATTGTTGAACTACAGTACTTTACATTCCAAGTTATACATTGTTGGAGAATTTCCGAGTGTTATAGTAGTTAATTTAATAAAGCATTTATTTTACTTTTTCAGCTTATTTCCAAGAAATCTGAAGGAAATAGTCGAAAAACAAGCTTAACCAATGCTTCTAATGATTTAGTAACAGGCAATAATGTTGACGATAGTGATATTCTTTCGCAAAATATTTATAAAGGTAAACCATATCTCGTCATAGCGAAAGCTTCAATTAGCGTAGTGATACAACAATAAATAATTGCCCTAACCAACTTATATTCAATATTTGAAAATAATAGATGAAATGGAGGAGTCTGAAGTTAAGAAACTTGATGCTATGGTAGATGGAATGATTACTGAAATTGCATCCGTTGTGTTCGATGATAATTTCTCCTTACTTTATCATGACGGTAGGTATTTACTTCGTTCAATGTAATATTATCCGTAGATATTACGATATTTTGGATATTAACCGGGTTGATTACAATTGATTTAGTCTATAAATACGGTACTATAGTAAATATTTCCATCATTATAATTCCATTCATTATCAATGAACTATGAACTAATTTATACACAATTTGATTATTACGTAGGATATGTTCCTAATTCAGTTGCGCGAAAACTTTTGGAAGATTTCATGCCCGACCTTCATAGCGTCGTCGTTCTGCCACCAGCTCAGGTAAATAGCAGTCTGCTCTAATATAATATTGAATAACAAAATAATTTCTGTTCACCGCTATGCTATTCAGAGCGTAATTGTAATTTTGAATTTTTGCAACATTGCAACATGTTGACTGATTATAACAGAAAAAGAAAGACCCATCGATGGAGTTTGAAGTCTTACCCGAAGAAAACGATGAGGAAGATCGCGTGTTCATTTGGGTAAACATTTTTAGCTTGCATAATACACTTGGATATTATCATATTATATCACTTAAAAAGAACGTATAGTAATTGATTAATAGTCTAAATTGCGTTAATGCTTGTATGAAATGAATTCTAAGCAAGTTCATAAACGTTTGTACTTAAAAAGGCATTATGCAATATTAATCATCGTGCTTGTAGGAAAAATTTTTTTACAAACGCACAATTTCATAACGAAATAATCCTTATTCTACAACTAGAGCGATAGCAACTCAGAAAAAGAAAGCAAAGAAACAGATACGTCCAAAGAAAAGCTAGTAGACAATCGCACTCGCACGTATACATTTGATTTCTCTGGCAAAAGAATTAAAAAACGTAATTATTTCCATGATTGGATAATTCATAAATTCAATCTATATCAGCTGTAATATATAAATTATTGTACGACCAAACTAGACGCTGTGATAATCAGCTCTATTTTACTATTTAAGCAATCATATTTTATCGATTTACTGCATTATATTCTACTAAATTCGCAATATAAGTAACTGTTTATTTGGGCTTAAATATTTGCGGCTAATAAGAGCCAAACTGGTTAAAGCTGAATGAGTACTTGCAATTAATTAATACTCAACAACTCCAAATTCTACTCTTGCGTGTCATCATCAATAGCTTTTAAAAAGAAAAAGAAGGAGGAATCCAAAGATTCTAATGCAGCTCAAGAGGTAAATTATAAAATGATTATGAGCTAAGACGTTTTTATGGGATAACATGTAAAGATACTATTGATAATTACCAAATCTCTATTCTAATCTGATATTAACTCAATACTATTTTAAGACCTTAAATTAATATTTATTAAAATTCCTTTGCGTTGACTAGACTGTAGCCAAATCCAAACCACGTAAAGGGGTTAGAATTCGATTTCAAAAACAGGTATAAATACATTTACAGCTTTATTAGGGCTTATCAGAATTACGAGAGGCACTAATGTCTATGATTATATGCGAATTTTCAAAGTTTTCAAAGTTTCATTTCCTACAAATTTTAAATTAATATCATATCTAGTCTTTGCCACCTCCGACGGAAAAGAAGTCAGTTAAAGTGGCAAAAGACGTAAGAAATAATCAAATGACTATATATAATAACAATTTATCCTTCATCATGTTAATTAGCACACTTCGTTAAGAACTCCTACATAAATTCATACAGTATCATTCATTTTCGGCTATTATGAATATTTCCATTCTATTAATTAATAGCTAATAACTAAAATAATGCACTATCGTAATTAGAATCTAGCTGATTTAGTTTACGAAGGCGATAGATCACTAGAAGATGTCTTGAAAAGATTAGCTAAATTGGGTTTCATGCCAAGAGGAATCTCTCAAACTAAAGATTCAATTCTAAAAGTATTCTGTAAGTGATAGAATTTGCTTTAATGCAGCCGTAAATATTTAGACATACACATACAGAAACATGCAGTAACCTATCGTAGCGTGCAATTGTCTATATTCCTAAGTCTCAGACTTTGCGGTATTTTATTTAAATGCCTATCGAGTACTGTAATTCTCTGGTAGCTAAATATTATATCTGACAATTCCTAGTGATGATGATTGATCATTGTACGACGGTGGTACACCAGGAAATATGCGCTGGCATAATATCCATCAATAAGTAAGAATAACATTCGTGAACGATATTCTTAAAGGATGATAAAAATAGCAAATTTAAAAAAAATACTTTTATAACTTTAATCTTCCTCCACTTAGATTTAATGGCTTAGATGAAAATGATATTGATACTGTGGTCAAAAAGTTAATCGAACAGTTAAATCACCCATTGCCACAAGTGCGATTGAACGCTACTCAAGCATTATCTACGATGGGTATCAAAAATAAAAGTATTATGGTTGCCATGCTGCCTCGACTTGTCGACAGTCAGGTATTGATATTATAAAAAAAGGAAATAGGATAGATATTCTGGAATGATCCTATCGTCTGTTACTATTTATGGTAATGAATAATATTTGCTCTATTTTATTCCCTAGGCAAGTATTCGTGACGAAGCCAAAGTTTTATTAGAGAGTATGGGAATCAAATCGAGGCAAATTATTATTTTTAATTCATTTTATCATTTATAAACTTCGCATATCTGAGTCTATTAACATAGTTTCCTCTTTCATCACCAATAGGGAAGATTTGATTAAATTAATGGAAGAATTAGGAGCTTTAAAAACAGTAGAGCAAGTTGATGAGGTAAGTCTTTTCGAATTGCTTAAGTTAAAATTACTTATATAAGGGCACGTGTATAACTAAATCGCTTAGATTTCTGAATGAAAGGCTTCTCAACATCTTTATATATCAATAATACCTACTTGAAATTATCTAACAAGTACCATCTATTTTGATTTCTATACAAATGTGTGCACATTTAGGCGGAGTTAATAGCCGATATTGCGGATAGACAGGTTAAAGGAGAAGACATGGAAAATACGGATCGGTATGCTTTTATCATCGAATTATATAACTAACTGTTACTAATTTATATTTACGACCATGTAAATCACAGAGAGCATTTATTATACTAACGTTTATTTCTACAAATATCCTTGTCACTATTTAATATTTATAATCATAAGAATGTCAGCTTGGCTTGCTGATGTGCCTTCAGAAGAGAAAGATGTGATAGATGATTTTCTTGAAGGTGCAGAAGTCCCAGCGGAAGAGGAAAACGCGGTAAGTACCGGTATACTCGTATAAGCTTTTGCATCTTTTAGTCTTACAAATGATACTAGGATAAGTTATAATTAATGATATTTAAGCGCTAGTAGCTACGGTAGTAGAAGATATTTGCATATGATATACAAAACATGATAATCAATTCATCAGTAATATGTCTGCATAAAATAATACAAAATGTGATTAGGTAAGCCAAGAAGAACTAGGTTTATCGGAAGAAAAATCCGATACCATGGTCCCTTCAACTACAGAAAAGGATGTAATTCATACAAATGATGAAGTAAGTGATAATATGGAAGAAAAAGGAGAGCAAGAGATTGATTTTGATGAGCAGGAAGCGGACGATAATAAAGTCAGCGATCATTTAGATGAGAACGAGGCAGAAGATGCAGCATCAGCCGGTACTAAATCAATGTGGAAGTCAAGAAAGCAAAAAATTATTGGTGCTACTAGGATGCGCTATAACCTCTTAATTCATCGTTCCAAGACCAAACTGGAAAAAAATAACGATGAGAAGGATAATGAAAAAGTTGCTAACCAGTCTGATATAACGTTTAAAAAGCTAAAAAAGTTAAATCGCAATGCTGGAGGCGGCTTAAGTGATCATTCTACGGATGGAAGTAGATCCAAACAAGCTAGTGATCATAGAGGCGATAGCATTAAGTCTTCTAATACGGATGAAAATGACAAAATGGACGATAAATCTCATTATAGGCGCCATCGACATCGACATAAAAAACGCGGTAATACAGTAAGAATTGATACAGAAGATTTAGGTCAAGGTGATGAAGCCAGTAGTCAAACTGCGAATCAAGATTTATCTACAAAAGCTAAGCAGCGTCGAAATCGAGAACGAGTTAGAAGACATCGTAATAGGAAACAAGAGATCGAAGTTATTAGTACAAACGAAATGGCAAACATTATTCCTAAGGTTAATGGAATCGATAGTGAATTCTCAAGTGACGATCTCAAGGATGACGATTTTAAAGATAGCCAAAGTTCCGATGATGGAGTTTATGTTCGAGTTGATTCAGGCAAAAGGAAACAGAAGAGCAAGAAACACCCTGATGTCTATTTACCTTCTATTGCTAAGGCTAGATCCAATACTTACCATCCAATTTATCGTAGCTCTAGCCGAATTGATGTAGAAGATAGGGATAAATTCTTAAAAAGTAGAGATAAACAGGTTCTTACCAGTGGAAATGAAGAACAAACACCAACACTTCCTTCATTAACGGCTGATGATAGGGCACGGCAATCTGATGCTTCAAGTATAAGACGTAGTAGATCTTCTAGAGCTAGTAGTAAAGATTATAATTCAATGTCAGACACACAGCCACATCCGTTAGATCAACGTATTAAACAGCCATTAAAGAAGCTTGATAGCGATGGTAGTCATGATGAAAGTAAATTGAAAGATCAAACCATTAAGGGAGATATTACACTGCCAGAAGTAGATAGCTCTTCTGATCATAGTTCAGCCATTCATAAAAGCCAGAAAGGTTCTAAATTAACCAGCGACAAAAACGAAAGTCCAGATCGAAAGTCGCAAGTTAGTCGAGCATTAGAATTGTTAAAAAGTATTGATGAAGACATTGTACAAATTAGGCAGCAGTTAAAAGAAGAACGAGATGAAATCAAATCTGCATCCAGGTCTTCTCCGAGGCACAGCCGAAAGAAACATGTGCAGGATAAAAAGACTGATTCTATTTTATCATCATTTAATGCTGGCTTAGCTTTCATTAAAAGTTTAAATGCTAAAACTGGCGATCATCGCGGAAGAGAAGTTTATTCGGCACCAACAACAGAAAAAGAAGAAAAAAGTATTATACTGCGGAAAAGTGATAAATTTCGAGTCGATTATACTAAACTTTACGCTAATAAATTTATACATGACGATAGGTAAGGAAAATTGATATTCCGGAGCAAATGCCTAATAGTAAAATAAGCATAATCCGTCATAATTGAATAATCTTGAGTTATGAACGTACAGCTAAGCAATATTAATAACTCATTGCTACTAGCATTATACGCCTATGGTGTTTTTGTATTCAGTTAATTAATCGTCCATTTTCATCTCGATGTTGTCTATAGAGCTAAATTAACTACAGCTGTCTCCGATGCGAGTTCAGGAATTCGATTAAAAATGACCAAAGGGTCAAAAGGACAGCGACTTACAAAAATGGTGGTTGTAGATGCTATGGTGAGCATAAATGTTTGCCCGATACTTAACATCAATAACTGATTCAAGACCTTTTTTAACCTCCTCTTCTCATTTATATTAGAATGATAGTAATAACAGCAAATCGTATGATCACCTGAAAAATTTGAAAGAAGACGAAAAATACTTTATTGAACCTTTACCTCATAAGCTAGGCATTCATACTCCAATAAGGTAAGACTGACTAATGTCGATAATATTTTGTGATTACTACACTTAGACCTCTTTCATTTAAAATCATATTATCGTACTGAAAGAAGTTATGTAGCCTATAAAATACGAATACTAAATCCCATTATAATTCTGATAACCTTTCATTTCTGGCATGAATTGATAGCTGCCATCTATCGTGCTGTAGTATAGTGGTATAATATACGAGCATGATTTACTCAACTTGAAATGTTATAAATGTTATATTACCGGTAATATTACAGTTCCTACTTTCTTACTGTAAATCTATCTCAGAAAGAGAATTACCGAGATAGAAAGATTATTCACTTATATTATTACTTACAGTACTTTGTCCGTATACTGCAATTTCATATTTATCCCATTGATGTGCAGTAATCATTATAATATATAAAATCCTATTTCAAGAGAGTAATATAATATTGTAATATAATATAACCTACTATAGTAGATAATATATGATAGAACGGCTACAGTAGTTATCTGTTTGCTACAGTTAGTAGCATTTTCCTATCTGCTTTAATAGATGTAATCAGAATAGTAGTTGAAAAATTATTACTATTCCAAGTTACAACTAGCTAAAGCAATATACTATTAAAATGATTTCGTAAAAATGATCCGTCTTCATCACTGATTGGTATTTCTTGCTCATTTCACACCAATATTTATAGGAGTAAAGGAAATATTCGCTTTGGTATCATGAATATGATCTGGACAACAGAAGCACCTGAATTAAAATTACAAACCGATACTCGTATTCAGCTGGATGAAAATGCGGAAAGATTAATTCCATTTGATGAAGATGATAACGAAATTAAAGCAAGGAATGAAATTGCTACAAAGCGACATCATTACGACGCGCTATTGCAGCAAATGAGATTCCCATCGTCTTTAGAGGTTATTAATAGATCGATATCAGCGCCTGTGACCGAGTTAGACCATAAAAAAGCCCAAGGTGATGGCAAAGAAACAGTAGAATTAATTAATCAACTACTTCAATCCACAAATTATCTTTTAATACAACCACCAAACGACTATTTAGCTAAAGCAAATTTTAAATCCGATTATCATAATAAATCCGATAACCAAGCATCAGTTCAAAATAATCCTAGCAATAATCACCGACATCAAATTCCAGCTCATGATGTTCATACACAGCCCATTCCACAATCGAAAATGGAGGTTAATGATGAAGATGGTGATACTAAGTTAAAAAATTCGACTCTATTGTATTTAGCAAACCATCAGGCCGATATTAAGAACAGTGAGGGTCACAAATTGTCCAATCTCAACATATTACCTAGTATAGCTTCATAATGAATGCTCCATAAGAAGAACTGTATTGTAATCTGAAATATTTTAATACAGGAATCAAGATCGATATACTGTAACTAACGATTCTATTGATCAGAAAAAAGCTATAATTTACTACTTTGCTTTAAAAAATGAACTAATCAAATTTATTTAAAATTTATAGTATACGCGATCACATATATACAGTTATGTGTATTTAGATATAGTGCATGCATTTACAAATGTGTGCAAATGCATATCACATTCTTGGGAGATTTAATAACATACTATATTGAATAACTGATGCTTGATGTTTCATTATCACGCTTATTTATTATTCGCCATAGAATCGCATAATTCTAAGTATAATTAATACTGCTATCTGCATTATTTGTATTATTCTTATACGTATATATAAGTAGACGATTAGCTAAATAGATGCCTATCCTAATGTCTTTGTGCAGTTTTAGTTCACAGTATAAGGCATACCCTATCTTCTAAAGCTTAATTAGATATCGTCTAAAGTTACTAATCAGCTGCAGCAAATTTAGGTGTATTATAAAAAGTATTGCTTTATCTGGGATTGATAAGAATATATGTCATTTTTGCATTATCAGCCCACTAATTTTGCATTCTATGTAATTTTTATATATCATAATCTTAACATTTTTATACCTTATTTTCAAATTTACTGAGATTGCTACAAATGTATAATACTAATAAAAGTATTTTAATCGCTTGTAATAATAGCTAACTTATCTTTGCAACTGCATCTTCGATTAACTCATGTTTATCTGACAATATATCTAGATCATTTTATCTTTATTAACATAAATAAATATGTGTGCTTATGATAGGATATTACGCCTATGTTTCAAATTTGGGGTATCATTATTGCCTACTTTAAATTATTGTATTTTTTATTTTATCTGCGTAGCCAAGATTACTACATTAATACATTGCAACTATAAAAGTATGTATATCGCAATAATTTCTTAATACGGGTCTTTATCATAGATATCAGCAGATACGGTAGCTACGATAATTGCAAAGACCGCTTTTATTTCTTAAAATAGATCTACAGTCAGTAACTGCTGCCATAGCGAGTTTGCCCTTAAGCTAAATTTACATACGTAATGGTATTCTATAAAATTTATATTAAGCTGGTATGTAAATTACTGAAGATTATTACCAATACCGTTTTAATACAGACTGATCTAATACTCATTTTCAATCAATGTAATTATGATTTAATACAATAAATTCAAGAAATTGACGATGCAGTTATAAAAGATTAAAATACTTTATTTCGTTATCATTAAACACATAGTAAAACGTTACAAGAACTTAAGTAATGATGTTAAAATAATGACTGCATGATCATTAACGATTATTGATAATGATGCTATTTTATGTTACTAAGTTAAACCTTTTCTGCTATAAAGGGCTTGTCAAGTTGAATGCTACCGGAATTGGCAATTACCACTTCTTTTCTGGGTACATCTCTTTGATTTGTTTCCAAAATTTCAACCTTTTTAATTACGTCCTATAATAGATGCATATCAACAATTTAAGAACACTACATAGATACGCCAGTGTAATAATATCACAATTTTCCTAAATGCTTACCATGCCATTCAATACTTTTCCAAAAACTGTATGCTTGCCATCGAGCCATGGTGTTTTTACCGTTGTGATAAAAAACTGCGACCCATTTGTATCCGGGCCAGCGTTCGCCATACTAAGGTAACCAGGGCTTTCATGTTTGAGTTTGAAGTTTTCATCGGGGAATCTCTCACCATAAATGCTCTTACCTATATAGAATGGAACGTAATTGTTATATTAGCTGAAGTATCATTGCTGAATGTATAATACAATATACTTTAGCTTCCTATTGAAAAGAAAAAATTATTACAGTATAAATAATACGGTACAAAATAACATAAATTTGGCGTTCAATTGGTGCCATCATGATATCAAGTCCATTACATTTAATAATCATACTGTAAAGAGATTTAATTTTCTGGTATTTATGATTTGTATACTTATATCAACTGTCATATCTGTAAATGTGTCATTCATAATGCATGGATAGTATTATTAACGCTTAGCCGTTATACTATTCTCATAGGTAATGACACTAAACTTAGCAAAATCTATATATGTCGGCTTGAGATATTGCAAAGTATTTAATGTTTCTCATCGATTTAACAATAATTACTTATTCATTAAATTAATTTTAAAATATCAGGACTAATGGTATAATTATAGCATTTTTTCTGTAACTGTTGCAACATCACCAGCTATAAGTGGATCTCATATCAATCGTTAATCTTTGTCATATCATATTTTTAATTTATTTTTTATAGTTTTTGTTATATTTATTAATGAAGAGTAATATTTACCTCCAGTTCCGTCACCACGGGTAAAATCTCCGCCTTGGATCATGAAATCTTTAATGACTCTGTGAAATTTACTTCCTTTATATCCAAAACCTTTCTAAATAATCGCATTTTACGAAGAAGAACTGCCATCATTAAATATACACCGGTAGCGAAAATTTGACTGTAGTATGGGAATCTCGAAAATTGTGATACAGAATATATTTTATGCCACTGCAAATTTTTAAACGCTATGAAATTCGATATATATTAAAATAGTTATGCCCGGATAATATAGTATATAATATAAGAAATTTTAAGAATCTCAAACTTTATAAAACAAAACGTGTTTGTAAAGCCAAAAATTGAAATTACACAAAAAGATTCGAGCTTATTTAAATTCTTTTGCATGTGTCTAACGTTATAAAATAGAAGGTATTTATATCACTATAACTTAAAAATTGGTTATTTCTTGATATGAGAATTGACAGTTGGTTTATTATATAGTATATAAAAATACAAATCTCTAAATTATAAAAGAGAACATTTTATACGCGTTTGTGCAAATAAGAATTAAACATTCAGTAATATTTGACTTGATGCATAGTATATAGAATAAGAATTTTAAAATTTATGAAACAGAAATGTTTATACAGTTATGAATAAAAATTTTATCACAATCAATTAGTACATTAGCAAACTACATTCTACAGTATTGTAATATTATATGTAATGTCATTAGTATAACATGAAAGCAGAAACAGCGTGCAGTTATACAGTAGATTGCTTTACTACAGATTCATTACTTTAAATTCACCAATTTTAAAATCTTAGTTCCCAAGAAATAGCTATTAAAAACTTAATTTGGTAGCACTGAGTGTATATATGTCAGCTAAAAGGTTATCCACCTAATTCATAAAATACTTATTTGTTTGCAGATAAATAAAAGTTGTTGGATCATTATTCATAATATGTTAATTTATTTCCCTTGTTAATTTCTACCTTTGCATTGCCAAAAGAAAAGAAATTCTATAACTAATAGGTACTAAATTATTCTCGGATAGCTTTGATCATAGAATAATAATTAGCAGCTGACTGAATTATAGGTTATTAGAAATATTCAGTTCGTATATCACCCCTCTCAATTCTCACCTCATGCGTTGCCAATTCATAGAAGTTTCTCACTGTTTTGGGTACTGCTTTACCAAATAAGCCAATTTCAACACGCCCAGCTGCATGACCACCAATGGTGATGTCGAAAAAGACCTATCCAATAAACAAATTAATGAAACATCTAGTACTATTACCGTGCCTTAGGAAGCATTTTAGCATATATCCAATGTATGTCGGTAATATTTCTTTAAAATATCTCATGATAGGTTAGACATACAAAAATAAGCAAATTACGATGTCACGGATACTAAGGATCTTTATTAGTATAAAGTAATTACAAGAGAGTGATACTTTACAGCACTTATTTTCGAAATTTATTGACATGGTATGTAATATAAATAGAAGTCTAAATTAATGTAAAGTCAAGAAGCAGTAATACTCATCTCTTTATAACTTAACCCTGGTATGTATTGCAACTGTTTTCATATCTACGGATTATTATGGATCATTAATAAGCATAAGTAGAATACTTCTATTCTTCTTTGCTATTGTATCATAAAGTAATTATTGAAATACGAGATTTTATGACCATTTACTGTAAGAGATGAGAAAATATGCACAGTATATTAGTAAGGCAACAGATTACAGTAATGAATAGCAATTTAAAAAAGCCACTCTCATTTTCATATGATTAACTGTAAGTTCTACAAAAACTAAGCTCGCTAGTTTATGGAATTATAGCTACAATCGCAATATCTTTTTCTTTTATTGCTCGAAACATAATCTGATTAGTGTGGTATCCAATGTTACAAAGTACTATTACGATGTAAGACTTTTACCACTGTCAGTCTCGCTAGAAAAGGAAGAAAATTCTATCAACCGGGAAATAGACTATGTACTGTACTAGCGTTTTCAAAAAGAAAAGCTACTGCTACTCTATACTTGACTCGTAGATGATTGTAACTGTGATTATTATAATATTATGATATCCTATTACATTTTGAGATTTTACAATTGTCAATCATGAGAGTGGAAAAAATAATACTGTTAATATGGCAACAGATTAAGACTATACATTTTAGAAGAAAGGCGATTGTTGCTTTGTATATCGTTAAGTCTTGCACGAAGTAATTTACGTATAATTAACATCGACGAGTAAAACTATAAAGGTATCAACTTGTAGGTGTACATCAGAACAATCACCATTTCTAGCTTTTAATCAAAGGTTCGGTTTACTAGCTCAAGATCGCCTATACTTTAAACTTAGCCTTAGTTAATGTACCATACATTATACTTGAAATACTAGCGTTAAGAGAATAGAATTACTAGCAGACAATATTTAGTTACACATTGTACTGTATGTAATTTGAAACCGTAAGGCTACTAATATCTTGGATATTACTATATATTTTTATATGTAATATTGCTAATATTAATAGCTTCCGTAAAAGATCGAAACATAAGAGCATAGATGTTTATCAAGCGGAGTCCATTTTCTCTTTGTCGAAAATCGCGACTATTAATCGTTCAGCAGTGATTTATTTATGACTGGTTTATGAAATTCTGTAGTTTTTAACTTTATTCTTGATCTTACCATTTTGGTAACTGTTCGAAGTTCATCACTCGACATGATTGGAACGAGATCTCAAATTAGAACTGTGATTCTTATTTCCTTGTTATGTGCAATTTCAATTGCCTTACACCGGATGTATAGCCGTAGTGAACGGGAGATTACTCAAAGCTGAAGAAAAAGAAAGCCAACACCCAAAGTATTGAAGACTGAAAAATTCTCTAACCTCTTCACACTTATATAAAGTTTACAATTTTACAGAAGTAGCCCTGGAGAAATTAAGTGGTCAGATGGAGGTTATGCGTACTGTACTTCCTCTGGACTATTGAAATACTGACATAGAAAACAATGCTTAGAATTTTACAGAAAAAGCCCTAAAGCGATTGCTTGATTTAAATAACAACTACTTTAATTTGTATGCTATGAAAAGAGTCACATACCGTAGTAAACAAGGCATAATGTCCAGTTAACTACATTAATTAACGATCAATTGTAGACATTCTATTCTGTGGGCCTTTCAAAATTATTTTGCTAAAGAACGATTAGATTGCATACTTTGGATAGACTTTCGAAAAGGTGATTAGTAAGCAAGCAAAGTGCCAGTCAGTCATCCAGAAAGCTCTATAATTAGGCATATTGGCCTTTGAAATGAATCATGCTTATTTATATTTGCAAGGGGCATTATAGCCAATATAGAATGTATCCAAGATGTTAGAGAATTCCGATCTATGTACTTCAATGCCGGTACTATTTAAGCAAATGAACTTTCGCAAATTTTCCATTTAACTATATTGATATAAAAATTTAAGCTCACACACGGAACAGGTTATGGCTAATTATACAAGCCAGTTAAATTAGATACAAAGACATTTAATATGAAATTTATCCAGCATTTTAGTTGTTATACAATGCAAGGACTATATTTGTTCGGATATTAGATATTTATATCATAACTGAAACTTGTTTAGCTTTACAATAAGTTCTAAAAAGCAGTAGAAACGCAATCTAATCAATTAATGTTTCTCTATTGACTAAATTGATTTCGATTAGCAACCCTAAATGCTACTATCATTATTACGAGATCTCATTATCAATTTGCATTACTTGTTCTATACTAACAATTTATAAATATCTTATTGACGATAATTGCTTGCGGTAAAATGTGGAAGCATAGACTAGGGAAGAAAGCTCTAGTCTCTTTCTGCTAAAGTGTTATCCATGAGCTAACTAATACAATGCGTGCATGATTGATTCAATTTAATAAATTGGGCAAATTTCTTAAAGAGAAAATTAGTATTGAGGAGAATGTCTATAGCTTAAAAATTGATTAGTGACAATTCCATGTTTAATTTCGCTATTTGCTTTATTTCTGGACTTATTCGCCAGCTTAAGTAGTTCCTTTAGGTTAATTTTTCTTCTGGTATTGTTAACAAATTGATATCGATGCAACAATTTGTAGTGTTTACTTCTAAATACGGTATAGTCTATTTTTAGTAAAAGTCAATTTCCACTAGATTGTAGCATAACTCTAAATATGTATAATTTATATTTAACAAAATACTCTGTGGAAATCGCTTTGAATCTAGCTGAATTATATCGTAGCCCTGTCTTAACATAGAAGTAACATATTCTTATTAGTGATTTATGATTTCCTCCTGCTGTGCTTCATACATTATAAAAGCTATCTTCTTTCACCTATCTCGTTAGTTAGTTCTGCTAGTTACACGGTAAGCTTGCACGCTTTACCTATGCTACATTACTATAGCTATTCGACTAGTCACGTCGTTATACACGCTGTAGTCTCACACGGTCTTTCCTTTGCGCTAATTCCAATAAACTCTATTCCTCTACTAAATTAACTCTGGTAATTTACTGTGATCATGACGAATCCACAATCTTCCGAAACATCACACAATTACTCCTTAAAGCGGCTGATATTAGTCCTGTATGACTTATTTATGGTTAGTAAATTAGTAGCTTAAACGACTTAGACTTGAATTTCAACAGGTGGTACGAAATGTAGCTAGTTTGTTTAAATTTTGGATAAACGTTTGATGATGGTGACATTAAAAGGGGTTCCTCTCGTACAATATATTTATAAAGCATGATATATATCAAATTTACATTGAAAGGCAACACATTGATTATTATATTACGGCATAAAAGATTTTGATATTGTTGTAGCCGAATCAGAGGACTATAGTTGTACGTATATTATTGGGAGGTAATAACGACGAAAGGGTGTCGTACCTGCTTCCAGCTAGTCTTATCTAGAAACAGTGGTGCTATTCCTAATGCGTGTAGAACTCTACAGTGACTCATGCAAAAATTTGCCAGTTATTGAATGCCTTTGCAACACACTGTTAAGATTGATGTAAACTGATGATTATTATGGGAGAAATGTATTCGCCATATCGTAGCAGAATAATTTATGCTATTAACTTCGGACTTCTGAGCATCGTCTATATTGCCTTTTATGAGATTACTAATAAATGGACTTAATAACCCTACATATGCATCATTATCTACTTGCAAACAGTCATGATAATTGCAATAGGGCCATAGTCGTTCCGTAAATTAATTTCAGCTGGATTAGTTATCATGACCTGCTTGTTTACAACTAGATTTACAAACATTTTTTATTTTTACCTTGAATGAAGCTTCCATGCAAATTTCGATGAGTTTACTATCACTGTTATGATGTGAAATAATTTACACTAATCTTCGATGTTAATTTTCTAATTCAAAAACTTAAAATATAACAAAATCAATCAATTCTAAAAGATCGATATCCTTGACTCTTTATTTTCGTTATGTTAAGACATAATACTGCAAGAAATTAATACTGCCTGAAATGTCAAGTCATCAGTGATCGCAAGTAATTACAGGGCATTAATGGTGTTGCCATACTATTCTTTATCGATGGAAAAAGATTGATCAACTGTAATTTCACCGCAATCAGCAATTTTGACTTCCTTTTCAGGGCGATCGTTATGACTAGTTTTCGAATTTTCAATTTTTCTAACAATATCCTGCAATAAATACGAATCAAATATTGAAAAATATTCATAGATATGACTATGAAATGCAGTAGAATTTCGATCTGTTCTAATATTTACCATTCCGTCCAATACTTTTCCGAATACGACGTGTCTACCGTCGAGCCATGGGGTTCTTACGGTTGTAATGAAAAATTGTGATCCATTTGTATGTCGACCAGCATTGGCCATGCTAAGATAACCGGGGCCTGCATGTTTGAGCTTGAAGTTTTCATCATCGAATTTTCTTCCGTAAATACTCTTTCCTGATGGAGGTATAATTATTACATCAGCGTGAGAATTTTTTATCGGCTACATTATAATCCGTCTATTACAACGAAAATACTGTAATAATCTAATATGGCATAGTTGATATTACATTCATCCTATCTAACGTATGTATAGTATGATTTGATAATTAAATATCTTACTTTAGAAATTTTTAAATACTTGACATTTACAATACATGTTGTGCATACATATTTGTAGTTACCATAGTCATATCTGGAGATAATATCATTTATGATATTGTCAACGGCTAGCCATTATCATAATTTCATAGGTACTAAGTACAGTAAGAATTATGCATTCTAATCAGAAATGCTGTTCTATAGTTCTTGCTCAAATTTTAAAAATACTTTGCATGTTTATGGTATGCATTACGAATATTGTTGATTCCTAAACTTATTCACAATTAGATTTTAAAATTTTGAAGACTGGTGATATAATTAAGTAATTTTTTTGACTGTTATTGTATCATTTGTTATAAGTAGGTACGGGTAGGAAATTGCAAATATTATCATTATTCTTTACAGGATGATCTTTTCATTTTTGAAGTTATTATCACAAGTATTAAGAGAAATATTCACCTCCAGTTCCATCACCATTGGTAAAATCTCCACCTTGGATCATGAAATCTTTAATAACTCTGTGAAATACACTTCCTTTATACCCAAATCCTTTCTAATAGTTTATATATCAAAAAGAGGCATGTCAACGTTAAACATGAATATACTAAAACTCTATAATAGCTTATTAATATTAAATACGTGTACGTATACTGTAGTGAAATAGAACATTGTTTACGCAATCATAAATTGGAAATTTGTTGATATAGTGTACGAATGATAATTAACCATTAATAAATCGAGAAGGAGTTCCGTGAATATAGCATGTTTATCTTCTAGTTAGGGCATCACGTTAGAGTTATATGTTGGCACGATCAAGAAAAGAAATTGCTCGATTTTTATAGTATATCGTACGTGCATCTATTTGGCATTATTTCTATTGTGAGAGTATATCTAGCAATAGCTAGGAGATACTGTACTATCGATTAGATATAATACGGTTAACATGTAGTTGTAAAATGCAACGCTCAGTTTACATCACAATCTGTTGGTACATTAATTGTAGGGGCGATAAACTAAGAAGGCTTCATGGTTGGCAGAATAAATACTATAGTCGTTGCTTCGATTACAATTGATAAAGAAATACGTTAGTCATTGTAATGCCTACCTCTCCAGTTGCCAAAGCTACGAAATTTGTAACGGTTTTTGGTACAGTACTACCGAAGAGACCAATTTCGATGCGCCCAGCTTTTTCACCACCAATAGTGATGTCAAAAAAGACCTATCCAACAAATACGCGTAAGTCAATAAGTAGATAGTATTGTAACGATTAATTCAAGAAATAGTAGTCATGTTGTATATCCTATGCCGATCATTTTCTACAGTATAACCAGAAATATCCTGTTGTACTTAAAGTAATGAATAATTTAACCACAGTAGTAGAGTTCAACGTGTATCTTGACTACGTTTATTAGACAATTCTATAAGCATCGATTTTTATTGGGTAATCATTGATGTCCATTCCACTGTGCTGTATATTCTTCTTCAATTGTGGTCACACCATGGGCATCTGCATGCCCATCGCTATTTGCATATGCAAAGTGATATTGCAATGTCAGACATAGACTGAGGTCAAATCACCATTGACTTTAACCTAAAAGCATGGTATGACTATGGATTTGTAGGAGTTTGTTTCGTCTATGGCATCATCAAGTCATCTAGGCGTGTAAAATGCTAGTCAATTGTATAGCACTGCAATCAAGCTTAGCCTAACTGTATAGGCTGTCGACAGTACTGGTAGTGGAGATATTGAATTAATACAGTATCATTAATTCATTATAATACTATAATTGAAGCCACACTATTTTAATTCGTGCATCAAATGAAATCATCCACGCTAACATAAATACTCAACATACGAGATGCCGAGATATTGTCCATGGATCATATCGATATGATCCTTGTACATTGACGTCTACAATAGAGTTCATAGCAGGATTATTCATAACGTTGAAATCATGCCATTTAGCTACCCCATAAAAGTAATAGTCATTGCGATTGTTATTATCCAGTTGAAGGCACTGCAACGTTGTCAACACTTTGACTCCATTGGCATTGACCACTTACCTTTTTGGTGACTTTGGGGCCTTTTTTAGCCTGGCTAGAGTTGAAAAAGGTAAAAATGGTAACAACCACTAAAAGTAGCACTATCACACGCATGATGTAGCGGAATTGAACTGAATCCGTGATGGATCTTGAGTAGAATAATTAATAACAAGGAGATTATGGAAGACTTTTTCTTCAATAATCTTGCCAGTTAATTACGTCTCTTTCGTACTGGCTAGGCACAGGTGACGCAGAGGTGGTTGAGTTGGTGATGGGAAAGTGACGTGGCAGGCCTGCAATGGGCGAGTGAACTGTTTACACTAGTGATTGCATGGTGTGCTCCAATCACGTCTCAAACCATTGGTTGATATACTGTACTGTAAAGTGTACACTGTACAGTAATAGGAAAACAGGAAGACTACAGTACCTGTAGTACTGTACACTGTACAGGAATATTGAAGGGATGTTGACTTGAAACCTGGTGATCACGTGCTAGGTGAAATTTGAACTATGGGACTATCAACTCGAGTAGGGACTTGGAACGCTAATATCAATCTTACCGGTTTCTGGATCGTCGTCAGTCAGTCCGTGATCAACGACGGTATAACTAGTGATAAACTCCTCACAGCTCATAGGAAGCGAGATGCCCAAGTGGCAAACTTTTGAAAATCAATAGCATATCTCATGACTTGAACTGCAACAGTTCATTATAATTCAATTATGAATGATATGAAAGGGCTAATAACTGACTGCAACTTTCAATTACTGCACATACATAAATTGACAGTACGTGGAATACGTTCTAGGCTAATATTGTAACAATAAGTTGAAAGAGTAGGACTTGCATCAACGCGCATTCCAATCTAACCTTCAGCTCAAAAGTAAATATTAAAAAATTTAAAATTTATAATAGGGAAGGGATGTTAAAACCTGGTGATCACGTGCACGGTGAAATTTGAACTATGGGACTATCAATTCGAGTAGGGACTTGGAACGCTAATATCAATCTTACCGGTTTCTGGATCGTCGTCAGTCAGTCCGTGATCAACGACGGTATAACTAGTGACAAACTCCTCACAGCTCATAGGAAGCGAGATGCCCAAGTGGCAAACTTTTGAAAATCAATAGCATATCTCATGACTTGAACAGCAACAGTTCATTATAATTCAATTATGAATGATATGAAAGGGCTAATAGCTGACTGCAACTTTTAACTACTGCACATACATAAATTGACTGTACGTGGAATACGTTCTAGGCTAATATTGTAACAATAAGTTGAAAGAGTAGGACTTGCATCAACGCGCTTTCCAATCTAACCTTCAGCTCAAGTGTAAACATTAAAAATCACATCTTTTTATCTTCAATTTGGACGCATAGTATCACGAACCCAAATTCGACTAGTAAGAACAAATGGTAACGCTTCACAAACTCGTAAAAATGAATAGTAATCAGAATCAAGATCTGATATACAAATGCACTGTATATCCAGATATACATCATTAAAATGCAGCTTTGTTTCCAACAATCGACACAAAATTCAATTCAGCAGAGATCGTCAACGCTATCGTTGCAACAATAAAGAAACTCTAAATTCAGTATGCGTATTCTAAACGGAAAAGTGGGTTAGGCTTAATATATCAAACACAACAGCCTAACCTTAAAGTTACAATCAATTTTGCCAAGTGGGTGAGCTAATAACCTTACAAATGAGCAATACAGCGCTTATGAATGCTCTTACAAATACAGAGCAAATTTTATGCGCGTACTTTGTAGAGATACGTGTATATTGAACAGTTGATATTTAATGAAGTAGTCATGGGCATAGTTGCTACAGTATATTCAAGTGCTTTCTAATTGTCCTACGAAAAACTATTACGTAATTCATTTATAAATTATTCAGTAATTATATTAGGATATCTCATTCGTACGTCTTTCGTGTTAAAATCTTTAGTAAATCGTAATAATCATTGATATTAACTTTTTGTTGTATTTTTACTATAATAATACACTAGTATGCAAAAGTACTGGATACAATTGACACTTTACCATAATATACAGTAGTTACATTTTTAAAAGATACAAGAAATCATCTATACGTCGTATCGCAAATTGTGGTATGTAGAGAGTAGTATATAATAATCTTTTATATCATAGAGTGTAATGCTAATCAAAGGAGACTTTTGGATATTAAGTAGCTGCTGCTGGATATTCTTCCGTACTTGGTAAATTGTTTTTAACATGTGATAACATTTTTGATAACCATGCTGCTACGATGGAAACGTCATTATCGTCATGTTTACAGATAAATGGATGATGCTAAAGCAAACAGAAAATAATGATACTTTACAGGTGAAATCAACTCTAATTTCCAAGAAAGTAGCGCATTTAAATTAAAGATGCGAATTCATTACCCAGCACGACTGTATACCGATATAATGTATAATTATGTTATTATATAGTACTTAAATTGGCACTTACTAAGAGATCATCAGGTGCTGGACGATCGTGCGGAGATTTCCTTGTGCTATTAGGAGTCAAAATGACATAGACAATAATAAACTTAAAAATGTCGCTCTTGCAAACAAATAATTTTACTCCATTGCAGTACTAATTCTAAATATTTCTAACCACAAAGCAGCCAAGTTTACAAATTCCGGTGAGAATCGATCACTGGGTAGTGTTGGAGGGGCCTAAAATTAATGAGAAGGTAGACAAATTTGTTAAATATATGATATTAATAACTTGTACTATTGCTAAAAAGGTACAACACAAAATAAGTGTAAATTATCCAAAATCGAACCTCGTGGATTATACATTGCAGAAGTTCTACGACAGACTTCAGCCCAGAGAAAGTTAAAAATTTTTTATTCAAATTTTAGCTTTAAATATCAGGCCGTGAAAAAAGGGACGTTTTGCTGAAGATTACTTACCATGGAAGATAGCTCTCTTTGATTGTCCTATATTGCCATTAAGAAATAATCTATATCATCCTTACTGAGTATAAACTACAAAACTACAATATTAATTAAATTAATACTGCAGTAACAATTTTTATTTCTATTGAGTTTATATACCGTAGGATAAGGAAATTTTCCTAATGCCATCTATAATAAGTAATGCATTCATTAGCTGATTGAAGGTATGAAAGTAAAAATAAAACTGCGAAGAAATGGTAATTTCCATTGCAGCTGATTTCTACAAATCGTAACCGATATTACTTCTAAAAGTGCTAATCCTAGGCTCCAAACTTCCGAATTAACTCCATACTCTGATCCAACGATTCTTTCCGGCTGAAAATATTTGATTAAATGTGATTTATTGTCTTTGCATGCTCGGATTTTTTGAGATAAAATCAAAACATTCAACCTTACCGCCATGTATGCATTTGTTCCTACATATGTATGAGCTATAGAACGTTCCAGCTAGATAGATAATTGTAACATTCCATGGAATTAATGCATCGGTATTAATCGAGGTATAAATTACTATAGACTATAATAATATCGACTGCAATAATGGTGACTTACTTGAACACTGACACCAAAGTCACAAAGCTTTACTTGACCTTGAGTATTTACAAGCATATTCGACGGTTTTACATCTGCATTTAAACGCATGATTATAAGATAGTAACATCGATGAGAGACAACGCTCGCGGATTAAGGTAATATAATAGATCAGTAATAAGGGACACATAAGTTACGAATTAGTAAATTACCTCTATGCATTATTTTCTGGTTCCAAAGGTAAACCAAGCCTTTAACAACCTAGAAATACAGAGAGTTGTCAAAATAATAGAATCGATCCAGAATTTACATACTGAGATGTAAGCTAACCGAGGCAGTAACTTTTCCAAGCACTAATTCAGGAATTTTTCCATATTTATCTAAAGAACCGCCTGAGAAAGGGGATGAATAAGGTTTATTATGGTCTTTCAATCATGCTATACGTAATAAGTTGTAAAATAACTTATATGCAACTGCTATGATCATACTATACCAACCGTCCATATATTCCGTACACATGGCTATTCTAATTTATTCAGAAAGCGAAGAGAATAAATTTCTTGTAAATAGTGCTCATAATGAATGATCATAACCTTTAATATTTTGAAAGCCTATCAGCACTATATCAAATTATACCTATTTTCGATAAAAAATGCGCCATAAAACGAGATAATATATGAGGAGTCACACTATTATAAATAAAAAGTATTATTCAATGACAGTTTGTAGTTATGAAAATATATAGCACGCAAAATTAAAAAGATATGCTACTTTCGATAGAACATTAAGCAGTATTATGTTATATGGCGTTATTTTAATATCCAGAAACCTTGAAAAGTATGTCTAATTCGGACATGATTTGCTTTTGAACGTCAGGAGTGATATCTAGGTACATTAACTAATACGGTAAAGCCAAAATGAGCGTTATTATATATTAGATATCGCATTTTGACATATTAAAATACAACGTTCGCCATATAAAATGTTTAGTATATGGTAATTGCAGACCTTAACAGCCATTAGTTTTCCGAATTTCTTATCTAGGCATCTAGAAGTAGCAATTTACCAATACGATTTAGGTAAGTAGGTGACTCAAAAGCTCTATTTACAGATGATATGGCGTTAATTGTTGAATTGACTTTAGCTACAACATACGTACTTGTACACAGTACCAACATGCCCACTACCTAGAATATTATAATATTCTAAATGATTTGGAACTACCTGTAAATAAAAGGTAAGTCATTGTAACAAATGCAATAATTTTAACATTCGTAACTCTCTGTTCAAAGCTTACAAAAGAAGTACCGTTATTTGCTAATGACAGTAATTTATCGAAAAATGACATTGATAATTTAGAAATTGCTAAATATGCCTCTACTGTTCTGACTTTTAGTTAGATCTACTATACATCGTATTTAATACAAAACAACAATTGGTTCAATTACCTGTCCACTCTGTAATATTGCTTGCAAATTACCTCCAGATTTGTGTTTCCTAGGCAAGGATACATTTCAGTATTGTTGATTTTAACGTAGTATGTGATTTATAGTATACTATTTATACAGCTAAGAACTCCGCAATTGAATTGGGCACGATATACGA